TGGAGAGATGGACATTGCTTAGCATGTTACTGATCAGCCACACTTAGGCTTAACTAAAAACGAAACTACACATTCACCTAACACTTACCATTTCCACTCCCCGTTATCGGTAAACTTTAAAGTAAAAATCATCTCAATAGGCAGCATTACAACAGGTATGAGCAGTAAATAAAACAGTTTATCATCTTCAATATCAGTAACTCGCCAGGCTACCAACACTCCATGAACAGCAAATAAAAGCCGGGCAACTATTGCCTTTACAAGCGCTGTTACTGTTAGTCCCATCGTTATGCTCGGCAAAACGTTTACGAATCGCGCCTGACAAACCAGCTAACAATGCTTCTTTGTAGTATATGTCGGAAAAGAAATATCGCTGAGCCAAAAAGTTTAAAGAAAATCCGAATGTGGTCGGCGTTCGTAGCCTCGCGTTCGCTTGTGCCGATACGTAAGCCTAAGGATGTCTATAGCAATAGGCGATGTACTTCAGAACGATGCTTAGCCTAATTGATTTGATTTTTAAGTAGTAATATTTGTCTTGCCTTTGACATGACGTCATGTCCTCATGCAGTCAAAAACTTGTATTGTGTTTATGTGTGTGATCGGAACTAGTGTGTAGTCTTGTTCTTCGCCTTCAGGATCATCAGCAAGTACAATGGGCAAAAAGTTGTTTACATTTGGCGTTGCTAAGTGACAAAGTTATTCTTTAGTTCCCAGGTGTTTTGTGAATTTTATGACCCGCTGTGTTATGGTCCAGTGATCAAAGTAATTAGAACTTAATCTGGTCGTATTGATCGTCCAGTGAATCCTGTCAAAAAGGATACGATGAGTAAATATAGACCTTCATTTTAACTCTTTTGGCTGAATTAACATAACATCAAAATGTAAGAAGCCCTCAGAATACGTTTAGTAATCTTGCATGATGAAACCACCGACGCGGCAGTACTCAGCACCCAATGAATGGAACTTAATTAATTAGGCTTAAATCCTGGTTTTAAACAGAAAACTATACATATTATGCAGAATCTTGATAGTGAATTGACTATTGCAGCAATAAGGAATTATTAATTAAATTGATTTAACGATTTTATTGCAGAAGTTTCACTTTAAGCCTTACTCCCCATCCCCTCCCCTACCAAATATTTTTCATTTTCATCCTTATTGCAATACCAGGTACAGCCGTATATATAAAATGTACTATGAAAACTATGTAAAATGAAACGTTCGTATGTAGAATGCTCATTAGTACCGGTACTATTTGGCCTATTGTTATTGCAACAATCAAGAGGTAGAAAATATAACCGAATTGTGAAACTCGTAACCTCATTTGACATCCAAGATGTGTAAAGCATAAATGATTAACAAGTCGATCGATTTTCTCAAAATGGCAAACCGACCAAGATCAAATTAAAGTATTGATCTGTTTATAAGTGATTACGCAATGAGTTGAGGGCGGGCTCTTGTAGTGTATACTGCAATTAACCAAAAACTCTGTTAAATCATAGACTATATCATTCAATTCCTCATTGGCTACACCATAGAGAAAATAGAACTATTCTATTTTCTCTATAGCTACACTAAATGGCTCCTAGCGGATTTCAGTTATTTTTTTAAAGGTTTTATTGGTTTTGCTCAGAGTAAACAATTAACATGAAACACAATTCCCATCAAACCTATAAAAAGAATATCCAAATAATTTTCCTTAAAAAATAGGCCTATACCCAAGCAAAATATTTTGTGTGGAACTGAAACACCACCAAGCAAATGAACGCTGTGCTTATATTATAGGACCTGCCCGATCAAATATAACACATTTAGTCAAACAAACTTAGTTGTTGGTTTTTACCAAAATGGTTTAAATCAGGTTCATAGCAAACTTGAGCATTGTGTTATCCATCGATCGTTTCCAGCTCGGCGACAATAATTAATCGGCACTTTTCTCTCAATTATCCACTTTGTTTTATGCTGAATACAACAACTAATAATTACCGTGGCATTTCTCTCATGCTCGATCCATATCTTTACTGAGAACGCATACACCAATGTTGAGACACGCGCATAAATGTTAGAGTAAAAAAAGAAGTTAAAAAAAAAACACTGTCGCCAGCATGGCGTACCAGACAAGCACCAAACACGTACAAAGATTCAACAAAAGACAGAGAAAAAGAATAAAACAAAACAAACAAACAAAAAAACTACAAAGGACTATTTATGATATAATGTAACTCCAACCAGGTTTATTTATATCCATTTATTCGTTCATATTTTTTCCTTAATTGTTTGTCCATTTAATTCTGTTTTCGTTGGGATTACTTACATAGTAACTTTGAGGCAACCGCGTCGCGAGATCTCTCATCCAATGGATTGGATGATTGATTGATTGATTGATTGATTGATATCAGTACACTGTGCACAGATCTGAATTAGCAAAGGTTATACGGTTTCCCATAGGGTAGCGTACTGGGCCCGTTGCTTTTTCTCATTTATGTAAATGATATGATAGCATGTATTGACTTATCTTGCAAATTGCTTTTTATATGCTGATGACAGTTCTATTTTGTTTTCCCATAAAGATCCAGAACAATATCCAACAAACTTAGCATAGTAACATTTTAGGTAAGTGTAGGGAATGGCTCTGTGGAAATAGGTTTTCCCTACATTTGTGTAAAACCGAATACATACTGTTTGGTAGCAAAAGAAAACTAAAACAATTTAAGAATGCCCAAATTGAATGCGCTGGAAATGTATTTAAAGCAAAAGAATTGTTAAATATCACGGCATAGAAATTGACAAGCATGTTACTGGTAACTTGACTGCAAAAGAAGTTGTCACAAAGGCTAACTCAAGAATAAAATATCTTGACTCTTACTTTAGGAAAATGTTATACATTTATTTGACTATTTAGTCAAATAACGGTTGTATTAACGACATGTTTCCTCACCCTGGTATTGAGAAAAAAACTAATGATTAGATTGCAAACACCTCAAACCAAAATATTCGTTTTATCAAAAACTTAGGTCCGCAGTCCCATGTTGGCCAAAACACAATTAGCTGAAATTGGTATTCTTACGTTCAAGACAGAGTTAAATTTCTTCGTTTATATATCACGTTTTAAAAATTTCTCAAAATATTTAATTTGTCCGGTGTATTTAAAAGAAAACTTTGAAAAATAAACAACAATTATAAAACAAGAAATAGCTCTCTTATTATAGAATACCATACGTTACTTCAGTGGCATCTACAATTTTCTTTTTTAATGCAATAAAAAATTGGAACTCTATGGCGTTGGAAATTAAATCAAATCCTCAATATTTTTAATATAAAACTTAAAAATTACCTAAATAACTGTGCTTTAGCTGTGGAAGGTGGAGATGTTCGCACTTGATTTTTATTGTCATAATTATTTTTTGCTGTTGTTTCCTTGCTTTGTTGTGAATTTTCAATCGGAACCCATTGGAAATAAGTCCCAGGACTTTATGAGCGTTCCGGGCATCGTTTTCGTTTGTTTGTTTGTTTTTTTCTTGCTGAATTTCCTTTGTTGCAAATTTTTCTATGTTTCATCTGTATATATTTTATAATGCCGAATAAAATTAAATAAAATCAAATCAATGGGCGTATTCGACCGGTTCATTTCGTTCACTACGAATTTTCGTTGAGTATTACTTTCATTCGACTGATCGTAAAATAGGCCTAGTTGTTTAGGCTAACCAAGGAACAGTAAAATTTCACTGTTCCCTGGGCTAAGGGGTCATTCAAGTATTATGTAACACATTTTTTGGCAAATATTGACACCCTCCCCCCCGTAAACACACTGTAACACTTTTCCAAAACCCCCCTCTAAATGTTATGTAACTATAGAACCACCCCCCCCCCGCTTCTGAACATCAAAAATTTTAATAAAATCAGATGAACAACATTAAGTATCAGGATAAATGTCCACTACAAATTTGTTATCAAATATGGTTTGCTCTAATAACAGCTAGATGGCAGCACATCATAGCTCTTGGAAATTTTTATTTATTGATATGGTAGATGTAGGCCCGAACTTCATTGTTCATTGATTTCACAAATTGAACACAACTGTGTTACATTACATTGTATTACACTGATGTAATATGTTTCAATAAAGTAATATCATACAAGTTTGAATATTTAATATTTCTTCTCTTCCAATGAAAATTAATTTTGTTATGTAACACTTCAAGCAACACCCCCACCCCTATGTCACACACTGTAACATTTTCCACTATACCCCCACCCCCACTCTGCGTTACATAATACTTGAATGACCCATAACAGAATTCAAAAACTGAATGAAAATATTTTTTTTTACCAAAAACCCATATTGTCACAAGCTGAAGAAGCAATCTTGAAAATACACAGCGTGTATCGCGGTTACCATGCAGCCATTTTGTTTTGTCGAGTATTTACCAGTTTCTTATTCGGCAGGTCGTCTTCGTTAAGTAGGATCTTACCACTCTGCAGGTAGGCGTGGTTTAACGAAGAACAACCATCGAATACGGCCAATATGAGAAAGTTTTTATGAGATTGAACTGTAGAGGGCATTTAGTAAAGTCAATAAAGGGAATAGATAAATAGAGGAACACGAGGAAATCGTAAACAAGGTGAAAATCAGAAAATCTGGATATTTATGAAACATGGAATGGCCAAATGCAATTACAGATACTTCCAGTGAACGTATTGTACGTATAAACTAGATTTTGCACATATTTGTAATTAATGTATACGTTTTGATGTGTTTGATCTATACCATGGATAGGCCTAACTGGCTAGGCCTACTACTAGCCTAGACCGTAGCTGGACTAGAAGAGAAGGTGTGTAGGATACGTGGTGGCTTGGTGTAGCAGGATGACGTGACACATGTAGCCTAGGCCTTTTGTTGGAAGACCTAGGCTTGGCTAGTCCTCGTTTACGGTAACAATGATGTTGCAATTCAGATGTATGCCATGTATATCCATATATATCCATATATTGTTTTAATAATTGGTTTTTTTTCTCTTTCCATTCAATTCATAGAAATTAATAAGAAATGGTAAGTACAGCCTAATCAGTGTTTAAAAAAAATATTTTCGGCCCTTTGTCTTAATTATTTCATGCAAATTTAAGGAATAGAGCTTACTTGTTTGATACTGTTAACTGTTGTTTGACAAAAAAATTATATAGTGCCATCATGCATTAATCATTTACAATCCATATACACAAATTTTCATTATAAACCATTTACTGTAAATTACATAATGTATCACCACCTACTAGGCTAAGTGAAATTCATGGTATATTGCAACATTTGCAAACTGCATGCAACAAAATGTCTGTTTGAAACTTCAGCTACTTACAGCAGTTTTATAATACACTGTATTTCATTATATTTTGCTATGTTTTATTAACTAATTGTTAAAAGTTTTTTAATATTAACTTTAAACTTCTTTTTTTTTTTACTTCAGAATTTTCAGAGGTTCCATTTGAAGAATTACATAAACTGCAAGAGAAGTTGGGAACAAAAATGTACAGTTACATCATTAAATTTATTATAGTATAGTGGAGTTATTTATATATTTGAGGGTGTAAACTCCCTGGAAGCTTTAGCTTAGCATTACCTTTAATGTATTTTAAACATGATTATTTGTTGTACTTTTGAAGATATGATAAAGCAATGTATGGTGAAAAAAGGAAACGTAAAAGAGAGACCTCTAACAAGTTTAGTCGGCTCAACAAAAACAGGTTTGTCTTGCCGTGCTTTTTAAATTCAAATCTTTGTAATTAATTAAAAGGTTGTTTACCACATCAGTGACAGATACAGAAATTTACAATAGAGGTAGCCCAGAGGAATTTAACACGGATTTCGGTGTAAACACCAAGGATAGCCCACGAAAGTCTAGAAGAAGACTTATTTCCAGTGTGGTCCTTCTGGTGGTGATTGAACAGTACACCGGGAGACAATCCCCTACTCTTTTCCGAAGAATGTACTGCGTTCTTTGGAAAAACCTCTAGATGGGCCATAAATGCACACGGGACCAACGGCTTAAACGTCTCATCCGAAAGACGGTGCGCTATTGTAACTTGTAGCTGAAACACAAGGAGAAGCAGCGATGGTAATTGAACCGTGGTAGAGATCTCCACGGTTCAGCGCACACACAGTGGCTACCACCAGATTAGCCGACTGAGCTAAGCTGCTCTCTGATACAACACTGATACAATGTGTAGATCACTTCAGACCCACCATGGTTGGGGCTGTAGTAAGATAATTTATGATTATGACCAAATGTCTAGATGGCCAGAAATGGCATTCTTGGACTTAAATTTGAATATAATTTTCATTTTTTCTTGAATCCGCCACTGCATATTTCTTCCATTTCAGTTTGTACATTTATATTTTTCTCTTTCCTTCACTTTTCAATGAAATTTGAGGCAACAGTGTAGCAAGTAACTCACAATGAATATGCATGTGCACCATTATAAATTTCTGATAGTTTGATTGTTTTTTAACACATTTTTTAACAGACCGCTAGAAATGTCATCAAAAAAGACAGTCTCGAGATTCCGAGAAGTTATTCCTGTAGCAAATAAGGTAAGACCAGTTAACCCAGGCTTATTATTGGGTTGTATCACTCAATAATTTGATAAATTTCAGTTGAATAGAAGTTTTTCAGGCATGCAGGAATCTAGAAACCAAGAAATAGCCAACCACTAATCAACACCACTGCACCGTTAATCACCAATACAGTGCACTCTCCCAATACCGACCCCCTCCGGACCGGGTACGATGTTCGGTTTTCCGGAAAGTTAGGTTTGTGGAACATTTCTATTGAACCCTTTCTGAACAAGGCTGTTGTAGGCCAGTTAGGGCCTAGAAAAGATGCTGAATATTATTTGTACTTAATGCACATCCTAATGGCTTCTGTAACAATTTGTGTTATGTAAATATGCAGATAGCCTCACAGAAAATCTACTTTCTTCCGATAGAACACATACAATAGCACATTTCCCGCCATTGAAAATGTCCAAAGAAAAGAAGTCGCGCTGAAGTATTTAAAAATCACCTTATACTGTAGTTCCCACTCACTTAATCATCAACCCCGCTGCACTCCACTTTCGCTTCATCAGTTCCCTCATTTCAAGACTGCTAGATACACCACTGAACACATAATTATATGGATATTATCTATTTGAAGCGTTTGTTTTATATTTGTAGATTGCAAGGGATCCAAGGTTTGATGACCTCTCTGGTGAATTCAAGGAAGAGGCTTTTAACCAGAATTACAGTTTCCTTAAAGATGTTAGGAAACATGAACAGGAAGTGAGTAAGAAGTACCAAAAAATACAGAAATAAATAAGCTGAATATCTGATGTTGTGTAGTTAAGGCAGGGGTGCCGCAACATACAGCCGTAATATCGGCGCTGGTTTGAATGGCACGCTCCCCAATGTTTCTGTTTGTGGAACAAGTCTTCTCGGATAAAGACTATAAATTGTAGGTCCAGTTTACACTTTAAAGAACACAGTACATCTTTTGAGATGAGTAGGGGGTTACTCAGTCTACTGGTCCATACAGCCCCTGTTATGGACAGACAAGAGTAGGTGGTACCAGTTGACCGGGTAGCACAAAAGGACCCTTGGGGATAAAGGAAGAAACTTCATTATTGTAGATGTATATAACAGCTATGGTAGAAATAATGCGTTGTCCATCGACTGTATGTGAAATTTAAAAATTTAAAAACAGATGTAACAATTATCTCTTTTGTGTTGAAACCAGGAAATCTTAAAAGAAATCAAGAGAGCCAAAAATGCAGAAAAACAGGTTCAACTACAAAACTTATTGCAGAGAATGGTAGGTAAAACTTTTTAATTAATAGGGAACTAGAATTTTTAAATTTTGATTGCCTTATTTTAGCTGTGGATTAGTGAGTAGAGTGCACACCTTGTAATAATAGTGTCCTTGGTTCAAATCCCACATTTTTCCACTCTAGTAAATGTACCTTTCCAGAGTGTGAACTGAACAACTGACCAATCACAGCAGTGCCAGGAATATGCGCTTGTTCAACAAGCACATATTGTCCCACAAACACACATGTTCGCGTATGTTTCAACACTGTTGTTTTGTGGGACCTTGGCAACAATATCCAAGGGGCGGGGCTTAGCTGAAAGGTCCATGGACAAACGTTAATTCTTGTCATTTCAACATTAAAGAATAGTCATAACAATAATGAGGTAATAAGAATAGAGCAAGAATTTAAAAAATGCTGGGCTGGGATCAAATATTGCCATGGATGGCATCAAACTGTAATCTAGTTTTGTTTTTACCCTATTTTAGTAAGATACTATACATTAAACAAATTACCATATTGGTATTGTCACATATTTCAGAAACAAAAAGATAAATCTGAAGAAAATAAACAAAAACAGAAAGAATTGGAAAAAGAAAGAAGAAAAGCGGAACGAGAACTTATAAAGCAAGGAAAGAGACCATTTTATCTTAAAAAATGTAAGCTGACTGTGCAGAATTGAAGATTATACTATGGACTTGTATTCTTTAATGTTCTTGACATAAAAACCTTAAATAGAAGCCACAGTGGGCTCTATCTTAAGCCCATCTCGAAAAGAAGCCTCCCTCTTTAGTTTGCAAAAGTAATCTTTAAAAGAAGTCCATCTCGAAATGAAGCTCAGGGCTTCTATTCGATATTTTATGGGATGCACTTTACATACAGTATAAAAATAAAAGCATGAGGTGCTAAAATTGACTTGGGCCCTGGGAAAATCATGACCCAAATTTGGTTGTAATGAAAATTCTCCATATTTTCTACTATTGTTGTTTAGCAAATTCAAGCTAAATTCAATTTATTTCTTTCTAGCCGAAAAGAAAAAAATGGAGCTGACAGAACGTTACAGAACTCTGAAAGCGAAGGGAAAACTTGACACCTATGTGGCAAAACGAAGGAAAAAGAATGCGTCTAAACAACGAAGACATTTTCATAGTTAAGTTGCTTTAATGAGTGGAATAAAAATGTGTAATGCATAATAATTGGTTATTGTTTCCAAATGATTGGTGTTGTAACGTCATCAGTTTTAATAGTAATAGTAATATAGAGATTTATACCGCAACTTTTGCCGAGGGATACAAGGCTTGCGATGTTATTATTACTACCTCTGGTCATCATTATCAAACCAACACAAAGTGCAACATCCTGCACTCCCTGGGGAGTATTCCTAGTCGTGCGTGCAATTTAATGCCGATACAGACTAATACCCAGTACTTGCTACATCATCTTACTAGGTACCAATTTATATTCCTGGGAGGAGTGAGGCAAACGTAAATAAAATGCCTTGCCCAAAGACAAAAGCAATGCAACGAGCATCGGCAGTTTTATATAAAATAATAATTGAAGATATATATATATACTGTATAGAGGTCAATAGATGAATTGCTTATGTTGATTTAATTCCATGATAAAAGTACTGTAATTGGTTTTCAAATGCAATTTAGTCCGAGACAATCTCTTGCCAATAAAGAAAGGCATGTTGCATATTACTCGCCTATAAGACAGTGCTTAAATAGCAAATCACCATCGAAAAACAGGGGGTCGTCTCATACGCACGACATACAAATTTTAGATTTTTCAAATCGTTCGTTTTATATGTAGATCGTCAGTAACACGCAAATTTACTACTGCAATGAAGCTACTGTTAGTATGAATTAATACAAGTTTAAATATGGAGAAATTTTTGATAGACATTTGAAAACTCATAAAATATTACAGTATTATTCGTTTTTAAGCCAGCTAGATGTAGTATCAGGAACATAAATTTAAAAAAGTAGGTATTCCGACCATCAAACTTGGAGGTCACCTTATAGGCTAGTACTGTATATACGGTAGTTTGGTTGGTAATTGATTTAAGGATTTTTAAGGTACAGTAAAAAGTGCAATCAGGGGTTCCAAGTTTGGAGAAGTCACTTCCGGCAGATCTGATTTTGTGAGGTTTTTTTTACTTTAGGGAGACAATTGATATTTCAGTAGTAAAATCAAGCAGACATTGTGCAGTTGCAGGAGATGGGTTTGTATGCAGATACCTACACTACATAAATTACCCTATTTATGCCCAGGGACATTTATCGTTGAGGGCGTTTATTTTTTTGGATGTAAAATGGATACTGAACGCACCTTAAAATTTCACTGTAAATGTAGAACTACAACACATGTTTTGTGACCATAAAGACTTTATGATTCAACCATGTTATAAAGAATGCAATATAAATGTATTGAAAATTGTTATTTGATAGGGGAATTTATTCAAGGCCAAGCATTTTCTCAAAAATATATATGGTATGTAAATTGATTGACACAGAATTCAAATGTCATAAAGATAACACGACAAGATAATGGGAAGCGCCTTTAATGTCACAATACTACACAGGACAACAAACAAATCTGCCATTGATATAATTTTGCAGTATCAACAGAATATGAAACAAGATAGGATCCAGACCTATACCTCTGATCTACTACATGCAATTTCATAACCTTATTTAAGTAGAACAAGTATGCTTTGCAATTGGAATGACTGGGTATCGTGCATACACAAATAAAGGATTAAAGAAGCAAAATAAAATATTAAAATACATGTTTCTACCTTAAAATCCTTGACAAAACATTGCGTACCATTGCCACAGTGAATTATTCTCATATGAATACAGCCGTAAGTGTTTGAATACTAATAATAATTAAAATCTAAATATTTTGTAATGGTATATTTAAAACAACTTTTTAAAGGTATAAAGAGCATAATTTGGTACAGAATTTCAATGAGATTCAATTCAAAACCAATTTACTAGTTTTTTTGTTTTCATACTTTTATATGAATCACAGACAAAAATATAGTGTCAGATTGGTTAAAAGTAAAAGTTTAATTTTTACATTTGACCACTTGATTTACACCAATTCTCAAAGAGTTCTACTTGCATCTATTTAATAAATTTTGCTTGTTTAAATAGCAGTTTACAGGAATATATTTTTCTTCAGATTTTAACACTACAAGTCGAAAAGAAGACTAGAAAAAGATGTAAAATAATAGACTTGTCCTAATATAAAATAAAAGCACTTTAGATAATTAATGCTGCACAAATAATTTTAAACACCGACAAAACATGAACATTATCCATTTGTTTCATATTTCATAATTTAAAAAGCAATGATACATATGAATACCATATATTTTTGTTCTAAATTAATTTGCTACTGTATATAATGTCAATTTCTTATACTCTATTAACAAATTGATTAATTAGACCTCCAGTTTAACATTCAACAAATACAGTCAGATGTTATCCATGTTGAGGGCGCTATACCCAAATACATTACACTTTATTTACATTGTTTTATTTTACTGTTTCAATCTGGACAGTTATGTTGCCTAGCAACATATAACATCACCAAGGCAAGTTGTCAAAAGTATAAAACAAATTATTTTATATGCACTTTTAAATTCAAACTACAGCACACTTATATATGGACAGAAAGGTGCTGTTCTTCCTCTGAATCCCTGGCAAATTTATATCTCTGGCAAAATTTTCATCATAAAGATAACAGAGGAAACAAGTTTAACAAAGAAAAGTTGGAAGATGTGAGATATCAGCAAAGGGAAAATTGGAAGATTAAACATAGAACAGATTTTTCCACATTACTGATTACATTGCAGACCTCAAGGGATTCCTATTCAACAATTTATATCATAATTCTGAACTATATCATATTCATAAATTTCTAGAAATATAAATTAATTGGAGCTTCTTTGGGGGACAGGATGACAAATCATACATTTATGAAATGTCCCGAATCCAAACTCCAGAAGTAAATGCAAGAAATTGTTAGTATTCTTTCCAGCTTAGAATCCTGAAGAAATTCTTTACTGTACAATGAGTTATCAACAAGAACAATAGATTGCGTATAATAAATGATGCTCTGTATAATGTATCAGAAAATATATCCACTGCTGGTGAAGGAATATACTGAACGAATATGCTTATCTTTAAGGGATATTTCCAGTGAACACAGTAAAAAACAAAAGCGCTTGTAGAGTCTATAATTCTCTTTCCGTCAAAATCTATTCTTGTCTAGGCCTCAAATTTATAAATCATTAAATTGTAAACTTTTATAAACATCGACATAAAACTTCAAATTTATATTAGAAATAAAATTTTTACTTGAAATGTTTATTGAAATTTGCTTAAATTTTGGTCAAAGACTAATTTTTTTGCATTTTTTGGGATAGTAGTTGAGAATACCAGACTGTTGTGAATGTATCCATCATGTGAAGGGGAAAAAGCAAACAGCTATACAGTCATCAGTTACTATAAAGTCTCAATAACTAGCAGTGCAAATTCTATTAATTATACAGAAATTGTTTCTATTTTATTTATACCATGTCCAGTGTCAATCAGCCACTTCTACTCTCATTGTAACAATGAGAAAAAGAAAAGTAACAAAAACAAAGCAAGAACATAATACATAGCTGTGTATTAATGTCATGTGTCCTCCTAAAAATATTCATTAAAATCTTGACATATAAATTCATTCTTCTTCACTTTAGTAAAATATCTAATCTATTAACATACTAAAAAGAAAAAAAGTAGTAAAAAGTAAGACAAAAAAAAGAGTAAAAGACAATTCATTCGCTTCCCAAAAAAACTGATATATTAGCTGTCATTAACCATCTTGTATAGAATGTAGAAATGGTTTGATTGGATCACCGATTCATTACCATCTTTACATTAATCAGTAATTTGTTCATGGTGTTTTTTTTTTGTTTTTTTTGTGATTTACGGATTGGTGAGTAGGCTCTACACTGCAGATCCTGTGACATCTGTTGTCTTGGGTTCTTCTTTACCATTCTGGGGGAAAACAGAAGAGGATTTCAGTTAGTATGATTTAATATTACACAAAATACACAGCAATTAAATCAAAAAGTTGCAAAAAACACAATAGGAAATATCAATTCTTAGTCATTGTGTTGAAATGAGTTAGATGTCATTTGAGAATAGAATGAAATGAAAGAATGGTACATATTAGCAGCTTACTGCATTTAGCTTATTTTCATTTTATTTTACTTTTTTTTCAATTCTATAGCATGAAAGACGACCATTTACAGAGTGAATAAAAATAATGTTAAATGAGGGAGAAATATCTAAACATATGAACAATGAAACTTTTTACGATAATGTTATGGGTTTTATAAAACAATACATAACATAGACTCAAGCAAGGGAGGGATGAGCATGATATAAAAAACAAGAAATGACAAGAACTAATATAAGTCACTGGCAATTTTCTAAGAAAAAATCTTCAAATTATCTTAGTACTACTCGTCTTATAACACCCTCAGGGGTGACGCCAGAGGGTGGGTCAGTTGGGCATGGCTGAGCCATTGGAGAGTCATGGTAAAATCTGTAAATTAGAATAATTTGTGTCACTTTTGGATATCTAGCTGATAAAAACCTAGCATTTTTAAACTCGGCACCAAACATGGTGGTGCTGTGAAGCCAATTTGTCAAAGAACGATGGACACCTGTTGGAGGAAATTTTGACACCACTGCTGAACTTAAGTTGTACCAAGTTGTATCAATTCATTATTAGTATTGAAATATAATCAATATTCATTCCCTCAATCATTAATCATCACTACCAATCATCTTCATCATAACTGTCATAATCAAAAAAATTACCATCTTCAAGATCATAACCATCATCATCATCTTTGCAACCACATAATATTTTTTTTCCTGGACAGAATGCAAGGCATACTCAAACCTTTTCTTTCATACCTATTTTAACAGTCATTAATATTTTACATATTTTACAACCAGAATACCAAAATAGTAGCTGTTCATAGAGGCTAGGCTCTATTCAGGCTGATGATGATCAACAACAAACACTCTAATAGATAATAAACTACCGTACCGATTAGTTACGAGTAGAAAATCTTAAATCGGAGCCAAAGTCAAATGCAACTTATCAGATAAATTATTAATCTACTAGAAATTGATTTACAAAAAAATATTGGCATCAGACAAATATCGAAAACCGTGTAATTTGATCTAATTTACATGTAATCATCTCTCTTGGATTTAACGCTCCAAAAACCTGGTGCACACTTTGCTATGCAGGTGAAAAGGAAGAATGTGCGGTGAATGTAGAAACCTGAGCTAGAAACAAAACCTACTTGGGAGTTATCCTCTTTAGCGGCATCTACTAGCTGTTGCTCCATCTCCTTGTCCGTGAGTGACGACTTTCCCTCAGCCTAGCAAAGGAGTACAGATATGCTGTCAGCCACCATGCAAAAACTAGTGTTAGGTGTTAGGTGGTGCTCCTACTAGAATTTAAGCGAGTACGAAAGCTGAGTGTGTGGGTAAAGAGCGAGTTTGAGAGGAAACGATGTGCATTGTCAAATGTAAATAGTAACATGTTAAAGCTTGACAGCCCTGCAACAGTAACTTGTGATTGGTAGAAAAACCACATCACTAATTAATATGCATTGTTAGGTCCACTGATTAATCTCAGATAAAAAAGTACAATCCATATTCCAAGTACTGAAATGCACGCCATTGTTGGCGTGCATTTCAATACTTGGAGTATGTACTGTATTATACTCTCTTGTTAAGTAACAGTGCAATGGCCTTTAGAGAAGACATTCAACAACTTTAAGAATGCTAATCTAAAAATTTGTCCTGATTTATAATATTTTAGTAGAAAGATTTCTTTTGAAGTTATTGGCAACACTGTCAGAAGTTTGTGAGAAAAAGAAACTATAATGAAAGTAAGCTATCAGTGAAAAAACGATATAATTAGTATGATTATAAAAGCAATGGAAATAGGTAAATCTAATTATGTTTGTTGTTGTTGAGGTCTTGTGGTTGACTGCAAACTAATCAAGGAAAATAAAGCTGGGAAGATTTTACAATGATGTCTGTTAGCTACACTACACAATTGCATGGTTGCAATAGGCTTTGTTGCTGACCAGAATGTTAGGGAAAATTGGCTTCATTTTTTATGTTTCTATTGAGTCGAAAAATACTTTTTTAATGTCATATATTTGCATGTTGATAGTTTACTTTTGACATTCTATCCAGCATGCTTCAAGAATGAATTCACAAACTGCTTTCGTTTCTGTTAACTAAACCATGTGTTAAAATCTGAAAGGTGCCATGAAGCCAATCGATTTGCATAGAGTCACTGAAATCTGTTAATTTACACCACAAGCAACAACACAAACAATATACTACAAAGGTATAGAGTACTACAGTGTTATGTCACGATACCACATGATATTACTCCATTGCTATCGGTTCAACTGGATGCCATTTTCTCCACTGAAAACCACTGATTCCAATTTCTAACGTAATTAAGACGTTGTTTGTAAATTTTAATTGATAATTAAATGTATGTTCGATAACTAATATATGCAAGCTTTTGTGTTTTTAGTACATTTTGATGGTAAATTATTAGGTTTTAAAATGCCTATTCCAGGAGCCTATTATTATGAAGTCATTCAGGCGTAAGGAACGGTAACCCACATCTGGTTGACAACAAAGGGCGCCACTTGGTGTTGTGACGACATGACTGTTGTACTCTACAGAACTGCAAACACCATAAACCACAAAAACAAATCAGAAATACAAGTTATGTTAAGTTCTAAAGCAGGCATATCTATTCCAAATCTTTTTTTTTTTAAACAAATTTAAAGAATCATCATCTATGCTGGTACAACCTCATTCTTCCAATGTTAAATAAAAGAAGACACCAGTGTTTCTCATACTATAATATGTGGTATAAAATATATCATACACATAAAATCTTATTACAATATTCTATTAAAAAAAATAAAAGCAGATCAGAGTTTAGATGTTATGTCTTGCTAGTCTAGCTAGTAATAATCACATAAATCAAATTCTATCAGGTAAATTGGTAACCACTGGTCTAAAATTTATGATCAACTTATCCAATTTATTAATTAAATCTTGTAAAGTGCAATTCTAAACAATTCCTTGGAAAAACCATATAATTAGATTTTTTTTGTTGGATGGGCAAAAAGAATAATACAAAATATGCAAAAAAGGTATTCTGAAAATGTATTTAAAATTATATATTTACTATTTTGTTTGAACTAATCATTCAAAATCCACTGGCAAATGATTAGAGGCCTGAACGAATACACTATCACAAAAACATATTCCTATTATACTAAATGACTAATTAAAGATACAGTGAAATGGACAAATATTTAGCTATATAATACCTATAATTTACATGATTATAATTATACTGTATGAGGCTTGTCATTCCAAAACCACCATACGGTTGCTAAATGTTAAACTGAGTAATTAGCATTAGAATGTGCCAGTATTGTATACTTTAGTACAGGGAAGCTGTAATATTTTCACTCAAAACTTTGGCAATAGTGAGTTGATTTCAATAAATGATTATCATTTTTAAAGCTTTTAATGTGGAGAATAAGATTATTTATTAAAAACTCAATTTTTATTTTTTGGTTACTGATGGTGGTTTTGGGATAGCAAGCCTCATATTAATCAAAACAGTATAAATACTAATTGGAATAATTTTTTTTTAAAAACCATATTAAGTAAAATTCTTGACAATGAAAAGAAGTAGTTGATGTAAATGAAATGCAAAATGATGAACATTGTAGTGGATTAGAACACACGCAAACACACACAGAATCAACGACACAACAATGCTTTAAGTCATTCATGCAGAGCACATGGTTAGCGGAAACACATGAACCTTAGCAACAAAGACGATGTTGAAATGACACAAAAAAGACGATGACAAAGAAAGTCCCAATAAAAACCTAAAAATTCAAAAGCTCAGTCTTGAATTTTAGTTGGTCAAAAACTACTATCAAATTTTATCTGCCAAATACCAGTGGTTTTCCCATATATGGATACAAGATATCACCATGTCCATATATGGATATGATATGACATTATAATGTCCATAATTATATGGGCAATTCATGCAAATATGTCAAAATGTTTGATCAGACTGATACTGAATACTTGATTACAAAGCTCTGTCCACACTATCAAATTTTCTTTGATTAAAAATGTCCATATATAGTCATGATGTGCCTATTAATGGTTATCAAATAAAATTTGATAGTCTGGACAGAGCTTTACGTGTCTTATCAAACAATTCATGTCTTTTCAAAGTTGCACACTGGTATGATCATCCAACATTAGAAGGATCCAATGTTTCCAGTGGGTCACAGGAGTCTCCTTGAAAAATTGGCATAGAAGTGGTTTCTCTCAACATGGAACCCTGTCATCAGGCTCATCTGGCAGACAATAAATTGATAGTGCATGCTAAGGAATGCTGGGATAGAATAATAGCCTGATGCCTCAATCTAGATTTAACATTGAAGACTCTTCACTTACATCCATTTGACCAAGCTTTGCCTTCAGGTCTTTGGTGATGTCTCTTTCAGCTGTCAGCAGACCCTGGTTCTTCTTCAACATGTTCTGCAGCTTCGCAGCTGCTGTCCCTAGCTCTTTCGTCATGTTCTTCTCTTTTTGTAATGCTGCTTTTGTCTCTTCTAATTCCTGTGCACAAAGTGGGGTTGAAAAGAGAGATTTTTCTTTAAATAAATTAACGTGGATTCCATGTTGTGGTTGTGTTTGCATTATTATCAACAGTAACATCATTGTTATCATAACCACCATTATCATTCAAGGCTACATTTTTGTTTCTACCACCCTGTTCTCTAGCACCAATAGAAACCTATATAATAGGGGCTGAATAAATTTAATGTTTTATTATTATCATTATTTTTACCTTTGTGAGAACATCAAGATCATCTCCAGGGTTGCTTTTCTGCTCATTGGCTGTTTCCAGTGCATGCTTAGCTGCTTCAAGATCTTTCTTAAGCTGTTCTACTCCCTTGGCCGATTCATCAGCAACTTTGCGGGCTAACTCTAGCTCAGCGGTCACCTCTCCTAAACTCTTCTTAGCTGCGGCTTCAGCCTCTTTGGCCCTGGAAAGATCGCCTGCGAGTTGGTCATTTGGAACGGCTGCTGATTCAGCTGCTTTTGAGAGGTCTTCGGACATCTTTCGATTTTTCTCTTGCTCAATTTCAAGTTTTGTTTTTAACTGAAAAAACAATGAAAAAAATCCCCCAATATTACCAAATTGATCAAAAACAGTACTACAGTTTCAAGATTAACTTAGTATATTTTATGTCATTAGTAACAGAGTGATATACCTAGGCACACTCTAGACACACAAATCATTCAAATTCATTGTTTCAAGGTTTGGGATTGAAAATTGACGTATAAATGTCACCTGCAATTTCAGGAACATTACTATAATATTTTTTGGATATGAAAAATGTTCTAAATGAATAATTTAAGTATAAACTTAGAAACAACCATACAGTACAAGACTTATTTATCTCAATATATATAAAAAAAAAACATTAGTAGAGATTTTGATGAAAAAGTGTCAATGAAATAACACAGATGCAGGCATTTAACTAGGGTCAGTGCCAACTACTGTACTTCGAAAGTTTAATTTAGAATAAAATGATAGTTTGATGTACAATTAATCATGTGCATGCTGGTATGTAACTTAAGTATACATAGCAGTCATTAAAGGATGATACCATTTTTCATGAGGGTGTTTCTCATGAGGTTAATCATTTTTAAAAATCATTTGTCTTTGATAAAATGTAATTCACATTCTCGAACGTAAACAAATTCTCATATACCACAATCAGTTTTGTTAAAACCCTCAAACAAAATTCACGTACAAAATTTCAACTCATACTCATAATACAACCATAAACCATTTAAGTGAGAGTTACAGTTCCCATACATTGAATGGAAAATTACAAGTGCTACTGTAAATGACGGTGCTATTATTAAACTTACAACCAACCACACCCTCAACAGATCAAACACCCCAAAACTACTGAAAAAAAAAATAGTTAAAGCATGCAAGCAAAGGATGCAGCTTCATATAGTTGTAAAAAACATCAGTTTTATATATGTTGTGCAGCAATGACCTAGTGTGTGGTAAGTCATGGATACTAAGTATACATAGTTAGGTGCATTATGAATATAGGGTGCTACTGCTTCAAGCATGATGTTATGTGCATTTAAATCTTGTTTCGAATCTACCTTGATGATAGCATTAGAATATTATCAGTATGGAGGAATGTGTGTGAATATACATTTATGTGTTTCACTGCACCCATGATCCATAAATTCAAAGGTGTAAAAAGCTATGCTTGTTGAAATATACCTCAAGTAATTCCATGAATTTAAAAATATACTTAAGGAATTTGTGAATATCTAGGTCAGATTTTCAACACAAATTCATACCACTTCAAATAATCTAATTTTATATTTTCACATTTGATAAGAAAATGGAAAAATGAAATTAATGGCACACTTTTACAAGCAGTGGAATGATTCAAGATTATCTAACTCTTAAAAATGCAATTATGTAGTTATTTGTGCACAAACTAGTGTATGTATAATTTCTTTACACTGGAATGCATTTTTTCCTCTGGACAGCAGTAGAAATTTAAAGATATAAATCAATGTGCTTAATTATATTCCTGTCCAGACTCTAAACTTTATTTGACAAAAACATGTGAAATGCCTAAATACGGTCATGAGGACATCACATCATGACTATATATGGGCACACCATAACTATATATGGGCACATCATGACTATATATGGGCATAAAACTGGTTTTTGTTAAAGAAAATTTGATAATCTGGACCGAGCTTAATCTTGATGAAAATTAATCATGATTATTAGGCATGGTGAGAATATTAGTGTAATTTCTAAATCTAACATATCTAACATATATTAATTTACTCCAAGAAAACGGTACCAAAATTCTTTATTTTGGAAATGAATTATATTAAGTGCTTCAATACTACCACTAAGTAAGCTAAGTAGTGAATTCTATCAACTCAGCACCCTCAATTCCGAATACCCCTCTACCTTAACCCTCAGTTAAGGGGTTACTACCTGTGCAATGAAACAACTCAGAAGCCTTGCGGAAATGAATGCGAAAAAAACTACACACCGAAGAATATATATGTGAACGTTTAGTTGCAGTTTATCACCACTTGCGTAGTGAATGAGTCCCGTAAATACTTACGTCTGCAACCTCAGCACTTAGCTTGTCTATGGACTCTTTGTTGGCCGTATCAATATCGCTTTGAACTTGATTCAGCTGAGATTGGACTACTTCCAAAACTTTATTTGTAGAATCGTTGGCATTTGAGACGGAAATGATCTCTTGCGAGAGTTGCTGAATTATTTCCTGTGATGACTTGAGCTCGGACAGCAAATTTTGGTTTAACTTTTCAGTTTTATCTGCCTGCAAACGCAACTAAGGATCGATCGGGGTTTTATAAGGGGAAGGGGAGAAAAGACAAAATAGTATGATCATGGGGTAAAAGGAATAAGAAGGGGAATTATCTGCCCAGGAATAAGCACATAAAACAGAACAACATATTTTTCTGTATAGATTCAGAGATGTTACTGTAGTTTTTTTATTTAACCAATAAAATGACTTGTTGTAAACTTCACTTATTTTTAAAGGAACATTGTAAACATCATAAAACTTATGAAAACTATTCACAAAGACATTCTAAAAGGATAACATGAAATTTTACAGTATTAGAGGTTTTACCATGCTGAAACATATTTACAGTTTACAGGAAGGGGGTTGGGGGAGAAGGTTGCACTTTTATAGCAAATAAAATTTTTCAAATACTTCTTAAATTACATTTATGCCTTTTCAATTTATATAATTTCAGTTTTAGTATTGGCGAGTGGTCTTCATTGACAAGTATCTTAAACGTGCCCTTGGCTTGTCAGTTGTCATATCCTAATTTCTATATGCTGCAGAATTTGGTTACATTATAATATAAATACTATTTATTATAATTAACTTTTAACTTGTTTCCTTTTTATTCAGTGTTCAAACCCATTACATAAGGAAATGTAAAAGTTAATGGCTCTCTAATTATAGGTTGGAATGGTCCATTGCTAGCTGGGGTACATATCCCCAGATTGCAGGCTGACAGAGATAGCGAGACCCATACTTTTTTAAGATTATCCCTGTGCTTTGAAATAGGTTAATTCACAGATGGCGCATAAGTATTATATTTTTCATTTAATATTGATAAAACACTTAAATAAATCTGTTCATTGCGCACATACAGTGCAATATTCATTATTATCCTAAAAGTAGAACACAAAATTAGGGACGATCTTTAATGATTCAAGCAACAGCATGCAAAGTATATTTTATGTGTGGTTGATCCCTTACCTCTTGGGCCGACTCAATCTCTTCTGTTAGAGAGGCAAGCTCTGTCTTTGTCTGTAAGAATATCACAAACATGCCACATGCAATTCAAACACTCACGCTACTTAAAAATATTCACAGTACATGCAATCAATTATATTCATAATTGGACAAGTAAATGGGGAGATGCCATGTTGAATGCCACACAGGTTGCAATAGAGGGCAGCATTTATTTTGTGCATTATTGTCCTTCATTAAGCTATCAGCACAAAATGTTATCTAACATATCTTGTATAAAGTTTGGCAGAGTGGTCAGAGGTGAAACACCTCACTATGGCATTCAACATGTTATGCTCTATCTGCACTATCAAGCTTTCTGAAATATCTATGATTTATTCATATATGGGTATGATACGACATCATCATGTCCATATAAGGATATATGACATTACCATGTCCATATATGGACAATTCACACAGATTATCATTCCCATATAAGGAGAAAACTTGATAGTGTGACAAAACCTAGACAATAAGGTATGAAAGCAGAAAGTAGTATTAATACAGGATACTCTTAAAAAAAAAACAAATAGAAAAATTTGTCTGAGTAATAGTTACTGGGATAATTCAGAATGGTCTTATTAAGTTCACAAGAAAACAAAAACAATATATATAATAGTCAAAGCACAACAGTTTATAAAGATTAACGTAAATATTGAAAGTATGAGGAAGAAGTAATGCAATCCATTATGATTCAATATTTCAAACTTCCTGAAAATTAATACTAATTATTATGTTATCATTACAACACTCTCTTCAATGTTTTGTTCTCAAGCACCACACAGCAAGACTGTTAATTGTAGTTTGTTTACCTGTTTAAGTTCAGTTTCTGCCACAGTTAATTTGCCATGCCATTTACTTTCTTCTGATTGGACAGATGCTTGTAGCTGGTTCAAGATTTTCTCCTGGCATGATGGAACAAAAAACAGAGTTATATCATCAGTTTACATGTCACTAATTCTTTAATCAATGTCTTCTCTTTCCTGCACAGTACAGACCACATGGGTGTAATACATATCCAAGTGAACTCCCTCTAGTTGTTTAACATTATATAGTCATGATGTGCCTATATATGGTCATGATTTTATCTAATGTGGTCATGATGCATTATGACCATATTTAGTCATGTCACATGTTTTTGTCAAATAAAATTTGATAGTCTGGACTGGGGTTTAAATGAGACTGCCTTTATTTTATGCTGCTAAAGAATGTGTTGAGTTTAGTATCCAACAATAGTATGCTGCCCTCACTGACAATGTACCTGATCATGGATCATTATTTATCATTACAAACAGGATTTTTTTTTAAATGGCTTATTTAATGGCTGCATTTACCTATTATCAGAATAAAGAATTGCCAGAGGTCCGACTGTCCTGATTTTGCAAGCAGACAATGAAACAAAAAACAAAGTACTACAAGATAGGCAGCGCCCTATTGTAATTCAAAAAACAATCTCCAAGTCTTGGTTGTACCTTTCAAGATAGGATTGCGTTTCAACAAAACCCTGAGAGTTTCTACTGTTAATATACTATATATTGTGTTGACATTTCTGTTAGGCATGTTTCCATGAATAAAAGTCAAGCAAAGATGTTAGCATTGCAGTGCTTACCGTATCAGCTAATACTTTCTTGTAATGTTGACACTGAGAAGCTAGTTGAGTCTTCTCTTCCTCAGCAGTAGCTATTTGACTATTAAGTTTATCAACCTGTGTGGGGTGAAAAGAATTCAATGATAAACAAAACTAAAAGGGTAAGAGCATAGTAACAGAGGGAACAAGGGGAAACAATCATCATGTTTTGGCTGTTGGAGTAAAGATTTCCTTTCTATAGAATCAAAAAAATGCTCCCACACCCTCATCTTAATATATCTGAACACCTGGATCTGGTTGTATAAATAATCAATTGAAGCGGGTTGGATGGCCGGGCAGTTAAGGCACGGGTGCCGCAACCTACAGCCACAATATTGGCGCTGGTTCGAACGGCACATTCGCCTATGGTTCTGGTGGTGAAACAAGTCTTCTCAGATAAGAACTATAAACCGTAGGTCCAGTGACGAAACCGTTAGAGCAGAAGCACGTTACTGTAAGAGCTAGTCCACATCTCGAGCACTTTGAGATCGTTTAGGTATAAACCTAAACAGAAAATGACCCCACACCCCAACATTTCATGTCTCTTAGGATAACTAGCTCATTAGTCTGTTTGATATAAGATAACAAATGATAGATACTCACAGTTTCTGATTGGTCTACGACAACTGGTTTACTAAGATGATCTTTAGCTTGTAATTCAAAAGCAGCTATCCATTCAGAATGGCCCTACATTTACACAAAAAAAAAACAAATTAAAATTAACAAGTGTTCTATCTATTCATTACTTCTACATATCTTGTATTTTCTGTTTCTATATTAGTATTTATATTTTTAAATTTTATATTTTAATAATTTAAATCTTGATATGATTTTATATTCTCCATTTGGTTACAATAAGTGACCTCATAATTTCACTCATGCTAGTGTGCCTAAAAAAAAAAGAAGATATACATACAAACGATCTCTTCTATCACAATGCAGTATGAAATACGTAAATAATAAATATTATATAAGCATGTAACAATGTGTAATAGGCCATCAGTCTTTATATGCCTTGACCCTTAACCTACACAAGAGCAAGTCAAACCATACATTATAATAAATTAAAATAATACTGCCAACCAAGTAGAAATGCTCATCTATTCAAGATTCAATAGACTTATTAAGTCTACATTCTTCAGTTCGATGTCGAACATTCTTTTATAATCAGTGACCTACTTAAATTGATTAAAAATGGATTTTACTAAAATTATATTGGCCACTCAGACTAAGAAGCACGGCATGTTTGGATGCATTGCAACATATTCTTGTTATTATCTGAACTAGATTCCAGTACAAGTTTGTATAATTATTATATTTCATGAGGTTGATCGTTCTAGAAAAAACCTGACAATGTTGAGACTTTATAACAGAGTCTCTTTTTAAATTATATAAGGCTTGGGAAGTAGATCTAAGAAAAATCCTGGTCTTCTTGCTAGGATTTGAACAAAGGAACTCGGGAAATGAGGGTGGGCACCTACAACACCAAACCACTGATCTGGGCCATTACTTACTATTATATTCTTTATTCCGGAAACAATGTCCATATGATACACAACAGAATATAACAATTTAATAACATATGGAATATACTGTAGCACCTCCAACACCCTGTCCCAAGTATCACATTTTATTTAACAAAAACATGTGCCTAAATATGGTCATGACATCACATCATGACCATATATAGGCACATCATGACTATATATGGAATAAAGAAAATTTGGTAATCTGGACCGAGCTTTATACAATTCATGCATTGTCTTCTTCATCATTGATGATTTAAGATTGATGCTGTACAATGCACATTATAACTCATTATTTTTTTTAAAAATATTTTTATACGTACTAAACTAGAATCTACATTTATTTCTGGGAAGAGTGTCTTGAGAGTGTTCCTAGCACTTGCTTGCTCAGTTGTCACAGCTCCAGCTAACTGCTCCTGTAAAAATTAAGAAGCATTTTTGTTTGTGAATACAGTAACCCTAAACCTTTAATAATGCATCAATCATAAATCCAAGCATAAATCTAGACCATCCAATTGTACCAAAGGTTTATATGTGAAAAGAATATGGGCATTACATCATGGAACAATAAATGAAATATATATTGCTTGTGATGAGCTGATAAAACCCGATATTTTAATTGCCTACTTTATATATTTAGTTTAATTTGAAAATTAGAACAAGAAAATATTTCACTTGATAATTACGAGACATAAATAATAGTGTTCTTTATAATATTCTTTGCAGACTTTTAAATTTGCTGGTAAGCAATTTAAAGACATTTGTAGTAAACAGTAGTACTGTAAGTAAATCAATTCAATATTATATATATATTTTTTTTCAAATTTTTATAGTAAAGTCCATAAATGAGCAAATATTGATTTGATTTTATCTGTGTATCATTGGAAGTTGGACTTTAATTTCAAATCAGCAATTATTTAGATAATTTTTCAAGATTTTATCACAAACAGTATAATCTTAAACATACAATATAAAATAGGGATTGCACAAAAGTCAACAGCAATAATTTTAAGCAGAAAAGAAAAATAATACATTGAAAAGCATTGCATTGAAAGCATGGCTGAAGATGCAAAGTGCATAAATCTCTGTCCACACTATCAAAAACTGTTGAATGCCCATATATAGTCATGGTGTATCTATACATGGTCATAATGTGATGTCATCATGTCAAGTTTTTGTCAAATAACATTTGATAGTCTGGACAGGACTTAAGACCGACATGATAATTGACTTGCAAATAAAACAAAGGAATTACAAATTTAGTTTTATGACCAACAGGTCATCTTATTTCATTAAGTGGCCAATTAGTGGTCAGCTGGCCAAATGGTAATATCATGTGTGCAGATAAAATGGACCAAGTGACCACAATTAACAAAAAAAATGAAAATAATTAATTTTTTTTTTGTAAAAAAAAAGAGAGCTTTTATAGCACACAAAAAGAATTACCAGCAATATAGATGCCAGTATCATATAATAGCACCAAAATATCTCCAAGTGGAAGTTTGTGAACTAGTCTTCATAATATAGCGCACTCCCCAATTTGAGACCCCCTCTAATTCCAAGACTCCTCTAATTAGAGACCACTTTTCCAAGAACCAAATAACAACCTTCAGTCTTTTAGTGGAGACCAAAACCTGAGACCGCCCCAAATTTTCAGGTCCCGAAAGTGGACTTGAATTGGATTGAATTGGAGGGTGAACTATACCAAGAAACATAGTAAGAATAATGATAATTATAATATTATTTTTTATAATTGCCAATTACATCCTTTCCACACAAAACCTTTCTGTCAGTAACCGAATTAGTCACTATCAAGTTCAATAACAATAATAATAACAAACAACATGAATATCAACAATATATTGACCTGTATTGCAAAGCAAGGAAACCATGTACAGTATAAGCATTATGAAACCAAATTGAACGCTGTTTCAACTTTGCTTTCTTAGCAAAGTTTCTTTTCATTGCAAAATCACAAATAGATTCAAATTATGTTGCAGCAAGATAAAATTTGCAAATAAATTTAATTTAACAAATGAAATGAAGCGGGCAATGATACAACTTATGCCACTGAATAAAGAATGCAACATCTATCAAGCTAAAAATAAAAAATGCTTGCAAAAACATGCATAAAAGTAAACTATAACCCCACCCATATGTGATAAATATGTTTCGATAGAATAACTTTGAATTATTATATAATTGTGAATTTACTTGAATTTGAACTACATTATTTATAGAAACTACAGTTTGAATAGGCAGTAGTGTTTGGGATTCAATTTAAAAAAAAACCAAATTGTAATAGAATATTATTGAAAATACTAATACATAAAATCTTTATATTTTACAAGGGTCTCAAGTCTACCCGCGGATTGTAGCAGCCTCCTGGAAATCGGTACAGCCTCCCGCAATCCCACAAGCAAGCAAAAATGAGATGTTTGCATGTTTTTATTTATTTATTTTTTTTATTGTCTCCCTTAAGTCCGCTGGTAATGGGAATTACAATGCACAGTGTAATATAATTAGAATCTGTGTTAAGAAAGCTTGTTTAAACAGATCTACTAGAAGTGCCTTCTCGCAACTTGGGACACCTCAAATTAACAGCATTGACAGATTTAACTAGTAAGAAACGAGAGTTTCAATTAGATAAGAATGTGTTCCATTAATGTTAGGATTGTTCCGTTTTTAGATATTTATATTAAAAGTGAAAAAGGTAAAGTTATTGAATAATTAATAATCATCAATGTATATAAGCCAATGTTAAACACAATTATTTTTATTGTAATTTATGGATTTCATTTTTTAAGTATAGTAGTAGGGCAATTTTATTCAACGCAAGGTAAATGAGATACAGTACGTTAATGTAATCCAATATGATTAATAAATTAAGTAGATGTGTTTTGTTACATTACTATTATACAAATTAGGCCTGCCTAATAAGTTTACAGTAGTATTGTATTTAATCACAGGGAATTTTTTTATGGTCTACTTTCTAAAGAAATAAATGGGGAAAAAAACAAGAAAATGATATAAGAATCATAGCTTTTATAACACTGAAACTTAGGATACTGACTCAAAAAAGAGGAATCAAGGCCAAGTAGAGAATGAAGGATACAAATTTGAGAACAGAATAACAAATTAAAATAAATTATGTGTGTCTTTAATTTTTTTCATTTCTTTACCTAAACTCATAACATTTACATATTTCTTAAATTTTCCAAATAGATGTTCTATCTGAGAAGGTGACTTTATAATTAGAAGTCAGTGATTGTTTAATATACCACCACCACTATAATAAAAATAGTTACTTAAAGTTTATAATGTAATATAACATGTTTTGATGTAATATGACATTATATAATGTAATATAACATCAACATTATATAATATAAGCTTGAAATAAATTTAGCATTAAGACATTCAGCATATTAGATTGGATTTCAGCAATAGTTCCATTTATACATAATTTTATATATCTCTAGTGAATTTTTAAAGCATTGTTGGTATTTAAACAGCATTTCATGGTCCAATAAATAATACTTATTTTAACATTATACTTTATCTCTTGACTAATGGTGATTTATGGTTATATATTTATTGTTCAATGTCAAAAACGTCTTATGTGTAGTAAATGTGTGTATGGGAAGGTGTTTGAATGCTGTTGCGCTGAATATTGGTAGGTATGGCATGGGGATATTTCCTGAAGAGGCAATACAAACAGAAATATATAATGTATAGAAATGAAGCAAATCAAGTACAGAAAGAAAATAACGAAAAGGAAATCAATAATAAAGAATAATACAAAAAATAATAAATACTGCAAAATACTCACACATTACAAATCAGAGATTAGCAAATATATTTTTAAATAAAACAAAAAAAATGTATTAGCAGTGGAGTAAATACATTTTCTTGTCACTCCCAACAATATTTAAAAACTATTAAAATAATAAAACATTAAAATACAAAAATTAAATTATGTAATAAATTAAAAATATTATAAACACATTATTAGAATACTTTGTGCAACGTGATATTAATACTCATAATACACCAAAAATATCAATCCCAAGCATGCCACGATATTTGCTGAATCATATAATTCACGTTAATTTTTAAACGGAATATAAATGTCTGCCGAATACCTTGACACCCTTCAGTGCCTGCGACACTTTCTCTTCCGATACTTTTTCTGCTGCCGAGATGGCTTCCATTGCCTTCCAGTTTTTCTCCCGAAGGGCCTACACATAGAATACAGAATTGATCAAGGGGAGTGTATCCCACCTAAATATACTCTTAAAACCACCAATAAAAATTATTTTAAAAAAAATAAAAATAATATTACCAAATAACAATAGTTATTATAATCATGTAAACTAAGAATAATAATATAATTATTTCTAAAAATATAATAATTAAAAAAGTCACTGAATCATTTATGTCAAACCTCCTAAAACCCTAGGTACTTACTACCTGGTACCCTTGTCAGGTACCAATGAGAAGGTATCAATTACCAGTAACCCACTACAGGGTAACATTGTTGGGTACAAATTAGAAGGTACCCATTAACGGTAACCCACTACAAGGTAACATTGTCTGGTACCCATAGCCAGATAACCCATTAAAAGGTACCTATTACTGGGTACCCATTACTAGGTAGCTATTGCAGTGTACCCATTTCCAAGTACCTTCTTATACGCCTACGTGGAGACAGAGGTACAAGTTCTGTCGATGATGTTCCCTGCACCTGCATGATGTACAGCTAAAGGTTTTTAGGGCCCCTCACCATGACCATCAGTTTGTTAATTTATTTCTAACAAAGCTTCAATATAAATTGAAAAAACTGTGCTTTTGGCAGGATTTGAACCTGGACCCTGAGATTGGTTGCCATCACTGTTTCTTTCTTGCTACCAAAACCAATTAATGAAGACTTATAACTAGTTATATGTCCTTGATGAAACAATCACATAAACACAAAGACAGGTACATCATAATACATTAAAATTCTAACGTCCAATGGACCAAATGTTGATAAATATTGAATTAAAAAGTCTTTGTGATGGACTTTTAAGTTTATGTTAGTCATTTACTCACATCATTTTTCTTTTTCTGCTTCTCTATGTCTGCTTTTAGTTTTCCAAGGTCTGACTGACTGCTATTTACTTTTTCTTGCAGTTCACTAATTAAGGTTTCTTTCTCTTTTAATCTGCAATTTACAATTCCATAAAGAGATTCAATATGAGGAAGTATTTACAGATTATTAATAAAATAGTATGAGGAAATGGGAGAGTGGAATGGAAGAAGAAAAAACAGTGAGGAAGTGGGCAAGGATAAGGAGGAAGCAAACCAAAAAGAAGTAATTATAGATAAAACAAAAGAAAATACATATGAGCGATGGAGTTAGAAAAAGAATGAAAGGAGGAATAACAACTGAAAGGAAAGAAGAGAAAAAAAAGAAAAGAGGATGAGAGCAAGAAAAGAGATAAAAAGATAAAGGCAAAGAAAGAGGAAATAAGAGGCATGAAAGGAAGAGAGGAAAAAAGAGCTCAAAGAATACAAGATTGAGAAAGAGGAAGAAAAAGAAGAAAGAAGCCAGACATGATTTTGTGTTTTCAAATTTTCTGGCATCAGGAAAAAATATTAGACATAAATATAGTATAATATTATATTATGCAACAGAAACGAGTTCAATAAAATCATCTACACAATAAATCAGTTAGCTGTCAAGTAAATTTCACATTGAATAATTATTTGTATAAATTATTTCCTACATGACATAAAATAAAAGTATGGCATAGATTAAAATTCAACTGGTATTTAAAAGATATGGATTTTCTCACATAAAGACTTTTTGACAAGGAATTAATAATCTGATCTCCAAACGATGGGTCTGATATCTAACATCCAACAAGCATAGCTTTATAAATCCTTACTACATGTTCATTAAATAAACAAAAGAGTCATTTTTACACACTGAATTAAAAAAATATGAAATACACAACTTACAATGACTCTGTCTCTTGGACCTGTCCGTTGATGGCGCTGTCCTTCTCTGTTTTGCTTGCTAAAGTGTTCTTAAGATCTGTAACTTGATTACCCAATGAGCTAATCTGGTTCTTTAAGTCCTAAAACATAATGTACAAAAAAATGCTACCATGAAATTCTTTTTCCATGTTGGAAAAGGACATACAAAAATAAAAAAATTTTCAAATCAAACTTAAGGAGAGAACATACGAGTATATTTTCAAGCATGTTCAGATTAAACAAATACTACAGTATACATCTAAAGAAATACAATTAACAGCATGGTTGCAAAATGGCAAACGCAGACACATGACCTTGTAGATAGTTGTAGAATCTTCAACAAGATGAAGGCGGCAACTTAACGGAAGAGGACATACAACAAATTCATAATTCAAATGTTACTACTAATCACCTGGATCTGTTTATCTTTTTCCATCGTCATCTTCTCTCCGTTACTTAATTGATCCTGCGATGATTTAAGTTTAGCTTTCAACTCGTCATTCTGCGCATTGGCATCCTGGTTATAAAAAGTCAAGAAAATATGTTAAAAACAAGGAAAAATAATAAAACATTTAAAAAAAATAATACTTCATGTTCTAAAAGAGTTTTAAGACATAAGAATATCAATAGTTTTAAATGCTTATGAGATTGAATGAAATAACAATCAATAAAACCAACACCTGAAGAACATTAGATAATTCAACAGTTATCAATATCCAATAACAGGTTACTAAAAATAATTAAATAAACAACGCTACTGTTTAACAATTTGTTGTTCCCTTTATTTTCTCTTTTTTATTTGTTTTTCTATTGTAGCATCCATTGCGAGTCTCAGTTCAGTCACCCTCCCATAACATGGTATTGTAATAATAAAACTTTAGAGGGAATTAGGTTTTACTGTGGGGACAAGAAAGGAGCTTTCACGTCGCGGCCATGTTCCAACCAATCCTTTCACCACTATACATTTGAATAGTATCGTCGAACTAAATCGACAACAGAGTATGAAATTGTGTATAAACTTGTGTATGGACTCAATAAGAAATAGTAGATTATTATATTTAAGTACTTCTGAATAAAAATTTCAAAATTTTTAAGGGAAAATTCTGCATATCTGCATGCAGGCATAGATGAAGAAAATATCTTCCATGTCTGTATTAATTTAAAAATTCACCATACAACAATAATCATGCAATTAACAAACACTATTTATAACCAACATTTTGAATAGAAGAATTCATGTCAACTAAAATATCAGCTTGGAAGCACATTCATCAATGCAGAACAATAACAAAAATACTACTGTACAGAAGTTGTACGTGCTTGCTAATGTCATGATTTACAAATAAAGTATATTTTTGCATTTTAAGAGTCTTAAAATAACTTAAAAACTATTGACTAAAAACAAAAATAGCCATACTCAACGCTTTATCACAATAAATTGAAAATGAATACAAAAATCATCTAATGTATATAATTTTAAAAATGAATCTAAATAAAGGTTAATTTACAGATGTTTATTAACACAAATTCTGTTTAATTTGTATAATTATTACTTTCATTTTCAGACACATATTTTGAAAGAAAGATCATTAAACTAAAATAACAGTTTTCATCATCATCTGTTTTATTTCTGACAGTTTAAAATATTGATGTGGACTTTCCCCTTCTGAATATACATAACTACACTGTATAACCTAAAAATATCTTTTATGTTGTGCAGAATCAAATTGGATCAAAATTAAGCCTACTAATTACTATAGGAAAGCTATTTGAGTATTTCATAATAGATTTAAAATGTGATTTCTAAAAACACTTCCTCAACTTTGACAGATAAAAATTTTGTATGGTAACCCAATTATTTTAGTAGCCTTTCTCTAGAAGGTATGATAAAGGTATATACCCTTTAAACCAGTGGACAAGATCAAATCAACTAAACTCTCCTTATAATAATTTACCTTTCATTATCATTTTTTTCAAGTGTTTTCATGGATTACAAAGTCCTGCTGTAGGACACCAACCGTCCATCCATTGCATATTCCCTCTATAAACTTATCTTTCTTAATTTCAAAACTTCATTTTTCCTTATAAGTTTTATTCAAATATAACCTTAAATAATTTATGAAATGAAATAATGAAAAAATGCTGGCATAGAGATCTACTAAACCCAAATAAAATGCAAGAAGTGTTGTAAAAAGAAAACACTTACCAAAGACAAACATTGAAAAAACAAAAAGAAAGATGTGTTTGTGAGTAAGGAAATAGAGAAAACAATATAATAGCATTGTTTACTTGTACCAGCTTTAAAGATTCCACTTTAAAAGCTGTCATGACATAATATTGTTCCAAAAATTATTTTTATGTATCATCAAGCATATTTTCATTAATATTTATTTAAAACCCGACATTTTTTACTTTTTTGTCATTGATTTGGCATCTTGCAGAAAGAGCAATACATGACCCATGGATTGAAATCTGCATTGTTTTTGTTTCGAAAACTTTGATATTTAGTACATAATTTAACAAATACTTCTTTAAAGCTGATTTTTCTGATTTGAAAGCACATCACTATAACAAGCAAAAACGCTCGCACCATAAAACAAAAAATAAACCCAAAAGAAAAAAAAAAAATTAATTTAGTACAACAAGATAACACTGAGAATGAAAAGCTTTATAGAACAAGATTTAGTCAAGCACAATAAGAAAAGCAACAATTTGAGGCAGTTTTGTTTTGCTTCCCAATAGCTTTTTCCCCATCTTTTTTTAGTTTTCGCCCTTGTTCTGCTTGGGTGCTCATAAACCACCGTTAGGGGTTTCTGAGCACCATTCTAGAGGGTTGATAGGGTTAGCCATTTACCTAAAGGAAATTTGTGCTAGTTACAAGTAATATTACTGATGGCTAGAGAACCAAAAATATGGTTGTACACTACAACCATGATTATCTAAATGAGAGCTTGTTCTACAATTGTTCTACAAATAACATTTTTAACAAAATATTTGAGAGCGAACACAACCACAGCGATAATTTTGCCATTTTATTACTCCAACTACAAACACCAGCTAACAGAAAGTAACAGAAATTAAAGCAACAATAACAACAACCATTGACAGACAGACCTTAAGCTCTTTGAGCTTTTCGGTGAACTTGTGTTCCTCCTGGGCAAAGTGGGCCTGCACGTTACCCAGCCTTGCGTCCAAATCCGCTTTCTCACGATGTACCGCCTAAATGACGTCCCATACATATAATCTTATCAATCATTTTGTTTTCAAAACAAATTATTATAAGTCAACAAATTCAATCACATAGAATTTCCTCCTTGTTTGGAGCGATATTGATTAATTTAGATTAATTTAATTAGGCATTTCAGAATCTGGTTGAATGAATGTTATTGAAATGATTCAATAACATTGAAAAAAAACACCATAACAATTATAAGAATTGTAATTAAGTAAATTTAATTGATAGAAAATTAATTAAATGACCTTTAAGAATACCAAGATAGATATAAAAACCCTTGCACCACATAAAGAATGGATAAATATAATAAATACTAGTGATTAGAAATATATAAAGAAAGAATATCGCACTTTTAACTTGGCCTCCAATGAGCTTAGTGCCTCGGACCCTCCACTACTGGACTTTTGTAACTCTTGGAACTGTTGTTTAACTTGACCGGCCTCAGTAGCTGACATCTTGGCGGCATTTTTGGCAACCTCAAGGTCTCTGGCTAGGCTGACATTCTGCTCCTCAGATGTACGCAGTTCAGAGCCCATTTCCTCCAGTCTCTTACTCAGCATATTCTCTTTCTCATTCTGCACAACAACAAAAAATAATGTAAAGATTCACTTTTTTCATTCATCTCATTTTTTTCATCATTTCATTCACAATTTACAGGTAAAGGAATATACATGAAAAAAACAAAAACAATTTCCCAGATATTAATATAGTATAAACAAGAAAATTTGAGCAGTGTTAGGCGGATAAGAATGCTGAAAGGAGAGGTGAAGTGTGGTAACAATGCCGAACAGGTGTGGTAACAATGCTGTGCAGAGATATCCATCTGCTATTTTTTACATTACATAAATGAAGCAAAACATAACATGGTATCATTATAAAATACCTAATTTTCGTCACCGCAAAAGATATTGCGCACCGTGAGATGACAATTAAATTGTAGTTGAAAAATACTTTCATAAAACAAGGTTAATTAGAACCTGAAGAAAGTTACTTCAAATTCAATATTAAGTATGAACAATTGGAATTCCTTGAATCAATGAACGTTTAATAGGAATATTCTAGACCTATTTTAAAGCCTCAAGGAACGGAATTAGATGTAGGCCTCCTCCTACTAGTGCTAGGCCTGACCTTAGCCTAGCGTAGTTATGAAATCATCGCACGATACAATAGTAATTCATCGTAACCGTACTGACAGTACTCCTGATGTGTAGTTAACGCGTACTGCAGCAGCACAAATCAGCATACGCACAGCTACAGCAAAGAGTATAGAACTGCAACCGGTCTGACTGCCGTGGTTTCATTGGAATGCAATCCTATTTCAAAAAGTACTTCCACAAAGGTGTGCGTGGCCTCAAAAGACGTTCGATGATCGAATGTGTGCTGTGTGCATGTTCGAGTTTCGAACGCTATTCGAATTCAAATAGGGCGCCCCCTATTTCGTGGCAGTACTTTTTTAACATTCCATTGCCTGCACACAAAATCATGGCAGTCGGACCTCTTGCAGATTCATACTCTCTGGCTACAGCTAAATGGTAAATACGCTCACAGTATACTGATCATCATATCACTATAGCAAACCAATGACTGCAACAGTTGGTTATCAAAACCAAAGCAAATTGCCTTGTCAAAACTAACATTAAAAGATGGCGATTGACTTATAAAGTATTAGTAGACCATGCATCGTACACTAGCGGAAAATTATTTTACTTAGTCTAGATTTAATGCATTCAAAATTCCTTGCAGGCCATCAGGAAATTTTTTCAAGCATTAAATCTAACCTTTGTATAATAATTTTCCTTTAGTGTACTATGCGGAGCTCTACTAACTGCTTATTAATCCCTTCGGGGATACAACAAAATATGAGCCAAACCTGGGTAACTTGAACTTGTTGGAGTTGTTGTTCCAGTTGTCCAATCCTACTCTCGTAACCATGGCGCAGCTCATCGACCTTATGGCCATGGTCTTTACTACCCGACAACTGGGTTTGTAGTTTATTGTTTTCAGCTTGAAGGCGGGCTAGCTCGTTACCCATTAACTGCTCTTTCCTATAAAAAGAAGTATGAAAATAGTTTTCATACCATGACAATAATTCCTATTTTACCTCATAAAACTATTATGGATTTGAGTATTATTGTATTTTAATACATTTTTAATGTTTACTTTCTTCTCTCGTAAATATACTATAATAATCATTTATACATAAAGTGTAAATTCAATATAATCATTAATAAAGTCTATACTATACTGTTATAATATAATATAACAATGGTATTTGACTTTGATAACTTCTAAAATTCATACTGTACTTATAAGGTCAAATGTCACCCTACTACATTGTATACATGATAGTGTGATAGCGTCAATTGATAAGATCATGTGATGTCATGTGATCTCAATGACACTACTGTAGACAACATATCCTACTATCACTTCCTTCTAATCTAGCAAATTAGCTAGATAATAACAAAGAAAAGAGAAAAAAAAATGGTAGACATCTATTATTGTGGTGCTGCTAGGCTATTATTTTGTATGTATAAAAAGATGCTACAATACTGGGTTGCTGTGAATTCCCTGAGGCAATTTTTTAAATCATATCTGTTTAACTCTGGGGAGAACTGTAATATTTTCTGTATATTTCTACTTCCTACAGTATTCCTGTATCGGCAGTTTTGTATGACGCTATGCCTTGCATCATAGGGTTTAGGATATATTGAAAATGGATAAGAGTGAGCTAGACACAATTATAACTAGACACATAGGAATGCTAATTACGTATTAATAGCACGTTATACGACTGGTAGGAAATCATTTGATTGGTCATGTAATTGGTAGGAAGTCTAATTCTAAAAAAGAGGAGGTATCGTGGTTGTAATGATTTTAAGTTGACAGACCACATGATGTACATGCCTGAGTCATAGTTAGCAGACAGACAACGGCAGTAGCTGCCATTTCTTAGGCTTAAGACACTGAGTATGTGTACGCTCAGCATGACATTCTACTGCCTCCTAGGCCTTGGATGTTAAGTACATATGTTGAGTATTTGCAAACTTCCTTCAACTAGACCTAGAAATCCAGTACATGTGTTCAGCGAGGTCTAGACAACATGTGCTTAGCATGTTGTGTGCTATGTCTACATGGGTGTGGAATATGTACAGTATAGAACACAGGATGTATCAATAATAATAATAATAATAATAAAATAAAACTGTATTTATAATAGAGCCTTATAGATTTCAGATCCTTATAAGTTCTTAACATTAAGCCTTTAACTCTGATGGACAACTATCCCTCACCGGACACCAACCTGGTACTTTTTTGAGTCAAGTAATACATTGTTTTTTTGCAAAGTATAAGCTTTAATGTGTCATATTATGTCTATACATTACATAAATAAATAATAGTAATAATTGAGAAAAGAATATATAGATTTACCATAATACTTCTAATAACCCTGGATTACTATACTTTGATTGTTTTTTTAGGGTAGGCTACTATTAGAATATGGGTTACTATTAGAGTAGTAGATTACTAAGTTTAATGTAGGCACTTGAAAATAGTAAACCCCACCTACCCCCAGCTTTTCGTGTCAATAATTCATAGAAATAAACATCTACAGTAAAAAACCTTGTTAACTAAATTTTATTTATAAACTCAAAAACACCAAGGAGATAATTCAAGAAAGGTTCATCAGTGGCACAATCACAATATGAAGAATGCCTTGTTTAAAGAATAAATCATGTTAAAGTGACAAAAATGTTGATTTGAATGTCATTTTGTCTATAGATTTGGTGACTAATAGTAATCCCATGGATTATTATTAGAGTATTTGGTTATTATAGATTAATTTTTAGGGTGGGTTACTATTAGAATAGAGCAATGGGTTATTATTTAAGAAGTTGTATGGGATATGTATGTAGAAATTTAAGCATGTGTAGATTTCGGTAGTACAAACAAATTATTAGAGATAACCTGCTAATACTTACTTAGCAACATTTCTGTTGGCTTCGGTCTTCAGCATGTTGTTCTCTTCTCGCAGTTGCTGTATCACTCCAGAGTTGCTCTCATCAACTAAAGCTTGAAGTTGCTTTACCTTCATTTGGAAGGCGGTACTTTCTTTACCGTGTTGCTCATGTGTCTACAAGTGAACATAAAAAATAAATATTAAATAGTTATACAGGTCTCCCTCTAATTAAAGACCCAATCCAATTAAAGACCCCTCTAATTAAAAACCACCTCCAATTAGAGACCAAAGCTGCTAAAGGGACACAAAACCCTGGCCCCAATAGTGGGCTTTAATAAAAAGACCTGCAATACAAAATATTTTATGGAAATATATCAAATATAGGCCTATAGATTGAAATATTCCACTTTTCATTTTGTCACACCAAAAAAGTGCCAGCAAAACATGTTATGTATTGGCTTCATATTCTTGTGATCACTGTTTTATGCCGGCACTTAAATTTACACGTTAAGATAGTATTATTTTTTTGCTTCGTCGACCAAATACATAAAATTGTCATGGTAAAACACATTCCATTGCAATGATTATTCTATGAGTTGAAGCTTTACATTGCAAGTTCAAATTCCATTACAAATTAAGTATTCATTTGAAAAAATCTGTAAAATTCCCTAAAAAATAAATTAAAAAACTTCCTCATCTGATTATTGCTGCGAAGCAGCCAATTCATATTCTTGACAGCAATTTGACCTCTGAAAGGTCATTGTTTGTCAAAAAACCTGCGCCTACTGTATGACAATTGAAAAGCGGAGTTTCCTTCTTTCGTTCTGCCGGGTAAAATCAATTACTTTAGGCGACGTTTGTAGACTAACCTACTCGTACCAACGTCCGCATGTCGCAACGCTGGAGTACTATTCAGCGTTTTTATTATATTTCTAGGTTTCCTATTTCTACGTTTAATCGGCTCATGTCTCAGCCACAATATTTTGAGGCCAATATTATTTACGAACCCAGTTAAAATTATTTACTAGCCTATTTCAACATGCTAATTATTAAATTTAGGCGACGCTTGTTGTAGACTGGCATAGTGTTTTCGGAAATAAATACCATTTTATACACATGCGAAGATCGATTCGCCAGCAGCGAGTCATCGGCCAGCAGAGCAGCGAGTCGCCAGCAGCGAGATGTCACTGCAGCAAAACACTATTGTACACGGTACCAACGCTGTTCTAATATAGACAATGGGTCGTGTCTCATATTATTTGTTATATTTTTATTATTCATTATTTTCACTTGACTCGCATAAATAATTTTGTTCGAAGAACATTCTATGCAGTTTTACTTCGCAGCACTTCACTTGCAATTTGCAATTTCTAGTATTAAGTTATTTTCAAATTAGATTAAAACAACTCATTTTTTTTTCACTGACGCAAGGGTTCCATGTGAACAGAAGTTGCACACGTGTCAGTCTATCCTAAGCTATAGGGCAGTTCCATTCTGAGCGGTGGCGTAGGCCTCTCGTGGGTCGCACCCCTTACGAGATTTTTTTTTCTTTACTACACAAATTCTTGAATTATCAGCAAAGTGGTATATGCAATAAATATGGGAATAATCAGAAATAATAGCTCCTCAATCAAATTTTCAATTAGAAACAACTTGGGCAAATCGAGGTAATGACAAATTTTCAGCTCATCGCAGTACTGTATAGTATATCTTTATAGCCAAAATTATTCATAAAAAATAGGAAATTTTGACAGCTATATAATTATTATTATTAAGCCATTAAGACTATCAAATATTTTATATGACAAAAACATGTGACATGCCTTAATATGGTCATGGTGACATCACATTATGACCATATACAGACACATCATGACTACTATATATATGGGCATACTATTAGTTTTTTGTGAAATAAAATGTGATAGATAGGACCTTATTCTCAGAAGCTGATTACAAATTCTTTTTAAGTCTGCCAGTAAATATTTAATTAACTGGTTGGTAGTAAGAAATGTTTACTATCAATGGCAATTTGCATATGATGACTACAGTATGAGGAATATGAAGCCAACACACGAACAGTTTATATTTGTTGTTTTCAGCCATTGGCTGCTGTTTTGCTTGGTGTTTATACCTGAATAAATGAATGACACAAACACCCCAGAAGTTCCTCAAAATATAACCAATCCACATTCTTTAGAATGTAAATATTCTAAGCTCTTTGACATCGCTTGCCTATGATATGAGGCAGATTTTCAGAATCATAAAATCAATAAAGGCAAACACCTCAAAAAGTTTTTTTTTTCTATCAGACTAGTGAAATCACTGTAAAATATTATGCCTCAGCATTTCATTAATAATTATTCATTCATCACACAGCAAATTGTACTGTATATACCATAAATAATGTAGAAGACAAAAATAAACAAACAGGTAGCAGTAAACAATTAAATCAAGATGAGGCCCCCAAGGCAATGAGAAGGTCATCTGAGTTAACATCCGTAGCTGTCTGGGTAGTGATACTATTAGCAGTGTTTGCAAAAAGAAACCTCTCAATAGCTTATGAAATTGTTTTCCTTTATTGTGCAGAAACAGACCAATTAGTCTTGTTTTACCTATAACTCCATTATTTAATAATTTCCTTCTCTATTCTTTCTATTTGTTTATTCTTTTTGAACGTTAAGAGCTTCCAGAACACCAGAATGGATGAATTACTATGCAAAATATTATATTTAGCCTCTTCGGACCCCACCGGAAATAAGTCTTCTTCTAAACTTTCGTGGGTTATCCTCGGTGTTTATACCGAATAAATCCAATCCAATCCAATCCTTCAAAGTATCTAAGTTAAAACATGCATTGCATTAGCAACTGTGCAACATTAATCTGCGAAAATTATCTCAAATTTGGCTAATTTACATATAAGTGAAGGCAATTATTTTCTTCCAGGAGTGCAAAATGTTTGAATCAGGCAACACCTGTCGAGATGGGAAGTCACCTGTTGAGCAGATCGAAGAGAGTCTAACCATGCCTTAACACCTGGTGTGAAATTCATGCAACACATCATTGTGACCATATGGTGAAGCAGTATTGCTTTCTAAGAATCATAGGTTCAAGCCCAACACTCGCCACTTGTTTGTGTCCCAGGTCAAAGCACTTTATTGATACCTATTAAGTTTAAATGTCAATTCCATGGACTACTAACTGCAATATTATGGAATCGAGTATTCCCTTTGGGGTCTCCAGGAACTAAAGTGTTTCTGTGTTTATCTAGGGACTTAAGAAATGTGAAACGTAAACCATAGGTCTTGGGAATAGGACCAAAATGTTATAATCATCATACATAAATATCATTAATAATATCATTATCTTCTTAATAACATGAAACACACACATTATACATTAATCAATCATTCTATTTGAGAACTTTTGCTTCAATTCATCTATTCTTGGTGTTAAGTATAGTATTAGTACTTCATGTGATAAAATCAACTTCAGCTCGTTTCTTTCTAAAGGCGTACTGTAGCACTACTGTAAAAAGAATTCATGACCTTTGATGCAACGAGAGCCAATTTCCTAGCAAATGATCTGTCTAATACTAATAGTACAATAATCACTTTCTCAATATTGCATCATGCTATAAAACTACATATTTTTTAAATCATTAATTATTGTATATCCTAATATTTCAAGGCAAATTTCCTTTAACGTTTTTATTTCATCACTTTATAGAATATGATTATCATGAAACATTTTCTACAATTTTTATTACAAAATCAATTCTTTTTGATGTAAACTCGTGAGGCATGATGGGTAACAATAGCTTATAATCCATTGGCTATGAGTCATGTTGGCAAATGTCTGGTAAAACACTTGAATTATCATTGTATGAGAAATTTTGAAGATGTAAATAATGTATTAAAATTGTAGTAAGGCAATCCACTTCACAGTTAACTGCAGGAAACTAAATTGCATAAATACAGAGGAATTTTAAGCTATGAATCCTACTCCTAAAAAGACATTTTTCTTACTAAAATGGACTCCCTATCCTATTGTATAGCTAGATAAAAATAAGCCCACCTATTCCCAAGCTCACTCTACTCTAACAATGGTATAGTCCATTTTAGGTGGTTTTGTCTGGGTGATTATTGTCCAGAGGATTTTGTCTGGGTGGTTATGGGGGGGGGGAGGGGGAGGTGTCTGATTTCCTTATACAATATAGAACTTTTTCAATGTTATAACTCATTAATGTTATTCAGTGGCGGGTTCAAGAAAGCACCTACCCCTCTACAAATTTGTAACTATTTATTTTTTTTTATAGAGAAAAAAAAATATATTTGTGCCATTTATATCCATAAACCTTCTTAGACCCTCCATCTGTGAAATTCCCTCCCTGTGACCCTCTATTTCAAATTTTTTTAATCAGCCACTGTTATTGTTATGACTTTATATGAGCATATTGTACATTGTATGAGAAATTATCACAAACTGTTATTATTTACCTAATCTAATTTAATAAGAGGGAAAATGATTTTCATGTTACTGTAAATAGGCACTAACACTTTCACTGCTGATTATGTTGTATGTATTTTGTACAATCCAGGAATAAGGTCATACTTCAACATATCTTTAGTATTTACTTATACTGCTATGGTAGTAAGCACACCACTTGAGAATATTACTAAACCTAAATATTTGATGAGAAAATTTTTGTGGAAAAATAGATCTACAATAAGCTCATGTTAATAATCAATGGAATTAATTACTATCATACAACAAAAAAATACACAACCGACCTGAAGGGTGGCTAGAAGAAATGACTATGCAATTCCTTTTTAAGGCAATCGTAAAAACTATAGAAAACATATATACAAAAAAAAATGAATATATTTTACTGGAAAAATAGGATGCAGACAAAAAAAGATTATCCCACACTCAAAGAAATTGTGATTTTTTCCAATGACTACCTCATATTTTGACAGTAAATATACCTGACCCAGAAAATAAATCTACCGACAAAAAAGAGCACGACTAAATCAATATTTCTAGTACAACATGCAGATTAGCTTTATTCTTATCAGAAAAGCTACTGAAGTGATAAATTTATTGAAAAGCTTAGATCGGCTAGTCGAGATAACCAACAAAATGTTCTGAGTTAGTAAAATTAAATGCAAACATCCTTATTATTAAGAATGGAATATTTAACTAAAAAATAAGTCATCCCAGAACTCCATACTGCCTTGCATTACATTACAATCTAGAAATATACAAATAATTTTCCAAATACATATTATTTAAGACACACAAAACAACCTGTTTGTTGATAAAGAAAAGACGGAGGCCTAGTTCAGACTAGGTGGATAAACCCTGCTCAACTCACTGGGTTTATCCATGTGCCAGTCTGAACTAGGTGGCTTTATCTCAAGGCGGGCTGTGTTCCTTCCACCACAGGTGTAAATAAATTTGCATATTTACCTGTGACATGCGCAGATGTAATGCCTGTATGTCCTTTTCCAATGAAGATATCTTGTTCTTATAATCTGCATCTACCTTTAAGCTGTGCTGTTTCTCTTGTGCCAGCTCCATGCGAATTTCCTTCACCTTTTGTGCCGAAGCTTGGGTTGACAAAGTCTCTGTAAAATCATATAATATAATCATGATTAATAATTATCATAACAACGACACTACTGCCAATAGAAAGGGAGGGGGAAGGTGGGGCCAGTTTTCTTCTAAAATAATAAATTCATTGTATTATTTTCATTCGTTGCAACATATTTTTCAATTTTATCTTATGACAATTACATTAATAAACATTGATTTAATTAAATTTCCTTGGATTTATTTGCCTGACTTTAGTTTTCTAATACGTATTCTATCTTATCATACTGCATTTTCTGTTTTTTCGAAATGGTGACATGATCTACTCTTTAAATTGGGGCACCTAATTACATACAACGCCAACCTCCCCTGGCTACCCCCCTAGACCCCAATTTTCACACTTGCACTACCCCGTGGCCCTTCTTGGTGCCACGTATAGGTACTCTCATGAAAATGATCGTTTATAAATACTTTTAATTGTTTCTTGTAATTTATACATCTTGTAGCTCCTTTCATTAGTCTGTTTACATAGCTGTGCAGGTGACCACGACAAAATAGTTGATTAACAGTAAACAAAAATATAGGAAAAAAGGTGGGATCATTTTATTTCACCTACCATTATGAAGCATTTGTTCTTTCTCCTGCAGCTGCCTTTTGAGGGAAGACACTGGGTCAGATCGTTGATTTGCCTTTAAAAATATACAAAAAATAAACAATCAGAAAACTAACAAAAATATACAAAATATAAAAAACTAACAAAAATATACAAAATATAAAAAACAACAAAAATAAACAAAATTTAAAAAACAAATAAAATATACTACAGTATTATAATATGGGTGGCATTTTGTTAAATCAACCAAACTTTAAATTCAAATGGCAAACTAGAACTATTATTCAAAGGACAATTTGTATGTTTTAGATAAATTAAACCCAATTGACTTGCCAGAGTTTTGTAATCGCATTCAATCTTATGATGTACAGTAATACTCTATTAGAAATATTTGCCATATTGGTTCTAATTTTACCGAGAAGAATAAATTATCATTAAATATGTGGCTGCCATACTTAAGTTGGAACACATTATCGCTGCTTTCAATCTGACTGTAATTCAGTCAAGTAGAATCCCGAAGCTAATTGATGGCAATCAATGAATAAATATCCATTTAATCGTGAAGACGTTAAAAAAATACGCGCTCTATATGCTTGTCTTAGCAAAAAAAAAGCACTAAGAATCAGTTCAGTATCACTGATCATAAATAACTGAAAAGATTTTTTTATGTGATTGATGGCAATACCTTTTGAGTTCAAGTTCACTCATTGAAATGCAAACAAAATAATTTTTGAACAATCTGATTTTTCCTCCAATAAAATTATTTACAATTCATATACATTCATTTGTTTTAAAAGTATATTTATTAGGTCTATAATTATAACCAGATGTTAAATAACTAATGACATTTTAATATTAAGAATATTCATAAAATTATAATATACAATTATGATACTCAAGAATATTCATGAGATTATAATATATAATTATGATACTCATGAATATTTATGAAATTATAATATATAATTAGGATACTCATGAATACTCATAAATATTCATAATTAATATCTCGTGGAATGTGTTCTAGAGGAAATAACACAAGATAAATGCCAGACTATAGGCCTACATGACATTCATTTACTACACATTCTATTTCCAAGAATAGTAGTAATTATTAGAACTGTGAAAAAATAACTGATATGATGGACAAATCTCTACTCTACAATGTACCGTATATTCCGGTGTATAAGCCGCCCCCTCCCCAAATTAGGACGCGAATATCACAATTTTTTGTGTCACCTGTGTATAAGCCGTACCTATTTTTAAGTTCCAAACCGTTCCCATAATGTTAAGTTTTTAATTATTTTGAAACATTGACATTATTTATAAATGTTCACATAAAGAAATTTCATCGTTTTCGGACGATTATTAAACAACAAACAACTGGAAATGCGTGTAAAATGCTGGCTACCACCATGTTAACAACATATTCTTGCTCTAGGCAGCCGGCCCTAGGGAAATCCCCATTTTTGGCTAGACGGTCGTGCTACCTTAAATTTTCAACATCAGTTTAGTTTAAGTTTAATAAAATAAAACACTTATTGAGTATATTTATCTATTTTAAACAATCATTCTATTATTATGTTGACTAATAACAGTCGCTATTAGGCTAAAAATATTGGTAATTCTAGGCCTAAGTCATTACTACTCACAGCCCACTGTGCGAAGCATGGACCATCACGCACCACGTTTTATAAACAAAACTCAGAACTGGAGAAATATCGTGGATACGGAGTTCACGCATGCCCATGATGTATGCCTTTCTACAGTTAAATTCCAGTAGAATAATTATTACAACTCGTGTTTTTATAGCATAAATTAATTTCACAAGTTTTTATTCTAAAATTATAGCGGTATCAATATTCTCTCTATAACGGTACAAGCAACCGGGAACCAGACGTCGAACAGCAAGTTTTATCAGCCCACATGTTTTTTGTTGCGACATCGAAAATGAAGCTGCTCACGTGACCTCGAGGACCCAATTAACTCCCGAAAAGTAGTTTGTTATTGTTTTGAGCGAAGCGGTTTTGAACAGAAACAGCGTGTTTCAAAATTGTTTACGAGTGAACGTAATTATGAAAGTAATTATTTAGACAACCCAAATCATTGCTAATGTCGTAGAAAATTTAGTAGGAATCCTAGCACAGCACTGTAGTGAGTATAATTACAAATACTAGGCCTAAAAACCGGTCCTACCCTAGGCTAATTAATTGGGCTAGCGTGGGCCTATCCTAGACAGACGGCGCCTGATTTTCGCCGCGGCTCGCGATCTGAACTTGGTTAATGTATGTATGCGGTGTATAGGCCACACCCCAAACTTCGGGGGGAAAATCGCGTATAAAATTTGCGGCTTATACACCGGAATATACGGTAATTTAAAATTTGAGTTAAGATTTATGATTACAAAATCTGAAGTCAAAAACAGTAGCCTCATTTAAGCTGAAGTTGAAAATAAAAATGTTCGCCAACATTTTCAAATCATTACTTATAAGTATTTGAGTATAGAAAGCACAATTAAAAAAAAAAAAAAAAAAAATTAATATGATGGTTTGTTTGTATCTTTTTTTTTTTTTTTTGACATGGGTAGTGACATCATGGATTGAAAATGTTGATGTATCTGTTAGAAATCTCTGAGTTTGTATTGTTGATGCGAGGACCTTTTACTGTCAGCTTGCCATATGGCAAATCTTGTAATTATAAAGTTATAAATTATAAATAAATAAAATATTAGCATAACTACTGTTACTGCTTACCATTGTCCATTGGTCGGCATTGCCTTGGCCACTCTGTTTGAGCAGCGTATCAATAAGCTGTTGGATCTCTTTGTCATTAAGACGAGCTGCTTTGATGTCTGCCACCAGATCCTTTACCGAGCCACTTGCAACTAAAATTAAGAAGCGAAAACATGAAAAAGTGATGAAGGGCTACTAACAGCAGAAAACTAAAAGCAAGCATTATGATTAAATTCTCATTCAGTTTGAAAAATTTGTAACAAGACCAGTATAGAAAAAAAAAAAGATTTTAACCTGGGTTATTTCTTCCAAAATTTAAAAAATAAGTAGGCCTATCAATTATGTAACTAGGCCCAAAGAAAAAACACAATGACTACAACATTCTGAATGTCATACTTCACCTGTACAAGTTCTACAGAGTACAAAGGGGCAATTCCATGACTTTTTTTCAGATTTAACAAATTTTCAACTTTGAGGAATGTAAACAAGTTTTATATCAAACTAAAGCTTAAAAATGAATTTTTAGGATTCATTGATGAAACTTTTCTTGTGTGGATGTATAAAAATATATAGGAATTTGAAATTACATAATTTTGAAAATATAAAAAATATGAAAATGTCATGTTTTTTCAAAGCCTCTAGAAACTAACAAACTGCCATTTATGCCAGTCATTTTTATTTTAAATTGGAGAACTTAGCATATTTTATTAGTTTTTGTGACAAAAAGGAATATTCATTTAAACAAAATATTAAGGCGGGGCAAAACTATTCCTCAATATTTTTGTCGGTCTGTGACCCAAAAAACATTTTTTAGGTTTATTAAGTCATGCAGCTTTCAACCATTTTGAAATTCATAAAACTATTGAAGCTATTAGGCTAACATTCACCGACAAGTTTATTTAAATTTTTCGACTTATTTATTCATATTTTAATTACATTAATTTTAGTCGGTCTGTGACCAAATTAGTCACAGACTGACTTGTCGGTCTGTGACCAATGATATTACAATAATCTTTAAGCAAACTTTTTCTGTAAAGTTGGTTATATTCAATAAACAAAATTAAAATGACAAAAGACATGGGCCCGGGAAAGGTTCTAAGGACATATAGTGGTTTATTTGAAAATAACAATGATTTGCTTCATAATAGAGTTCTCAACAACCACCAAACTGGGTATATTAAACCACGTGACTAAGTAGTTGGAAGCTGAGTGGGTAAAATCTTTCAAATACATAAAGCTGTAGTTTATCATTCAGTATAGATCTTGATTTCAACATTTAAATACTGTATAGTTACTATTCACTATGCCATTAACCAGTGGAGGCGTCAGCGGGGTGGGGGGGAAGGGGCAGAGGAATTTTCTTTGTCCGAAAGCCGGGACCCCCTGTCTTTCGACGAACGACTAGGTCGTCGGACCAAACATTTTTAAAAATAATAATTTTCCTATCCAAATAACGCTATCTTGATTGCCAATCCCTAATATTGTAGTCTAAAAACACATTTAGGGATAAATTAAGCCATAAAAACTCCCATCAAGAACCCTAACAGATATTTATTTGTTTCGGGCTATCGACCGAGGCTTTGTCGTTGCTTTGGTTCGGACCCCTGCATCAGACACGTCGGACCCCTTGTTGGCAAACATCTGGCGCCACCATTGCCATTAACGTCTAAAGAAAAAAAACCATGCTAATCATTTCAAAGGCAACCATAGATGGAAAATGGAGCATGTTTGATGGTCGCTGGGAGGATGTGAAAACACTTCTAGATACCCATAATGCATAAAATGCATTTCATAATTTTCTTGGTTTAATATGCCTTTTTTCATTAAGTACTAGAGTATTTATTAACTGGGTCAGATCAATCAACATCCAAGCAATCATGATTTTGCTTAAGACTATTTTCTGTGACGTTTATTAGGTAAATAATACCATTCTTAATATGTTAAATAATCTGATTTTATTACAAAATAAATTTTTGTTTACTATAAGGAATTAAGTTTTGCTTTTTTATATACAATGTTTGGTAACAAGTTTTTAGTATTGAATTTTATATAGAGAGTTTTCTCCTTTTAATGTGCCAGATTCCATCATATACTATCATGCAAATCGATAGGTCGGTCTGTGACCGTCGGTTTGTGACCAGACCCAAGGTGGTACCATCTACCCTGTCATCCCCATGATGTAGTTTTACATCACCTTCTCTGTTGATACTAATTCCTTATATATGATTTTACATACTGGATGTGTTACCATAAATCTTTTCGTAATATTTTCAATAGAATTGCACAAAGTTTATATTTGTAAAATTTTCTCTTTTTTTTTAAGTCGGTCTGTGACCAAACATATTAATACCAATATTTCATAAATGACTTTACGTTTTGATTTTTGTAATATTGTCAATTAAAAGTGTGTGGGAAGGAGTATAAAATTTACTTGGAATTTCAGATTTACTGGTTTATCTGTAATATTTGAACAGTTTTTTACCATTATGAATGCCTTAAAAAGTCGTGACCATGGAATTGCCCATAGGAAAAATACAATAATAATATAATTTTTGTATTGTGTCTTGAAGGTAGGTAAAGGTAAAGGTTGGAGAATAAACCATAACTAGCATCAGTTATGGTTATTGTTATCAGGTAGTTGAACTGTGTATGGATGTGATCCGTGATTATGTAGCCGCCATAAAGAGACACCTTATTATCGTGTCACATGATCATGAAAACAAAAAAACACCTTGAACAAAATTATTCGCTTTATTTGATTTTTAATATCAATGCAAGCTTATTTTTTTAAATTGATTAAAAAATATTGTTTAAAAATCCCTGAAATTGTTGTTCGTGAAATAGTCTTTCAAATCTAAATTTTTTTCATTGTAAGGGGTTTTGGTTTTAGCCTATCTCATTGCCTACAGTATGTTTTTTGTTAAACTATCTTTATTTTAAGTTCTATTGACAATACAAAATACATTCCATTTTACTATAGCCTATAGGCTTATTACTATTTACTGGATAATTCAAACCCACACAGGACAAACACATCACCCATCTAGACAAGGTGGATGAAACACCAAGGTCATATTCTACAGACTGCACATTCCCTATTTCTGAATGTAGACAGAAAGTAATTACATTTTTGAATACAGAAACTCAACATTACAAACTCAGTAATGACTATTCTTTAATAAGACCCATGGACTGGAAAATAAGCAATAAAAAACATATAATCACAAATACAATAGTAACTATACTTCAATGAAGGAAGTTGCATTGGTAAATAAACAATAAATTTATTTGTTCAAAAAATTATCATAATTTAAAAATAAATTATGGTTTAAACGCATCTCTCCAATTGGACTACTGTATGGCAAATAATATGTTAGACATACTGATTAGTAATTAGCTTTCCGTTACAGACCTTCAATTCCAAAATGTGATTTGCAAACCTGCGCCCAATATTGGAAAAAATTCATTTGGAGAAAAATGATTGCAGACAAGATGTAAGAACATCAATCTAGGCCAAGTTAAAAAAAAAGTAGTTTCTTATCCTAATATTTTGAAAAAAGAAGAATGAGGACACATTTCTTTTACTCCGAGATGGCAAATCTAAGATGGTCGATGGGAAACAGCTAATACTTTCTCAATTTTATCAAGTAGACACATTGAAAGCAAATAAAAGAAGCACTAGACGTGATACCATGTACAGTATCCCTAAACATGAACGATCAATAGAATAGAGGATTTAGCGATGATTGCTTACAGGCGGTCACATGACCTAGCATATGAATAATGTTATGGTTGCGAAAACAATCACCCACTTTTAATGCGAGAAGTAAATGGCTAGGAAAGGCAATACGATTGTTCAAAATAGTGTTTAATATTTACTTATCCTAGCGTTCTCTTTGGATTGTATGCTTTGAAATTTAAGTAATCCTTCATAAACCTTAGCTGGCCCTAACACTGCAGCATAGTTTGCGGATCGAAGACCATCATGCATGAGTTAGCCCGGTTTGCGTACAATTTGCAAATGGAAATTAAAAAAAATAAAAATGGATGCGCAAGGGAATGGGAAACAAGTAATTTTTTTATTTGGCTTCAAATAATCTCTGAATTTTTATAATCTCATATATCATCTGATCTGTTTCTCTTAAACTATCTTTTCTACATTTGTATGTATTGGGATATATTTTGTATTTAAATCTTTAAAAAATAATGAAACATTAATACTATAAATACAAAAGCAACATACATAGCAGCAAGTATCCTTTTTACATACATGAAAGAGAGAAAGAAAACACACCTTTAACAACTTTTTATAGTGCAACATAAATATTGAATGAATTGTTCCATAAAAAGTAAAATAAATAATAAGTTAAGTAAACTCTACAAACAAGCGTGTATCGTATCAGATAGTATCTGAACAGGTTCAACCCTTGGATGGCCCAAAACCTGCATCAATGAGTTACGAAGGCATAGGTTATCATAGATTTATATGTTCCCCACCTTTGTCCTTTTACCTGCTAATCTGGAAATTCCTATCTAAAAAATGACTAGTGGCAACTCTCATATGTCACTCATCAAATTTCTTGAAATCTTCCAAATACTGTATCTCAAGATTCACATAACGTTGTAGACATTTTACGCAGAAAAAACATAGTAAATTATAACAGGGGTCAACTACTCAGTAACATAATATTTGATCCAAAAAAAAAACCACAAAATAATTGCATAATAGAAAGTGCAGAGACTGAAATATCAGAAAAAAATCTGTTTTGCATGTTGAGTTACAAAAGAACATGAAGGTTGTGTAGGCAAGTTAAACCATAATATAGATAAATCTAATATAAACTTTAAGGAAAACCATCTGCAAATATTAACGGTACAATCTGAGACAAATATAGCTGTCTCAGGTACAATGAAAGTTTATTAAATTTGGTTTAAATAATAGAGTTAATTATTGTTAGTATGAATAATGAATGCAATTAATGCGGGGAAATAAGCCCATAAAACGGTATTATTTTGAAGATTGACCCTACATTTGGCTTCATTTTTAGCCAGCTAGATGCAGTATCAAGACGATAAACATCGCCAACAAAATCTTTTTGGGGGGATGGGCCTATACGGAAGAATATATAATTCAATAATTAATTTGTTAAGTTTGGTGGGAATTTTTACATTGGTGACATTTATTTAAGAATAGGTTGCTTTCTTGCGACATGTTTTGAGTGGAAGTGACTCAGACTTGGGGTGAATAATAGTTGTAACCGTTGACAACAATGATGACAACACTGATTACGAGGGTGACTTGATCATTACCAGCAAAAGTGAAATTAGCAAGTGAAAACAAACATGGTGCAGGAAGTCAAGAGTTCATTCCAGGCATCAAGCTACCTGCGAGTCTGTAGAGCTCTGTCCACACTATCAAACTTCATGTGACAAAAACTCTATGCCCATATTTGGGTGTAGCATGTCTATATATGGGCATGTTACACCCATATATGGGAACATCCCATATTTGGGTGTAACATGCCCATATATGGGCACATAACACAAATTTGTCACATAAAAATTTGATAGTGTGGACAGAGATTTAGATAAAATATTGAGAACCCCTTAAAAAATTTAATTCAAATCAAATATCAACTTTAATTTATTTAATTTAGTTCAAATATTTGACATTGATTTTTATTCTAATATTTCTTTGGACTTGATTTCCCTGAGTTTTCTGATCTGTTCATCTGTGTGAAAAATAAATAATTCAATGAAATGTCTAGGGCTGTATCATGAAAAGTAAAAATCTGTATCCTCATCTCGTGGGATTATTAACTCTACGAATGGTCTTACATGGCCTTCCTACAGTAGGTTATTAGGATTTCATTTTCAGACGACTTAATACATAAAACTGCTGGATATAAATTTGCATGCACAGTTCAGTGTCAGCAGAGCGTGCACTGAAGACGATATTGATTATGTAATCATGGATTATTGAAGATTCTTTAGAAATGGACTCTAGGTGTGACAACAAACATAGGCCAATACAAGACCACTAGGCCTATAAATTACACAATCAATAGGGTGAATTTCAATTTCACATACATTTATATTACCCACCCTTACTTTTCTACAGCTACAAAACATGCATACAGTACCAAATGCAAGCAATCAGTACCATACATTACCATGTGTGTACCATATGTATCCATTTGCATATTACGTTTATTACTGTAACTATTAATAATTATGTGAATGTGTATCGTATTCGAACAGTAACCGAAAGGTCTTGGGTTCGGATCCCGATAGGGAATAATGTTTTTCTCAAATTTTAATTATTATCTTTATTTATCACCAATGGAGTTGTATCTCCATACCTAAGTAACCCTCACGTTACTTACGATTACTCATTGCGTATTTCACAATACATTGTAAAAAGATTAATATTCCTGGTAAAAAAATTATATTGATATAATTCTTTGACAACAAATTGTGCATAAAATTATTCTGCGATGGTTGAAATAAAGGAGGGATTCACCCACGAAAGACAAAAAACTTTACGAGACTATGTACTGTAGCAGCATAGACTACAACCATGAAATGGCAATCTATTATAAATATTACAAATTAATTCAGTGAGAACATATGAAAATCATTTGAAACAGCACCTGGACATCATTCAACATTTCCTAGAAATTCTACATTACTCTAGTTTATCATGAATCTAATAAAATTGGAGGGTATAAATTCATTTAGGGATGGATTGTTTTGGTTGTTTTTACAGTTGTTTTTATTTTTTGTTTCAATTGTAGAAATCTGTATCAAGTATACAGGTACAGTAATTCTCTACAGATTGATTTAACGCTAACGTTGGTAGTTGAGTGGATACTTTATTTGGATAAACAAAGTCATCATCGATGTTGTGAGGGCGCGGTGGATCTGCTAGAATTGATAGTAACTGCAAACGTTGACACCACGCAACGTTTCCTGTGCTGCACGATCAAGCGACTAAAGCGCGTCTTCAGTGGCAGCCTGGCTCTTAGGCTTGAATGTCGCCAACGCCAGGTCGCGAGGCACCACTGCACATGAAGACACAATGCGCAGCGAAGTGGTCTTCACAAACATGGACCACTGGCTACCCGCCGACTCCGCTGCAGGTGTCACGACCCCTACATGCACAGGCACAGTCGGTGTCAAACGATTAACTAGGTCTGGAGGCCCTCACTACGCTCCCCCTCATCCTTATCTGATAAACAGGCCGTCTTATCATCCATAAATGACAACTGATGAGATAATTGTTTTGGCAGGAATGGGGGAACTAGCAGCGGCATACACAAAGGCTCCATAGGCGGTCCCAGTCTCCCACACAACAGTCGGTTTATCCAGGTAAGTATTCACGAAGTAAACTGATGTCTTTCTTGCTTGTTATAAATTTAATGTGTAAAACGCAAATATGACAGACTTCAATTTATACTTGACTGACCGTCTAATAAAAATTTAAAGGAATAATTAATGTTACTTGATTTCTCTGCATGCTGGAATTTAATTATACTGTACATTGAAAAATACATAATGAGAAGGAACTAAACAGTCCTGCATATTATTAGATTTGATAAAAACTGCAATTTAGATTATTTTCCGGATGTTTTCCTTGAGTTACTTTGTTAAATGTCTCATTCAAGCAATCGTCTTCTATCTATGCCTGGCACACCTCGTTATTAATAAAATCCTTCCTTTCAAAGGAATATCCCTGCTGTTGTGACTTTAAAAGCCAGACGTTTATAGTATGTAAATACAATTGTTCAAAATCTGTGGTTAAGTAGTACAGTACATACTGGAAGTTATAATGAAGGTCACAGAAACTAGAGTTAGAGTTAACAACCACAATACAGAAGCTCAGGAAACTAATTTCTACATCCTGCTACCTGTAGTTAGAGTAGCAATGTAAAACCTGCCTTTAGGTACAGTGTAGTACACTCTCATATATTTTAAATTGTAAGCCTATTAAAAAAAAATTCCAATACTCGATTGGGAACGGTTGGCACAGTGTTTCAATTTTGGTCAGATGTCAACCTCAAGATCAGATGTTTGAATCTTTGCTTTGCATTTACTCGTCCTTTTGGACATGGCACTTAACCTACATTTGTTCCTTTGCACCCCAAAATATAAATAGGTAGGAATATGTCTTCCCTGATATTACACAATGATGTGGCATATTACAATGGGTTCCTAGCAGCCTATTTGACTGGAAAGGCTATTTGGGGGGAAAAATATTTTTCACAGGAAGCACAATTATGCTACAATTTTATTTGTTAATATGAATCTTCCTGCAAGTTCTGTTTACACATCCTGTTCAAAAGACAACAAGAAGGGTAAGTCTGCTGTACAACTGCCATTCAAAAGATGAAAAGCCTCTAGTTTGTAAATGACACTTGAAATGGAAGACACATGCTCAAGTCTATATGTCTAAGCTCAACAGATGGTCTTCTGTACATTCCAGTATTTCTTTCATTACATTTAACAATAACTATTGTCTACCCATTTGTCTCTTTCTATTGTTTACAATGTAACCAGCATTACTGTATTTTTGAAATACTGGAAATTCTACTTTGGATGAACAAAAAAAAAAAAAAATAGTAAAAAAAATTCAATTTATAACAATCATTATTGGTGCTTGTTGAAACATTTTTTTTTTAACTGGTCTCACAAAGATTCTGTCAATGGCAATTATTACACAACTCTATCAGAAACTATCGCGAATTTTTACTTCCTATTAAAGTGAACACGAAATGTTAAAAACATTTTATAACAATGAAGGGAGCATTTCATGGTAATAATTATTGTTAAACTTTAATCTATTATTATGATGATTTCAATACAGTTGTATTGAGTATCAATGGTGATGTTGGTAGCCAATGAGTGGATACTTACCTGGATAAACCGATGAACAGTCGGTCCTGAAATTGTTTATGTTAACCACATCAATTTCAATTTTGGTTATGTACTTCATTGAATGATGACATACAGTACTTATTTTAATTTTGTGTTATTTTTAGTTGCTCATTTAATATGGTTTTAACCTTTGCTTTCTTTGTTATCAATTTATTTTTTTAAACATTTTTAACTGTTGAATCTCTTAGGATTAGTTAGGGATGCAAATGGAATTAAATAAAAATAAGTAAATGTGTTACTCACCAACAGTTGTTTCCTTCTTAGACTTTGTCTTTAGCTTTGGCGGCTCACTCTTCACTGGCTCAGACTGAGCAGCCTTGATTGTCTCCTCCACCACTTTTTTTGGAGGAGGAGAAGGAGGAGGAGCCGTGAAAGAAGCCTTTTGCGCCGCTTTCTGGATAACCTCCTCAACTACTGGCTGCTTTTTAGCCTCAACTACTGGCTGCTTTTTAGCCTCAACTACTGGCTGCTTTTTAACCTCCTTTTTCGATGGTTTAGGAGTTGTCTTCTCTTCAGAAGTCTTGGCTTCCTTTTTATGCTTTGTATCACTCTCAGCCTTAGGTTTAGGCGACTGTTTTGGTGCCTTCTGAGCCTTAACCTGTGGCACTGGGATATCAACAGGTATTACAACTGGAGCTGGAGTAATCAACTGAGCTTCTTGCACAATCTCCGGCTTTTTTTTCTTACGGGTATTAAACGGCTTCTTTTTACTTTTGCTATCGGGTTTACTATGCTTTTCATTCTCTAAATGGGCACGCTGCTCAGCAATGGCTTCCTCATAGCTCTTTTCTTTGGTCCCAAATGCCGAGACAAGGTACACCAAACTCGAGATGACAACAAATCCACCAAATACCATCAAGGCAAACATCTGGGGTTCGTAAACATCCATGGCCACTAGCTTGCCTGCAATATCGTCCATTCAAGTCTTTAGGATGGTCTGCAGACAACTTCAAACTTCTGTTGAAGTTTAAAACAAAATAAAACATTCGGTACAAATTTCATTTGAAACAAAATGGAAACAATTTTTTTTCCAACAAATTTTTACTAAAATATTATCAGTGACCAATTACAACTCTTTTTACTGTACTTTTCAGGAGAAACTCTTAATGCATGATGGGCAGTTGGAAGGCATCGCACATTTTCTCGGAAGCATCTTTATTTACATACATTAAATCCTTTGTTTTGCTCCAGAAATCCAATGTTGGGACGTTATACAGTGATAGTTAACATTTTGGTGCTGAAGGCACATTGGTTGGAGATAGTTTTTTTCTCCAGATCTGCACACTTACTTTGTAACATTTTTAAATATCATTATTAATTGTATTGTGCATGAATTGCTGCATTGTCTCCCATAAAATATCTCAAAATTTTCTACCGTAATATTGTATGCCAGGCTTTGTCTATGCTTGTAATGTAATTACTAGAGCATCTGTGAATGTGGTTATAGCCAGACCATGTGCCTCACATTGCTGAACAAATTGTACAGCGATAGCAAATTTGTACCAAATTTGATTCTTTCAGATTAAATGTTAAAAAAAACAATGATACAGTAGTTCATTTAGCTTTTGAAGCAAGAAATCGTCTTTACCCAGTACTGCTCAATAGTTTAACATTACAAATTTCCATTTTCTTTGCTACATTAATTTAAATGATCAGGAAAGTCATCCAACAAGCAATAAAATTTGATGTCTATGAAAACTTTGTAAATAGTATATCACTCACCTAAAATAATTTAACAAACATTCAACAGAATATGGAAGTTTGTTTTACAAACTTGCTTTTTGGGAGCAGTAGTCGATAACTTTTTTGTTCTATTATGTTGAGCAAAGTGTGAACATGCTCGGTGCATTTTTATGCGGGCGTGCATTCATTTGTTCAAATTGACAGAGGCGTTTGATCTATGTTATGTTAAACATTATCGCATTCTCCCTTAATCTTTGTTTGAGGTGGTTGTCCTTTTTAAGTTCACTCTCTCAACCTTCCCATCTTTATGTGTCAGGTAGGCTGTTTTTTGGTGGCCAACCTTGCATTATAACCATCACCCCCAATTCCAATTTTGTTATTCTATGTGGTGATAAATCTTTTAGTAACACTGAACCTCCAGCCACTCCTGTGTGCCCATTATCGATAAAAAATTCTTTCATCTTTCTTTTGAAACGTTTTACCATATGGACACAAAAAATATCAATTTATGGTGCAAGAGATGCAAAGTTGTTATCAGCTTTTGTTTTCGTTCATTTTTTTATGATTTAATTTACAGCAAATTTAATTATGACCAGTAAATAGCAACACTCAGAAGTAGAAAAAATGCTTTAAAATATGTAAGATAATAATAAGGTATTGATATTTTCAGGGTTGCACGCCACTTTACTCCTTCTGATTAGCCACTGCTATCAGTATTTTTCCTGGTAAATTAAATAAATTGATAGGTCTAGGCCTATGCAATGGTGTCCATATTGCCATGCTAGCTAGGTATTCCACTTGTCAACAAGAATGCATTATTTTCTCACAAAAATCAATTTTTAAAAACAATACAATTGGAATATTCTAATGGAATATTATGATTCTAATATTCAGACTTCAATATAATTATATAGGTTGCGAAATATTAACAATTTTGAAAAAAATCTGCAGGAATTCGTCTCGGCATTTCACCGGTACCTATTCACTCAGTACAGCAGACAAGACTCCAGACGTGGCATCTCGGTTGACAAACTAACCTACCCGGTGGCCTAGGCTAGACAAAAAAGACATGTTGACATTTGCGAGTGACTTATGTTGCAACCAGCCTCACGTACACTACGAGACACACGGTTTACCACACAAACCCCAATTACATTACTGAGTTTTTAGCTACTCAAATGAAACATAATTGTCTAAAGTAAAACTAATATATTCAGTAAATTAATGAAATAAAGACGTTCATTCTTACCAGCTTTAGCTCCGTCCACAAAACTCAATACGCCGGAAGTTCGAATGGTACACATGAACACAGAGTTCGATGTTCCTCTGTAAGAACACGCCTGATTGGCTAATATCTTTCAAGGAACGTCACTTAATGAATCTAGTTATTAAATACACTCCCACAAATTTGAACATAAATTAATAAAATAACAGCATTTTATAACATGAATACATTGCTAATATTAAACGCAATGTAAATATTAAATGAATAAGAAAAAAAGCCTTTAAAGAGTTTGAAAATTTTTGAAAATGAAAATTTATTTAAAAACAATTTAAGGGAATATGAGGGAGGGTCAATATATAATAGAAGAGCACCGTGCCAACATGGCATTCAAAAGACTAAAAACCAAAAAGCTTGAAACGTTTTCTTACATTCATTGCACTTTGAAATATAAACGTTAGTATAAAAATACTCCAATGTTTATATTTTAAAAATCTATAAATTTATGTTTAAATTGACTGAAAAGTTATAAAAATCCTCGATACGCCCAAAGGTCATACTTGAGTAATAATTTCAAACAAACATACGGAAGTGTCAAGTGGATCTCCATCCACGTGGATTTGTTTATATTTTCTGCGGCTCTGTGAACGTCCGTCATAAAGGACAGCACTCGAGTGTTCTGCAAGACGCATTGTACAAATTTGTGTAGGATTACAGTGCACACAAAAAAATTGCGAAAAATTATCATAACCATGGCCCTATCCAGAAAGCGGGATTCAACAAATTGCATAAAATGTATTCTTCTAGATATCGAAGGAACTACAACTCCAATATCGTTTGTTAAGGTACGGACAAGCACTGTGAAACTACTGACTGTACAGTAAACAGCGTGCCTGTGTGTGTGTGTGTGAAAGTGCTATAGCATAGGTATCAACACACAGTACTGTATTCAGTAGATGTACTGGTAAAATTTATTATACTCTCAGCGACCTCATTGAATGTCGGTTATTGGTCGTTCTGGTGGGTTCTCAGGCTCCTGAGAGGAAAAAAATAATAATTCTGGCCAACAGGTATACATAAAATATTCAAAACTTCCAATATTCTTGTAAATATGTCTGTAACCATACTGAATTGTTTGATGTGTGTTTTAATAAAATTAAATTATTATGCTTTGTAAAAATTTTGCATTTTCCAATTGGGGTTTTTTTTTTTCTCATCACCACAGGGGATATTTTTAACAGAGGATTTTTTTTAACTACCCAATTAGCTCAGTCGGCTAATCTGGTGGTAGCCACTGTGTGCGCGGTAGCCCCGTGGAGATCTGTAGGTCCCCGGTTCAATCCCATCGCTGCCTCTTGTGTTTCAGCTGAAGGGTTGAAATACAAGTTACAGTAGCGCACCATCTTTTGGATGAGACGTAAGCTGTTGGTCCTGTGTGCATTTATGGCCCATGTGCATGTTAAAGAAGGCAGTACACTCTTTGGAAAAGAGCATTGTCTCCCGGTGCACTGCACAATCACCACCAGAAGGCCCCACTGGAAATAAGTCTTCTTCTAGACTTTCGTGGGCTATCCTTGGTGTTTACATCGAATAAATTCAATTCAATGCCCTGAAACCAAACTCCAATATACTACCTTCAAAGTCCAGAAATCTTTCCTGATGTTTTTAATGTACATTTGCAGGATATTCTCTTTGGATATGTCAGAAGTAACTTGAAAGAATATCTGGAAAAACATTGGGAGGAGGATCAATGTCAGCTAGATGTCCAATCTCTCAGAGAGCAGTCAAAAAAAGATTTGGAAGAGCACAAGTCACAGAAAGAATCAAATAAAGACAAGCCCAAGGAAGATTCTAAAGATGAGAAGTCACAGAATGATTCCATAGAAGATAAACTCCCTCCAGTAATACCTAAAAAAGGCGGTAGTTCGGCGTTAATACGTCAGGCAGTGGTTGAATATGTCTTTACCATGATGGATGCAGACAGGAAGGTGACATCATTGAAACAACTTCAGGGACATATGTGGAGTAATGCATATTCATGTGGAGAGGTTGTTGGAGAGTGAGTTTTTACATTTTTTAATCATTCTACAGGATACATTATATATATGGTGGGTCATAGGTGGCGACCCGGTTTGGATGTTGGGCGCGCAGAGTTAGTACTTGCAAGCGGAGTAAAGGCCCTCAACATATTAGTGTTTTTTCATTCTGGGAGACATTTTGCAGTGTCATCTTGTATAATACCAATATCGCCAACCACAAGACAAACAACTGGTGATCCATACCTTGCCCAAGCCAGTCTGTTGTTTTGTGAAAATCAATATTCAAACAATGTTTTTGAAAATTATTGGTGGGGCCTACAGGAGAGGTGGCCACTCACTAAAATTGTTGGGTATGTGGGCCAGGCCCACACAGCCTACCCTGTGCCGCCAGTATGGTGATTTACTGGTCTTTAAAAACATGGGGAGTGTTTAATTCACCTTCCAACATGGAATGGAACCGAGATCTGTAACGCAAATAAGGTACCTTGCCCAAGAACATAGGCTTCTTCAATCCTCTAGCCTGTAATCTTTTTGTTATAAAATGCTGCGATCCAAGCATTTGACGATACAAAATTTAATTTTATATTTATAGAATATATAAGGATGTACTTCCAGCAATTATACACTGGAAATCAGAGGGAAAGAAGATATACATTTACTCATCAGGGAGTGTTGAAGCTCAGAAGTTGTTATTTGGTCACACAAAAGAGGGTGACATACTTGAATACATATCAGGACACTTCGATACAAAAATCGGAGCTAAAGTGGAAAAGGACAGCTACTGCACTATTGCAAAAGAAATACAATGTGAAACAAAGGAGATTCTTTTTCTCACTGATGTCACTCGAGGTAAGACCTGTCAAATTTTATTCAATTACTGTAACTGTAAATTTTTTTTTCCCCATGCCTCTTAAATATGCCAATGGAGTCGAATAGCTGAGCGGTTAAGGCAGGGCCACCACAACCTACAGCCATAACATCGGCGCTGGTTCAAACAGCACATTTGCCTGTGGTTCTGGAAGTGTAACCAGGCCCAGTGTGCAATTGGCTTATGTGCATTATAAAGAACCCAGTTCTGCATCTTTCGAGATGAGTAGGGGGTTTCCCCTGAGTACTGGTCCATATGTCCCCTGCAGCCTGTGGACAGACGAGAGTGGCTGGTACCAGTTTACCGGGCAGTTCAGACATGAAGAGACCATTACGGGAACGTTACTGAGCGAGCTATATAGTCCATGTTTTGAGCACCGATCTTTATGAAATAGCGGCATTATTAATGATGTAATGTATGTATTGTATTTATGTACCTCAATTATTATTATGTATTGTATTTATGTTCCTCAATTTTATTTATGTACCTCACAGCCTTTTGTAAGAACACCCAGTGGGTGAAAGAGTCGCGTGAATAAATATAGATTTATTACTATTATTATTATTATTATGTATGTATGTATGTATTACTGTTAACATCATCCCCAAAGTAGTAATTAAATGTTCTTGATCATATGTATCACTTTGTATTTGCAGAAGCTAGACCAGCTAAACAAGCTGGGTGCCAAGTAGCGATAGTTACAAGACCAGGTAATGCTACGCTATCTAGCGATGAACTTGAGGAATTCCAACACGTCTCATCCTTCTCGGAATTATATTCAGATGCTGCAGTTGAAGTGAAGAAACGCAAAATGTCTTCAGTTGATGATGAAGGCGAGAAACCAAGTTAAAAAAACATTCTAAAAAATGCAGTTAAAAATACTTTTATTTGGTTAATGGTTAAAGAAAACATTTTTACCGTGTATGTACATTCTTTATGTAGGCCTGCATAGAATTTCATGTCAACTGTTTTTATGTTGAATAAAGTTTTTAACTTTTAAGACTTTTTGTATTAGTCCATTATTTGTGTGTATTGTATTGTAACTGGATTGTTCTTTATTGTTCTCTGTTTTATGTTCTTCCATTCTGTAAGTGGCGGGCTCCCTGCTGTTAGATGTGAAATGAAATAAAATAAAATAAAATTAGTTTTTTTTCTATTTGTCTATTAATAATTCTTTCTCATAAAATGGAGAAAAATTATTTCAATATATGATCATATGGCAAAAAATAAAGCTGTGGCACTTCTGGATGAATAGGAACATTACTCCAATTTCAAATAAAGAACAAAAAGAGTTATATACTGTACAGTACTATATAAACATGGTTAAAGATACAGTTTTGAGCTAATAAATGATGAATAAAAATTTGTTGTTATAATTTTTATTACAGTAGCTTAGCATCAGTGGTGGTCCAGGTGGGCAAAGGACCACATGTTGAGGAAGAAGTCGATTATTTCATTGGAGAACACTGCTTTAAAAATGACTGCCATTTCCAGGCATTTTAAGTTGCCTATTCTTGAATTTTGCTCCATATACTACGTGCCGAACCTAACAAGATTCCATCCAACTTGTTTGATCAGTCTACCATAAACGTATTGGTAACAATTCTTTTAAACTTCCGCAGTTCAATCTTGTCAGATATACTTTATATTTATAAGGATGACAACAACAATAATATAATAAATAAGTATATTACACAAAAACGTTAGTTAAGTTTGGATATGTATCCTTTAATCTTTAAGCTTCTATCATACACACAACATTACGTCTAGTTACAATGTTTAAATGATTATATAGTATTTCTATAATAATAGTTAACTTTCCACAAAAAAAGAAGAAAAAAACCAACTCACTGGACCTACAATTATACAGCAAGTTCATTAAAAAGTAATTTGTACTATGTGCTGAATTTATTTAATGGTAACCTAGCTTTAGAAAAAAACAAGTGAACATGCCTATATCTTTTATATTTTACAGCTTGTATTGCATAATCAAAAATTATCTAACAAAAAAATTAGAGAAATGTTTTCTGTATCACTTTTTAAAATTACCCAACACCAATTGGGAAAGCAAAAAGACGCTTTGAAATCTTTTACTCCAAAACAAAACACTGTGCAGTAGACATTTTTCTATTATTGCTTTTCTATGCATGAGTTACTCCATAATAATAATAATAATTAAGACAAATTAATTATATAAAAACAAAAAATTAATTTAAAAAAAAGACAAAGAATATAAATTTGTTATTTAAGATAATAAATCACTCTTGCAAACTCATCAATCCTATTCCCTTTAATCCCAAGCCTTCTACATTTCCATAATCAGCTACCATAATTTTGTTAATTGTCTTGCTACCCATAAAGCCAACAGCATAGAACCCTCAATAAAATACAGTATTGTTTCATGGCAACCTATCACTATTTTATTTTAAATTAAAATATCTTTCTACTGTATGTATCTGAACTATGAAGCTTTTTGCAGTCATAAACTGTTGTGTATTAATTGCACCAGATTATAACAGTTTTTCTACTCATGCATTATATAATACACAGAAATAAGCATCACAATATATCAGCAATCCAGTGAGTCGTAGAATGCCACGCCACAAGTAGAAACAGACCCAAGCAATCATGATACACAGTTTTTAAATAGTACATCAATCCTGTGAGATGCTTTTCAAAGGAGATTATGTACATAATATTATGAATATTGATCAATAGTCAATAAGTTGTAAACTAAAGGTCTGTTCACACCCAAATATGGGCATATCACACTTTGTTGTATAAAATTTGATAGTGTGAACATATCCTTAGAGAAAATTTTAAATCTGCATGAATAATCGATCAAAGCTAATCAGAATCATACCGTCTGCTTCAACTGCCATCACCTAGACAGCAGATACAACTATGTTTTGTTTGTCTGACCACAATGCACTGCAATAACCTAGTGTATTTTACTGACTTCCCATTGGCTACTCAGATGCTAGCAGACATGCATGTTCCATACATACAGGACTTGCTTCAGTAGAAACATGGCATATGATTAAATCAAATTAAATGACAAAGTTCATAAATGCTGATTAGTGGAAGGAATATATTTAGGGCATGGATATTTTTCAGACAAAGTTTTACTGCTGTGTTTGTGCTCCCTCATTTTGATTCCAAATTTCAGCAAAACCAAATGAAATAAAACAATGTTCTATATATTAATTTCGATATGATATTAATTATGATTTATTTTTTTCTTCAGTTCAAATGGAAACCTTTCTCTGTCGTGGCCGATCTCAGCATCTTTCTCATTATTTCTTCACTTGAGTAGCACGGTAGTTTCAGATAATGCACGCATGTATTTACGGATGGGTATGTCTTATCATCGGCTTCAACTTTACGGACGATCGTGAGGCGAGGGTGGAGGTTAGCTAGGCCGCCTGGTGGGAGTGACGAACAGCCAGTGGTAAACTGCATGAAGGCCTTGCGTTCATCCTTGTCCATCTTGCACATTAAGTTGACAAACCTTTGGAATCCAGGGCTGATAAATGCAGAGGAGAAAAATAAAATAATACAATGAGTAACTATTCATTAATATTAAATCTTCTTGTGAAGTTAAAATATTAAAAAAAATACATAACAAAATAAACACAGTTATCATCGATCAAATAAACTCAGGAGGCAATGTATGCACATTGCCAATATAGCACATTGCCAATAAACATGCTATAAATACAAAAAATTAAAATTTACATACAAAATTTAAGATAGATAATATTCAAAGCTCACAAATAAGCAATAATATAATTAAACAACAAATATGATAATAATAAATGATAACATTATATTGATGATAAAAAAATGTTTCACTGTGTATAAAGCAGTGGTGAATTGGGTGTGGAATGGTGGGAGATGTTATATGGATGGAGGGAGCCATTACGGATGGAGGGGGTAGATATGGATGGAGGGAACAGATATGCGTAAAATGATATAAAACATTAAAAATAAAAACCGATAAACATTGCATAAAATTGGTTTTTATATTTTTAATGTTATATATCATTTTACGCATAGGTTAACTTATTTTATATCGTATCATTTGAATGGTATTTTACTATGTCACTGTTTTTATTGTGAACCTTGGAAAACAAATTTCATTACTTTGACAATAAATTTTGAACTTGATATGGATGGAGGGAGGGAGGGACTGGATATGGTTGAAGGGGAAGGGGTGGTGGCATGAAATTTTGAATCGGTGCAATATCCCTCCTTCACCCTTGTTCCCCCTTCACATGGTTGTGGCATTAGTATGTGCACTAGTAAATATTTCCCTATTGTCCATTTTTTTAATTGTACAGATTTCCTCGACTAACACAAACACATTGGGCTGGAGGCCCAGATCCACTGACAGTTATCCATCATTACTTACCTTTCTCTGGTATAGCCTAGCTTTGGTTCTGTGTAGTTCAGCACATCCTCTCGTGTCCATGAAGGTGCTTGGTCACCACACATGATTGTCTGTAGCTCACCAGGATTGAAGACGTGTAGTTTATCCATAGGAAACACTTTGTTGAATCCATCTGGAAAAGCCATCATAAATATTAATGGTTGAATGAATATGGTTGGGTTAGTACTAATAATGATTATAATAATATCACAGTAAATTATTAATGACTTAATACACTATACACACTAGTATTTAATTTCTTAGTTATCTTTTGTAAGTTTTTTATTTTTTCTGGTGCTTACTAAAAAAATAGCATTTATAACTATGTGTTGATGGCCAAGACTCAACAGCTGACCAGGGTTAATTTAGATTAATCCCTGGTTAGTGACAAAGCATATCTCCATACTCCGGGTTGGGTGCTGTCATCTGTATTATTTTATTTCTTGTTTTTCACATTTCTATACATCTTTAAACTTTACAGTACTTCTAAAATAATAAATATGGCCAATATAAATATGACCTTTACATCCTACTTTGATTTAATAAGGAGTTTCGATTTGCAACCGAGTGGAACATAGAATGTAATGTCAATGTAATTGTGTATGTGTGTTACACCATAAATCAGGTTGAAAACGGTTTTTAGCTGAATCTACATTCAGGACAGAATAAGGTCTGTACTGCAGTAAACACTGGTGCGCGCCTGCACCTTTACAACATCTCCGCATACACTTCATAAAACATCAAAATCTATTTAAAGTAGAACGTAGAATGCATGGGATGACAGTCATGGATAAGTGAATTCCCTTAAATTTGTTGTTCTGCATTCTCAATCTGAAGTTCCCTATTACAAAGTAAGACTCCTCACCTCTGAATGCCTCCATCTGCCTCCGAATACCAGTATGAAGACAGAATTCAAGCAACAGGTCAATGAACTCTTCTGCGTTGTCTATGGTTACCATCTCTTCTTCACCATTGGGTTTTAAGTCATAGGCACTGTAGCCATGCACACGGGATGATGGGTTGAATTGGAATGTCAGTCTAGAAATATATTTTCATTATATTCATCAATATTGCATTAATTTTTTTATAATTATTATTAAACTTGAACTCAGATGGCAGGCTGCTCAAACAAAAGACATATAAGGCTTGCCATCCCAAAACCAGCATACTGTTGCTGAGTAAGTAAACTGAGGAATTAGCATAAGAATGTGGCAGTATTGTATACTTTAGTACAGAGAAGCTGTAATACTTTTACTCATAACTTTGGGAATAGTACGTCGATTCCAGTCGTTTTTTTAAATTTGAAAGCTTATAATGTGGGGAATATGAATGCATAAAAAATTTCATTTTCTTGTTTTGGTTTAAACTGATACTGTTTTTGGATTGGCTGGCCTCATCGAACCTAACTAACTATCAAATACCGATCTCTTAAGACTCACCCTAAATCTTCTAGCTTAATTGGTGGTATAGATTTATCCTCAGACTCCAGGGCAAGGTTTTGTATTGCATTATTTCTCTCCTCATCGCTTAAAGTCCGATCTTTTAAAATACTACGCTTCTTATTCACAAGTTCACGCAACTGCAGCAAAAATCGTGCACGGTGGGGATCGACCACTTCAAAATCCTCCCAGGTTAAGAGTCCCGCAAACCAGGCTGGTGTCCTCGCCTTTGGCGGATCACCAAGAATCAGCTCCGATTTTGATTCAGTCTCTTCGAGAGAGATCTCTGATATGAGTTCATTGAGGTCCTCTAAAGATGCTTCCGACATCACTTCTACCGAGTATGAATCCGAATCTCTCATGGAAGAATTTGTGCAGACGTGTTGGATGTTGCTGCCAACCTCTCCAAGGCACATCAGCTTCAGGAAGGGTCTGGACAATGGAAGGTCTACCCTGCGTTTATCTTGGATGCATTTTGCCAAGAACACGCCCAAGAAGTGAAAGAGTTGTACCACACGTTCCGTATCCTCATTGTCCTGGATGAGTGGAGCAGGGAAAAGGCCAGATGTCTTCTGGATGTAGTATCCAGGCGATTTTCTTCCATCACCAATATCAACCTTTAATGAAATAATCAAAAGGGATAATAAAATAGACAAATTAACAAATTGATCAATCATGTGCTTTGTAGTGCAAACTACAGGTTGGGCTTTGATATATAATAAGATATAAGTAGATGGGAAGGTATCTATCTAAAGAACAAAGAATAACCAAAGATTAGTCTGCATATCAAGATTATGGAGGAAAGCACTGCAGTTGCATCAAAGCTCAAGTGGACATACCTCTCGGGCCTGGTCATCTGGGTGGTCATCATCACACATCCACATACCAAGGCTCTTGCGCTGCAACTCAGCTGAAACTAAAGCATAGAACTCCAAGGTGGGACCAAGTCCTGTACCTTCCTCTCCATGAAACTCAACCTGAGAATAATAGAAATAGCAATAACAAAAACAATATATTATTATATAATAACCTGGCATTTATATATTGCAGTGGCACATTTTTAATGTGGCAAGCTATTGCATTAAAAACAGGCCATTATATTGAGCACCATGGTTTTTGGTGTACTTACATAGCAGCATAGTTACTCTATAATGACCTGAAGTGGGAGTGATGACCCTTTGCTGAAAGGTTCAGCTAATAATATGGCAAAGGAACAATAATTATTATTGGAAACATATTTTTCTGTGTATTCCAAACTGCTTCTGACTTGCACATACAAATACAATACTGTAACACACTACTAGATTGACAGAGCTATAACAGAAGAATTCATGATCACATAAATTGATCCCAGCACCTACGCCAGATTTTTTAAGGCACTGTAGCAACCTCACACCCTCCCGATCCCACTCAGAGTTAGTATGGCTACGTACTAAGAAGTTACATACCTCTAGAATGGACTTCCTCTCTGAATGCAGCTTCATCACCTGCAGAGCCCAGTCTAGTAACTGAGCACCACGTGGTACCTTCACCCTTTCGTGTTTTAAGCGGCCTACTCGGAATTCATGTTGGTCATCTCTACGGGACGACAATGGACGCACACGCTCCACGTTTTCATCACGTTTCTGCTGAAGCCATGCAATAGCTCTACAAAAAATAAAATCATGTCACTAATACAGTGAGATGGAGGATTCCATTATTATCTAGAGGTAAGTTACAAAAAGGAACACTTGGCATCTGCAGAAGCATTCATGTAAGTATTCACAAAATATACCTGTCTTGACTTAGACGGGGTTCCAAGTCTCCCAGAAATCGGTGAGGGGATGAGGTGTTAGGCACATGCCTTTTTCCACTAAACTTTTCAAATTTCAGTGCATAGGTCTATTACAAGTGCTAATCCATTCTACAACTGTTGTCCCCCCACCCACCCCGGTAGAAAAATTCTGGATATGCTCTTCATCAAACTGGCCCATAATTCCACACACGGACTATCCAGCAAAGACACTCATCTACAAAGACGTCCTTTAGAAAAATAGTAACATGCTAATCATAACGTCCACAATGATTGCCTCCTCGACTTCCCATTACATTCAACAATATACATTGCCACCTTTCCACACTCATTCGACACCATGCGCAGTACAGGTATATGCTAGTAAACATAAATTATCTTACCTCAGCCCCAACCATGGTGGGTAATGACTTCTTCCAACTTTGGACCCCTGGTTAGATGAACAAGGCCCTTTAATGGCCCAAGCAATAAGAGCAGCAAGTATATGAACATTCTAAATAGGTTCATTAGACTGGAAGTTTGATTTTGTTTTAATTAACACTAATTATTTTAAATTTATGAGTTTACCTTGATACTCCAAATGCTGTGCAGGTGAAATAAAGTTGCCTTGTATCGAAGGGGAAGAGCATTGGACATCTATTGGTCAGCTTCTCACACCAGCTTGGAAGAGCTGAGCTGGACAACACCAGCGGATCCTTGGCAAAAGAAAATAATCAAAATATTGTGATGTGCAACTCTACAGTCTGTTTATGTGCTGAGCAAACATCCAGGATAGGTAATTGTTGTTCTGGTGGTATATTTTGGTAAATAATATTTCTGGTAGCAAGCTGATGTTGTCTATGGTCGTTAATTGTTGGTAAAAGGTAATTCTGGTAAATAGCATTTCTGGTAGCAAGCTGATGTTATTTATGGTAGTTGACTGTTGGTATGTGGTAATTCTGGTGGCATACTTTGGTAAATAGTATTTCTGGTAGCAAACTGATGGCATTGTGTATGTTATTTCTGATAATTGATTGTTGGTATGTGGTAATTCTGGTGGCACATTTTGGTAAATAGTATTTCTGGTAGCAAACTTATGACATACAGTGTGTTAATTATGGTAGTTGATGGTATATGGTAATTCAGGTACCTAATTTTTGGTACATAGCATTTCTGGTAGGCTGCTGATGGTATGTGTTATTTCTGGCAGTTGATTTTTAACATATGTTCAATCTTTGAAAACTTGTTTATTTATTTAAAATTCTTAAGTCACCTGAACTTGCTGTACAAGCTTAGTAGTAATCTTCTTGCTCACAAATTCTTCAACTGATACAGAAAATTGATGGTTATCTGCACCTAGAAATTAAAAAAAATATTGTTTTTCTTTAATTTAAAAACAACAAACATATTTATATTGGGTGACCCTTCCAGCGTATCCTAAGAGGTAGGCCGATATTCAGGAGCCCACTTAAATAAATGAAATAATGTGATGCTTTTATCAGCGAAGTCCCTTTATGAGGCTTAGGTAGTGGAGTTTTTACTTGAGAGAAAAAGTAGTCTTGTCACAGGAATTGAATCCACGACTCTGAGATTAGAAGGCAAACATCTTCAACTCTACTCCAATTTTATAGTTCAAACTACTCAAGACATCCACCAGTGTTAATGTAATAAATACATAGCATGCAATGTATGGTGTGCACCAGGGCTGAAAAAAGTGGGCAACTGCATGACTGGCTGTTATAGACATCGTCCCTATAGGAATTTTTAGAATAAACATTTTTTTAATTTGCTTTTTGTTTTGTACCAGACAACCGCTGCCTGTATAACTTTAATGTTTGGAGGCTTAAAAATATTTTTTCCATGCCTGGGATGCACCATTAACATGATCATTGAATCCAATCACTGCAAATACCATGGCTTGGTTACCTTCGATCTTTCCAGTTTCAGACACGTCAGTGGCAAGGGCATATAGAATCCTAAGGAGATGCAGAACCTCGTCAACAGTGCATGCTGACAGTTCATTCTTGTTAATTACTTCACAGTCCGTTTCATTCAAGACACGACCACTTCTATGACGAGTACGACTTGTAACTGGCTTGAAACCTAATCTACAGAATTCCTGTAGAGAATCAGAAACAAACAATTATTGTTACTGTTGAATCATTGCTATAAAATATATAGTACAGAAAAAAAATGGAAAATGTATTTACGTATCGAGAATGCGTATCTCACCTTATACGCAGCCACAAGCTGCGAGCAGTTGCGGCTCTTTCGTATACTCTTTGAAGAACCAATCAGCTTCCACCTTCTTAAAAACTGAATGTCTGCATTTTGTTGCAAGTAAGCAATCAGCTCGGACTTTGGTAATTGATCGGAACCAACTTGTTGCTCAACAAATGATGTCGACCAACGCCCCTAAAAAATACAAACACTTCAAATATTGGTACTATTCAAAGGTCAGATTTGGCTGTTGATTTAGAAAATTGTTGGTAATTCATGTTAATTAAAAGATGCAAGTTACTTACTCCAGTGTTTTCTAAATCTCCAGGCAAACCGTCTTCAGGCTTCAGTTCACGATACACAACTCTGCATAATAGTAATTAATTATATAAAATGCACAACAAAATGCAATGGAATAAATTATAAGCAGGCGGAGAAAATTAATGTAACTAATGTAATTAATAAAATGTGTACATATATCCCAATTAAACCGTATCTCTTGATATGTATCAAGTAAATTGTATGTACACATACATTTTATTATCTTAAAAAAAAATGTATGTGTACATACATTTAAAAAAATGTATTCAAAGAAAAATGTATTTTAAAGATGATAATAAATATCTGGCAAGTGAATGTATCTTGCAACTAACTAGTACATGACATTTTTCAAACAAATGAATCTTGCCACTAAAATTAAGTGTATCGCACTCACAAGTAATATAAATCTCGCAGAAAAAATGATGAAATTTACAAGTGAAGTGTATCTTACAAGAGAATGTTTCACAATATAAATTATGCAAGCAAACAGGTGGTCTCGCAATTGAACTTACACATAAGTTGGTTCCCAAATTCTGCGCAGTTTGTCAAGTTTGACAGCTGATCCTGCAGAGTGATACAGATTCTGTACGTATCTAAACACTGGGGCGTTGGGATCAGCACAAAGTGTCTCAACTTCTGGTACCTGTGTATACAAAGTTATTATACGATTTTTTAAAAGCTAGAAAATGTTAAAATTATAGTTCAGTCACTAGTAAATTATTTTAATCATGTTTTTAAACATGATTAGTAGTTAAAAGAATCATTTATATTTGTGGTCTTTTTAGCAATTATTTGCATTATTATTATTAAATCATTATTATATTCAAACACAAACTTACCCCAGGTAATCCAGGGCCACGTAGATAGAGTGCAAGTCTCGGCGAGGGAGCCGACTCTGCTTCTGTTACAAATGATGTTTCTGGAGAGCCTGCAAAAATATAATTATAGTTACTTAATAAATAATAAATTACTTAATGAGAATTTTGTTATTTGTTAAAATATACACAAAAAAAACCCAGACCATTGACATTACCAATAAACATCACCATCAATATCACCACATAATCAAATCACTATCAAACTAAGCATCACCACTTCATCAATATCACTATCAACATCACCAATCCCATCAATACCACAATCAACATCACCATTCCCATCAATATCACTATCAACATTACCATTCCCATCAATATCACTATCAACATCAATATCATTATCAACATCACCATTCCCATCAATATCACTATCAACATCACCATTCCCATCAACATCACTATCAAACTAAGCATCACCACTTCATCAATATCTCCATCAATATCACTATCAACATCACCATTCCCATCAATATCACTACCAACATCACACATTCCCATAAATATCACTGTAAACATCACCATTCACATCAATATCACTATCAAAATCACCATGCCCATCAATATCACTATCAACATCACCATTCCCATCATATCATTATCAACATTCCCATCAATATCACTATCAACATCACCATTCCCATCAATATCACTATCAACATCACCACTTCATCAACATCACCGTCAATATCACTATCACACTAAGCATCACCACTTCATTAATACATCAATATCACTATCAACATCACCATTTACATCAATACCACTCTCACAATCACCACTTCACCAATATCAACATGAACATCACCATCACTCATCAACATCTTCAACATCAATATCAACTTGAGCATCACACTCACCATCAACATCCCAATCAATGATATCAACATCAAAATCACATTCAATACCAACATGAGTATCACCATTAATATAAACATCAACATCCCCATCAATATCATTGTCAACACCATCACCTTCACCATCAACATTCACCATCATCACCATCTTCCTTTAGTAGGAAGTATAAAGCACTTGAGTACTCACCAGGGGGTGGTATCTCTAAGTCAGTCGTTGCATTGACATTGGTCCTGCCAGGTCTTGGATCAAAAGCAGGAACAAGTGCTGAGAACTGCCTCTTAAGAACATGCTCATCATCCCATGTTCTTCTCCTTCCACGCAAATCATACTCCTCACCTTCATCCTGAATAAAAAACAAATTATTAAAATGTTATTATTGTATATTTTGTATATAAGTATGAGTAAAAATGTAGATGAGTTTCATGCCATCACGGCTGGGTAACAAAACAACAAATACACAGTCTGCAACTCTTTCTTCAGACACCAGATGCCACAGCCAGAGATTCGAGGTTCCTACATCCATAACCAACATGTTTAAGCGTACGCTTTTTTCCAGACACTATCCATCTTTTGAGCTTGTAATACCTGAAGAGGTTGTGCAGTCAAAATCACTCAAGGAATTTAAGGGCTGAATTTTCAAGATTATGTGTACTTGAACATTTTATCAAATGTGAGAACATCAGATAAAAACAGAAAAAGATGACCTACCATGACATCATCATAATCCTCCATCTCGCTATCATCTTCATTCTCATCATCAATGTCCTCGCCCTCCTGACAGAATTCATCATCTTCCAGATCAGCCAAGAAAGAGCTAGTTCGGCAGGAATCCAAGAAATCGTTGTCGCTCTCGCTTGATGTTGATGCCAGACTAGCTGCTAGGGTTGAGCTCAACCTGGTAGCCACGCTCGTGGTCACGTTGGCGATGCCAAAACTGGTGGATGAGGTTGTTACTGCTGGTAGGTTGGGGGCACTCTGTGCACTGCTTAACAATGCTGAACAAAAAGAGCCTATTGTTATGGTTAAGATGCAGCTCAAAAAATCAAACTATATGAATATAGATTCAAGTATGTTTAACCTTTATTATGACCTATGGAATTTATTATTTCCTCAGATATTGAAAAGCTCATGGCAAGTCGAGAGAGTTCGGTTGTAGAACCAAGTCTTCTTGGATAAGGACTTAAATGGAGGTCCTTCGTACACATCTGGCTCGTGTGAACTTTAAAGAATCCATTGCATCTTTTGGAAGAGTAGGGGTTACCCCAATGCTATGGTTCATTTCAGCCCCTGTCATTGAGGAAGGATGTGAACACGCAGCTATTATAAGTGCCTCTTTACGGTGGCTGGGTAGTCACAGACCATGCCTACATGCAATTCAGACCATTGACGCTGCAATTTATGGATTATTCTTCTGCCTTTACTTTTACTGAGACTCCCCACCACTAATAAAAGTTCACTTACTACTAGATAGGCCAGATGGAAACCTGACGAAACTTGAGGGGAATGTACTGCCACGGTTGTTGGAGAAGTTGTTGGCAGATCCAACAGTACGATGTAAGAGCACAGATTCCATAAGTCCAGCAACTGCGTCCCGAGTACTACTCAAGTTTGGTACACTCACACTCATACTACAGGTTGTGTCCCTTGTATCTGTGAGAAATAAAAATTAAATTATTTAAAATATATAATTCATGATTAATACTTATATATTATATACTTATTATTTATAAATATATAAATATACATAAATATTAATTATAGGAAAATTTTATCTAGTCAATTATGATAATATTAATGATACTACTCGATCAGTACAGTACTATATTTAGCATTATTTTTTATTACCTGGAGCAGATGCCCCCTTGTCTTCAAGCTGTTGAGTCTCGCTGCTAAATTCTTCATTTGTCAGGGCGGCATCCTCCACCACGGAACTTAGACCAGATGCTAAGAGAGCACTTTCAACTGCTGCACTGGATAGATCTAGAGTTGAAACACAATATCTTACAGTTACTCTTGATTTTATAAATCACCTAACATTTTTGAAACTGTATTTCATGAAAATTGTTTTCTTGTTGATTGTGTGACAATCAAAAAAAATGATTGCAAGATGACTAAGAGTGGAAGGCTATGGATGATGTGGAAGAGAATGGCGGAAAAGAACAGTCAAATGGACATTTCAGTGACAATCATAAGAAGTTAATGAAAGCCATCTATTGAGGCTAAGCTCTAGCATTCACCTCTTACCAGATGCTGGTGGATGATGATGGTGTAGGGCTTGATGATTATGTGAGAGGCACGCTAGCTGGCAAAATAAGGTGATATTATGTGATTAATAACTAAGCTTTGTTGGGGGGGGGGGGGTGCGGAATATGAATAGCCTCAGACTTAAACACTATGATTAAAATCAGACTGCACCCTAAGCTTCAAATGTAATTAGCACATGTTCATGCCCTAAAAACAATTTGTCAAACTAGAAACTAAGAAAAAAATTTCAAAGAAACAATACCTTTGTTTGCTGCTTTATTATCCATAAGAAACGCTGTCATTGCATTAAGGCTTGGACTTGAGCTGCTCTTAATACTGCCAAGGCTGGACGTTGATGTTGATGCGGATGCTATACTACTCTTGCCTAGTTCCCCATCGGTAACTTTAGTGCTGTTGGATTTGGAAGTTGGGCTAGGACCCAAAGCAGCTGCCAAGACTCGAGCCGTCTTGGCAGTGGTGCTCTCGGAGTGGGACGGAGCAAGTTTAAGGTCATACTTTCCCTCAGCACCCATTCTGTAAGAGTTGGATCCTCCGTGATCCCAAGTCACATCAACCCACCCTGAAGGAAAGCAATTTTAATTCATAGTAAGTTTTAAAGTATGTTATAACTGTTTGGAAAGTCAAAAACAGTGCAGGACAATCATTTTAATGATACTTAGTGTAATAACAACAATAACAACAATAATTCTTAACAGTCCTATAAATATATAATGGCATCAAAAATTACATAACCACATAATTAAAACAACCATGTTTGGTAAAGGGTGTCAAATATTTTTGTAGGTATGGGCCTAATAATGAATATGCATTAATATTGATATGTAGATATTCTAGTAATTTTAGATAATTTAAATATCATAGTTCTTACCATTGTGTAGTTCACCTGTTACAGTACCCTCTCCACTTGGATTACCATCCTGGTCACGCCATTTCCAGTCCATTCCACGCACAACTCTAGCCCCCGGCAGCATCTGCCGCAATACCTGGGAACGGATCATACGCCGCTGCTTTCTCATGTTAGCCTCAGCTTCCTTGGCTGCTTTTCCTGAAGGAATAATAAAAATATGCCAACAATAATGAAGTAGGCTTATAGGTATTTAAATAGAAAAATATGCCAACAATAATGAAGTAGGCTTATAGGTATTTAGTTTAGTGATCTGACATTTGACCCAGTAAAGCGATTTTATGGAAACCAGGATTTACACTGAAAAAAGCAAGTGCACCAAATCCTTCCAGAATATCCTTCCAGAAATAGGTTTTATAATATAGATTTTAGGAGAATATTGTAGAGATATATTATATTTTGTCTATTTAAGGCTTGCCATCCCAAAACCAGCTTCAGTGACCAAAAATGAAAATTAACTTTCTAATATATCTTTATTCTATACTCCAAGTATTGAAATACACGCCATCGTGTTGGGATTCAATATTTCGACATTAATTATGTCATCATCATTAATTATGTCATCATCATTATGATGATGACATAATTAATGTCGAAATATTGAATCCCAACACGATGGCGTGTATTTCAATACTTGGAGTATGTATTATACTTTCTTATCTGAGATTAATCAGTGGACCCTTCGGTTTTTATTCTATACATTGTAAGCTTTAAAATGATGGGTCGTTTATTGAAATCGACTATTGTCAAAATTATGAGTAAAAGCATTATGTCTTCTCTTATTAAAGTATACAATGCTGCCTCATTCTTATGCTAATTATAACAGTTAGGGACAGTACCCTGTTTTTGGAATGATAAGCCTCATTTATCTTTTTAATGTGTTAATGCAGCCTTGAGGCTTCCTTCAAAGGATTTGACTTTGTATAACACCCTCTTCAAGCTTCTTTTTCGCTTACCTAACTGGTCATCGCAGACTCCAGTTACAGTGCCATACACCTCAAAGCCGGAAAGTGACAGGTAGTGTGTCTGTCCACTTGCGTTCTTGCCCATCTGCTGCATACGGATATGGCGCCAGCCCTGCTTCTCGTCCTTAGAGGGTTCCAGGGGCCAAGTGGCAGTGGATCTGTGTTTGACATGATGGGTAAATATATCATATCATTTATTTTGCCAAATATAAAAAACAAAAGGGTCAAGACTTGCAATGGGAGGTTAAATAAATAGGTCCATCATATATAAAGTAATCATTTGATGAATAATTACTTAAACTTATGTGGAATGAACAAATTAAATGCAAATAACACATGAAATAAAAACTATTTTGATTACTAGTAACCTTTCTGTTCAATCAACTTATGTTATCCCAAAAATTGTTTCTATATAACTTTAGTCCATTTATTTTATTGTAACACAATAAAACCAAGAAAATAGCCCAACTACAAGCCTACCCACCCACTTGTACAAATTTTTTTTTTTTAAAAAGTTGTAAGGTCATCAAAATACTTACCCTGGTTCACTAAGGGATGAATCATCAGTATGGGTCAGGAGAGTTGTCCAGTTGTGTCCATCCTTGGACACTTGGAGTAGCCAATTCCTCAGGGCAGACCTGCCATAGCCTCTAGCGTGTCGTAATGTGTATGCTGATGGAATAACCCACAGACCCAAATCTATTGCAAACCATGCCCGTCTATAATGTAAAAAAAAAAACAATATTAAGTTCATAAATTTGGTAAAGAGACACTTTACACACCCAGGCAGCACAAAACCAAGTTTTGATTTACTAAGTCACTGAGTTGCCTATTTGCATTTAGTCTCAAACATAGCATTTTTTCTTGTTTATTTATGTAGAATCTGGATTTACTGTATATAGAGCTTATCTCAAACCGAAGAATATACAAGGCACTGGCATCAGTATTTCCCTGATCACTCGATACTAAGTTGGCAAAACCGCACATTTCCCTTATCCCTTGGGAGTATCCAAATTTATGCTGGTTTACACGCACAACCTAATACGTTCAATGCCAAACCATCCTACCAGGTACCCATTTATATTCCTGGGTGGAGAGAGGCAAACGTAAGTAAAGTGCTTTTCCCACCAAAAGTTAACCAATCCTCTTCACTTTCTGTCCTTTATTGTCTCCCGATTTGAGAATACTATTCAGAATAAGATACGCACATCTTCTATATTTTGTTTGCCAACAAAATGAACATGAATAATCCTTCCCTCTGTGGTAAAATCATTCATTTCACTTACTTGTCATCATTGGTATGGCAGTTAAGCGCCGATGCATCCCTACTTAAAATGTCCTCCAGACGTCCATATGGAAGAGTTCGCCCCTCAGAGCTGCTCACCACTACTAAGCCATACTGAGCTGGGTTAATCCATTCATAGGCAGTTCTGTAAATATATCACAATTATAATGTACCACACAAAAGACTATCTTGGCAAGGTTGATGGTATTGGACTGTACACTGGTAGAAAAGTCTTTCATTTTCAGTAAATGCACAGTTGTTTAAAAATAAACTGTTCATGATAAGCTATTAAATGTGAATTGTTTCAATCTGCATCTCATTGAAATTTGATACTGAATTCAATATTAACTGAATGGATGATGGTTTACCACAGACTGCTCTTGAAGTTGGACTGGGCATTTATGTGAATAAACCAGTGGTATAAATGTACCTTCAGTTGATTTACATTTTTTTTTTGTAATTTTTCAATTGACACCTATTATGTTTTTTTTCTTTTATGGCAAACTGTTAATTTATTAAATTATAATATATTGTTACAACATTAAAATAATTTTGTAACAGATATAGTGTGGACTCTTATACACATCTAGATGTGTATAAGAGACAGTGTTAGATTACACATACCATAAATTTCTTCAATTAATCACAATTATCACTTACTTTGCATTTGTGCCAATCCAATGGATTATGCCATTGTCGTCAAAGTCATGGGTGTGTCTAAATGTGATTGGAGTCGTTTCTTTCAGTTTCTTAACAAATGTGAAACTGGGTCTATCATAGTCATACCACTGTTTTGCAACCTAATACAAAATTAACAAAACAGAAATTGTTAATCAATTCTCTGGAACTTCCTCATTGTAACATCAATGCTTTACAACCAATTAAAATTTATTCAAGTTGTATATCTATAATATTAAAATAATTAATAATAATAATAATAATAATAATAATAATAACAATAACAATAACAATAACAATAACAATAACAATAACAATAATAATAATAATAATACAATCATTACCATTTTTAGAAGATATCTTTCTAGACTACTAATTGTAGATAAGGGTTCCATCTTAAGTGTGCGTCCACTTCTGTCAATTAAAGATGTCTCCCCGGGGGCCTTCTCTAGACGGAAGCGCAATCGTCTTGTAAGGACCTAAAATAAAGATCACAAATAAATCAAGTGCAGATAACAAACAAATACAAATCACATATGTGACAAGATAATGGAGTTAGTACTATTTAATAATAATTCAAAAGCTTTCCTCACCTGTAAACCGTAACTAGATCCCGGTGAATCATACAGACAGAGTGGAAGCCGTTCTATAGACTCCAATACAGCAATAAATTTACGAACTAACATTACAGCAGGAGAAATACTGAAACATAAAAACAAGTTAAAAAATAAGACAATACACCATAATTTGTTACTTATAGATTTCTTTTAACTATAAGTGTAACATTCCTGCTACTAATGTTCCCATCAAGATTATGTAATATATTTTTAACAGATATAAACAACTTCCTAATAACATACAGGTCCCTCTCCAATTAAAGACCACGTTTGGGACCAGTGTTTTCATGGTCTTTAGTAGCTTCGGTCTCTAAATAGAATAATCATGATGAAAATTTGTGAATTTTGGACCACAGGAAAGTGATCGTTATTTGGAGGTGGTCTATAATTTGGGGGAGACCTGTAATAATAATACATCAATACACTTACATAACAAAAACCAGTTTGTCACTGGTACTGACGATGGTGAAAATGCGATAAATAATGTTATGGTAAAAAAAAGTTGTGATTTTAAAAGGGATAAAAGAAAGTCAGATCAGAAGTGGGAAGGTGGCAGAAAAATTTATATAACCATGAATCATACAAGGAACTAACCTTTCATCATCGCTTGTTTCCCTAAAGGCAGCTTTGAATAAGTTTACTCTTTCTTTAAGGTGACCATCATGTAGTAGAACATCATCATAATTCTACAATCGAAGACCACATAAATATTGTAAATATGAGTGAAAAGTCAAGGTAATAGCAAAGAACTTAAATAGCAGAAGAATGAGCTGTTCCACGTATTGGCATTAAAATTGATGGAACATCCTCACTCCCACAAGCGGGGTAAAATGTGACCTTTTGACTGAGTGGAGAAACTACAGGAAGCAAACGAACCAGAGCGGCACCTTTATCATTGATGTATAGCGCCACCGCGCGGACGAGGTAAAATTGCTCTCCGTGTACCGACAATGAATTTTAAACGGATGTTCCACTATATTGGGAAGCTACTCTATCTTCTGCTATTTATTTTCTCTGGTAATAGACAATAATGTGGATAGTCCATGATAACAGAAGGAGACATCACAAATAAGCCATGATAATAAGAGATTGTAGTCAAGGTAACAAAGGAAATAATATTTGCACATGTAAGAATGTATTGGGGTAAGCATATACATGGTTGTGCGTAGTATGTAATTATTTCTTATGTACAGTATGTTTTTATATATATTTTTTTTAAATTCGTAAAAATAACAGTAAATAATAAGATGTTGGAATTATGCATATGACTGGATATGGGCATTCATTATAAATATGTGTTCATTCATACACCAAGGTGGCATTTTTCTTTTGTATTATCTTTACTTATAAATACGATTTCATAATACATGAACTTACATTATTTAGTGTTAAGACAAGTGCTTGTACAAGACCACTTGTGTGTATTTCATAAGCAGACAACGTGCCCTCCTCTTTAAGTAGTAAAGTAAGTGATTCCAATGCTGTTTTCATTTCCTCACGCCAACTGTTCTCTCCTTCAGAAGGCTAAACAATTCAAACAAAAACACAATCAAGACCAAAGAGCTAGAAACTAGAACAAATTACAGCTGGTAAAATTTTAATTCAGTGCCTCTCAGTGGTATATCTAGAGGGTGCATGGGGGGGGGGGGGGGGAAGGGGATACACATCTAGATAAAGCTTGCACCCCTCAGTCTTCCTCCCCACCCCCCAACTCGTAAAGTTCAAAGTAAATAAATTACACTCTAGTAATTAAAAATCACCTCATATCATTTTATTTTGTGAGTAGCACCCCCTCACTTAATCATCATGGACCCAGTTCACCTTTGTGTCCCCGTCATTTCAAGAATCTTAGACACAGCACTGATGCCTCTTAATTCAACTAATGCATTAGCATCACTAAGGTAAGCATAATTATGAATAGTGGTACTACAATGTGTTTACCTTAGTTACGTCATTATGGGATGCACAAGCCGACTTCAGTTGAGCTACAATGTCTTTTAATTTAGCTACTACTCCCCTTGGGTGAGCCTCAGCTGCCTTGAAGTAGCCATCGTAAAGCTCATTTGCAAGATATTTAACCTGAAAATGACAAACATTTGTATACATATATTAAACATTTGATTTGCTTTGGATAAATGGATATACTTAAGATTTAAGCAATATTGGTCCTTAAGCTGTCCAGACTATCAAATTTTCTGTGACAAAAACACTGTGTTGTATGCCCATATATAGTCATGATGTGCCAATATATGGTCATGATGTGATGTCATCTTGACCATACTTAGGCATGTCACATGTTTTTGTAAAATAAAATTTGATAGTCTTTAGATAATATACTTTTTTATATATTGATGAATTAAAGTTGAGAAGCACACTCTTTGGTGACAGCAGTTGTTTAATAACAGATTTTATCTCTCCACAACTCTCCACTTTCATGCTATTCCTACTAAATGTTTACAGTATTTTTATTGTTGCTGAAAAGAATACAATTTTTGAAATACCTTTTGTTTAACCTGTTCAACCTTTGACCTAAGCCTCTTCCCTCTCTTCCCTGTCCAACCGGTTGAGAATTCAGGACCGAGGGATGTTTCAGCAGTGAATGAATGTTTTGTGCCCCGATTTGATTCAAATATAAAACCAGGTAGATCCTCACGTAATATTGTAGCTTGCTGTGTGTGGAAAGTGGAATATTAACAAAAACATATTTTAATCGTAGTGAAACGATGGGTACACAGTTATGTTGACTGAATTGAGGATATGAAAAATGTTATTGTTTTTCTTATTAATTTCTACTGTCCAGTTGTTCAACAAAAATGTTTGTAGTAAAATATATTTAAACAAGTTATTTAGTTATAGTATATAGTTATACATATTCCTCTAGCTAACAGCAATTGTAAAACAGCCATCCCCACCCCCCAACCATCCTAAAGTAAATAGCATTGGTGGTTTTAAAAACATTATACATAAGGCTCTGTCTGCAAATATTATGTGATAAATTTGTGTGATGTGCCCATATATGGGTAAGATGTCATATGACATGTAAATAAGATGTGTATAAGAGACAGCATTATAAATATGTGTTCATTCATACACCAAGGTGGCATTTTTCTTTTGTATTATCTTTACTTATAAATACGATTTCATAATACATGAACTTACATTATTTAGTGTTAAGACAAGTGCTTGTACAAGACCACTTGTGTGTATTTCATAAGCAGACAATGTGCCCTCCTCTTTAAGTAGTAAAGTAAGTGATTCCAATGCTGTTTTCATTTCCTCACGCCAACTGTTCTCTCCTTCAGAAGGCTAAACAATTCAAACAAAAACACAATCAAGACCATTTGTACTATTTCTTTTTCCTGAAGCAATGATTGACATGAATATGCTAGTAATACAAAGACTAAGGAGGTAACATATAGACCTGTCTCTTATACACATCTAGATGTGTATAAGAGACAGATCTTAGACACAGCACTGATGCCTCTTAATTCAACTAATGCATTAGCATCACTAAGGTAAGCATAATTATGAATAGTGGTACTACAATGTGTTTACCTTAGTTACGTCATTATGGGAGGCACAAGCCGACTTCAGTTGAGCTACAATGTCTTTTAATTTAGCTACTACTCCCCTTGGGTGAGCCTCTGCTGCTTTGAAGTAGCCATCATAAAGCTCATTTGCAAGATATTTAACCTGAAAATGGCAAAAATTTGTATACATATATTAAATATTTGATTTGCTTTGGAAAAATCTGAGTGGATAAATGGATATACTTAATATTTAAGAAATATTGGTCCTTAAGCTGTCCAGACTATCAAATTTTCTGTGACAAAAACACTGTGCTGTATGCCCATATATAGTCACGATGTGCCTATATATGGCCATGATGTGATGTCATCTTGACCATATTTAGGCATGTCACATGTTTTTGTAAAATAAAATTTGATTGATAATATGTTTTTTTATACATTGATGAATTAAAATCGGAGTTCAGGGGTACACACTTTGGTGACAGCAGTTATTAGCAGCTTTCATCTCTCCACAACTCTCCACTTTCATGCTATTCCTACTAAATGTTTACAATATTTTTATTGTTGCTTGGAAAGAATACAATTTTTGAAATACCTTTTGTTTAACCTGTTCAACCTTTGACCTAAGCCTCTTCCCTCTCTTGCCTGTCCAACCGGTTGAGAATTCAGGACCGAGGGATGTTTCAGCAGTGAATGAATGTTTTGTGCCCCGATTTGATTCAAATATAAAACCAGGTAGATCCTCACGTAATATTGTAGCTTGCTGTGTGTGGAAAGTGGAATATTAACAAAAACATATATTTTAATCATAGTAAAACGATGGGTACACAGTTATGTTGACTGAATTGAGGATATGAAAAATGTTATTGTTTTTCTTATTAATTTCTACTGTCCAGTTGTTCAACAAAAATGTTTGTAGTAAAATATATTTAAACAAGTTATTTAGTTATAGTATATAGTTATACATATTCCTCTAGCTAACAGCAATTGTAAAACAGCCATCCCCACCCCCCAACCATCCTAAAGTAAATAGCATTGGTGGTTTTAAAAACATTATACATAAGGCTCTGTCTGCAAATATTATGTGATAAATTTGTGTGATGTGCCCATATATGGGTAAGATGTCATATGACATCCACATATAGGCACATCACATTTTTTTGTCACATAAAATTTGTGTTATGTGCCCATACATGGGTATGATGACATATGACTATTACATCCAAATATGGGCACATCACTTTTTTTGTCACATAAAATTTGATAGTGTAGACAGACCTTAAGATTAATGAAACAAGAAAAAGAACTCACTGCTTGTCCATCTGAATTGTGGATGACCACCTCACCATCCTTTCTACACTGCAAAGACCAGTTACCAACTACTAGCTTCGTAGGTCCTGGATGAGTTAGGAGGGGTTGGCTAGTCATGCCTGCCTTTACTTGGTTCTTAGCTCGCTGGAGTTTCTCAAGAAATTCACTTCTACTCTCTGTAAAGGTTAACCAGGTGTATTTACTCATGTAATTGAAGACCATTAAGAGAAGGTTCAGTGGGCTCAATGGGAGATGGTACCCAATGAAAGGGGTATTAAGGTACTGATACAAGAATGACAAACAGCCTACTGCTGGTTTAGTAACTGATTGTTTGATAACAACAAAAAACAATATTAACTAAAAAAAGAAGACTCAAGTGAAAAAAAAAAAAAAAAAAAAAATCACATGTAACATATAGCATTGCATTAAGCAGTGGCAGATCTAAGAATTTAAAATAATGGGGCCCAAGGGGGAACTTTGAATGTTTAATGTCTAGAACACCTCTGCCCAGCTATGCTTGGGGCTGAGGTACGAAATATTACGGTTATGGCACCTCTAAATGGCCGGAAAAAGCATTCACGGACCTACATTTGAGTACAATTTTTATTTTGTTCTTATTTATTTTAATTCTCAAAAAAATTATTGGCCCCGTGCTGACTTCTTCCCAACTCTTCCTATGCTAAGAATTTATAAGAAATCAATTTTCTCGTACCTGAGCTATCAGATCCTCCTTCTGGGCTACCACTGGAATACATGGTTGCCAGCTTGCCATCTAGAATAAACCTAAACCAGCCATTGCTGCCATTAGAAAGCTCTAGAGCTGCAGCATCACTCCAGACATACAGACAATCTCTACCACGCGCCAAGCACCAGTCGCGCCAGTGGAATGGACGCCCTTGCAGGATTTCTTTTGCGTCTTCCATTTGTACTATTTCTTTTTCCTGAAGCAATGATTGACATGAATATGCTAGTAATACAAAGACTAAGGAGGTAACATATAGACTAGTGGTATCTCAATATACAAGCAAATATATCAATAATAGTGTTATCTAGGAAGCATAATTATTTTTATTCCTTGCAAGGATTTGGGTAAAGTATGATAGAACATGTTTATAACATAACTAAAACAAAAAATAAATACAACAAAATAGACACCCTGTCAGATTTATATATAAGTAAAAAAGTGTCATAGAAAAGACAACTTTAATCTAAAATTCTAGGTATAATAAGGGATCATCCAATATTTTCAACCTCTTTACTTGAGTACAAGCTAGAGAATGTCAAAATGAAGACCTCAAAAGTGCAACAATCATCAATATATTATGTATTCTTTTGAAAGGGAGGGGATAGGAGGTCACAGAATAGAGAATCTCTTGTACATTTTAAAACATGATGGAAAAAATTGATTATCCCTAATAGTAATAGATATTCTTATATACAGTATACACATAATTGTGCATATAATGAGTAAGAATACTTCCTCACTTGTTTTTTATCACTGCCTATTGCAGTTTCTTCATCTAAATCGTCCATAGGACCCGTCAAGGCTGCAACTTTACTAAACAATCCAAGCCTGGCAAAATGATCAAGGAATAGGTTGAGGCCCTTCTGCATCAGGTCTTGAATAATTTGTAAGGCAGTAAGGTGGCCTTCATCGTCATCCTATCGCACAGTGAAGAATAAAAATAGATTAATTAGCAGGAAGTTTTAGTTATATATATCAGTTCAAGTTCAGTTGTAGCGGCAAATACAAGGTATTACTAGAAAGCCGGTAGACAACAAATTTTATCTGCTAAAATAAAAAATGTTTGATTAGACATTTATCTGATAGTTTATGTTTTTTCCTTTTTATCTGACCAAACAAATGATGTGCTTTCAAGTCTGTTGGAAATCTGACAATGCTCTACTTTATAACACTCTGGTAAAGAGCCCTACATAAATGTCAAAATATTATTATTATTATTATTATTATTATTATTATTATTATTATTATTATTATTATAAGTATAAATATGGGGAGGCATTTTATTCTATAGAATATAGAAAACTACAGCTCTTTAAGCATATAACATTTTACATTGTGGATTTTATCTTTACTTTAGTTCTTACTTCATTCTATGGAAATTTTATGCACACTAAGTCTTCATTTATATTAAATTAAATTAATTTAATTATACGTATTACCTCTTGATCAAGAACATTTGCTAAAACTTCAACTAAAACAGCGGCAAAGTGAATTCCATCAGTGTCACACACTTCAAATAGTTGGTTGTAAGATATATAATGCACCATTTTACGAATCAAGGCTAGGGTGGCTTTTCTATTTAAAAAGAAAAAAACAAACAAACATAAGCATGACAGTCACACATGCTGTTGCCAGTAACATGTATGCAGGATCACAAGTCTCCATCAAGTGTCCCGAAAATTAGGATGGCCTTCTACACTCCCAAAAGCAAGCAAAAACCTCCAGGAAAATATCCCATCTTTAACATATGCATATAACTTTTTACTATTGTTTTATCAATTGTTTCAGGGAAGTCAGATCCAATGGGTATCAACATGCGCATCAAATTATGTTAAATGTGTTAAGAAAGCACATTAAAGCGACTTCTTCCAACTTGAGACCCTTGTCTTTGATACATGCCTGCATGCGTGTGATGTGCCCATATATGGACATGATGATGTCTGAGTACTTCCAAATATGGGCATATCACATGTAATTTGATAATGTGGATAAGGCTTATGTGTGTTCATGTCTTTCTATAGAATATAGATGATTTCTGCTTGCTCGCAGGAGCGTGGGACAACGTGCCGAGATTCCCGCCTAGTCGAGGACACTTGAGACCACAGGTAAATTACAAAGATATTTAGATTACGTTTGCGATGTTTATATTTTCGATAGATGGAATCACGAAAAAGTGATGACTTATACACATTTATATAGGACTACAATTTACTAACAATTGTCAGAACAAGAAAACTCAAATGGTTTGAACATATCCACAGAGTGAAAATCAGACAAAAATGGATGGAGATTGTGAAAGTTGCATCGGAAGTGCTACTACGACCCAAGGTTAAGTTTGGTTTCCATAGAATCGCTACACTGTCACTACAGTGTTTTTAGTGCCCGACACAAAAGTTTTGACCGACAAATCAGTATCACAGAAAACTGTCGGCGATAGCTGGGGCAGATGCAGACAGCGTGACTGCACCCCCTAAATTGTATTGTGAAAAATTTTTGTATTGTATTGTTGATATGGAAACCAGGCTTTATGGAACTGATAATGATGATCACAACTCTTATGCTTGCAGCATACAACGAATTAAAAATATTTATTTAAATTTTACAATAAAAAAAGGTCAAAAATGCATTTTTTTTTAAATGGAATTCAAATCATAAAGTAGTTTGTTGTTATTGTGTGGTTAATTTTAGGTCGGATTATTTCCTTTAGACATACTAGTTGATAATCCGATATAATAAAACCTTCCTGGTAATAATCCAACTGACTAATCCCTTCCTGGTAATAGCTAGATTGATTAATCCCCTCGTAATACTACACTGTAGTCGAAACAACTTTAAAGGAACCAATAAAATTCAAATATTCTTTTACAATGTGGTAAAGGTGTTTTGGTTACAGCAGTCTAAAAAAGGTACATAATTTTATATTTTTACTTCATTTTATTTCATTTAACCCAACAGCGTAAACGCCAATAAACAGGATGCATGACTATAATATAAAATCACTAGAAACATACATAAAATAGTTGATAACGGTACAATAAACATTCATGATTAAATTAAGTTACAACAATAATTACTATATATCGAATGAGCATTGTAATCACAATTCAAATGATTTATATACGATTCCAAGGCCTAATGTATGGTCGGATGACTAATTTAACTTGTGCTAAAACGAATTAAGAGGTTGGTGAAAAATATCAATTGAAGGTTCATTGTTTGTAATAGAATTATATAAAGATGAAGGTCTTCCGATCATTCAATTTTTAGTTACGTTAACTCTACATTTTGGAACAAAAAAAGTATTTCCTACGCATATTGGCACAGAGAAGAAAAGTATGAGAGAATAAAGGTAAACCATCTGCCTGTACTTTTTTAAAGAATTTAAATTACACACATTATCATTACCAATAAATTACACAAATCAATCATGATGTTGGTAGTCTATGAGTGAGATGCTTACCTGGATAAACCGACTGACAATTATAGTCCTCATTCCCTAAAAGCATGTGGCTTAATGCAGCCAATCCTTTAGGATAAAGGGGAGCCACAAAATGCAAACACTGTTGAATAGGGAATGAGGTTTATCCAGGCAAGTATTCACGAAATAGACCTGAGGAACTTATTTTTAATGCATTGGACTCGCTGCTCACGAGAAACACAAATTGAATTATAAATACCTGAAGAAAACTCTAAACCAGATCAAAGGAACACATTAATGCAAACAATGATACAAAAATTAACATATAAGATAAATTACCTTATAGAAGGCATCATGGTATGGTGAAAGGCCTGAGCGAATATGGGCAGCAATTTATTAAGATACACTGGGGCCATCTCAGGATCACCTTTGGGTCCTGATGGTGGTGGTGTTGAGGGTGCACTAACTATACATTCCCCCTTCTTGGAAACATCTTCCTTGGTAGTTGGGCTAGAGGTGGTGGTGGTTGGGGTAACTGGTACCATCCATTCACCTACATTATTTCACAAATAAAATTTTAAAAACATATAATAGTTTTCATATTCATAACCACAATGCGAGGTAAACTCATGCCAATTCGCCAATGAAAGAAAACACTCCTCAAAAATAATGGAACAGTCAGTTTACCAAATATAAGTATTCACAAAACAAACAAATACATTTCATTTATTCATTCATTTAATTCTTCTTTTTAACCTAAGTGGTTTATTTTATATAAATGTATAATAAATATTATAATCTAATAATGTTTGAAGGAGTTGTATCATGGACTCCCTTCTTATCCAAGTTACTGAGTTCTCCATAAACTGCACACTAACACTCATAAGGCCAAATAAAAATAATTATTAGTTTATCACCCTATCTAGACTGGAAAAGTGATGAGGGAGGGAGGCTTTTATTTTTATTTTTTTATTTTTCTAAAGCCAAGTCACCGTTGGGTTGTTTGCTGGTGCATTAAAATTCAGAGTAAAATACATGATTGAGATAATACAAACAATATCTACTATTTGTAAAAAAAAAATAAAAAAAATAAAAAATGTTATTTTATATATGTTTTTTTTTTAAATACAAATGGAAGACATGTGAAACTAATATTTTTTTTTATTGGGCCTAATCAAACTTTATATATAGAGCATTAGAAAGTCTTATGTCTATCTACTAATTTGCAAGGTGCTCGCTCTCAAATAAAAATAATATTTAAGGATAGTTACCTGGTGACTGAAGTACCTGGACAACACCTCTATGTCCTTCATCGTTTCTTTCACGTGCTTTGTCTAAAGGTGTCTTACCGTCCTCGTCCCGAAGGTCAGGATTAGCTCCATGACGAAGAAGTGTCTGCGAAAATTCACAAATTGTCAAACAAACAAAAAATTAATCAAGTACATTATAAGAAAATATGAATCAGTTTGCTCATTACCATTTGAATCGGAAAATCAATGAAATAGAACACTCACCTTGGCTACTTGAGGTCGCCCAAAACAGGCTGCATAATGTAGTGAAGATGAGCGCTGCCCTCTGTTGACATCTGCACCTCGTTCACACAAAAATTCCACCTGTAACAAGAAAATTATTAAAACAATTCAGGAGTGATGTTATGAAAAAAATAAAATTAGGATGTATATACAGACTGAGATGCACTTAGACAGAGATGGGCAATTCCATTATTTTCAGAGGTAAGTTTTACAATAGAAAAATGTGGCATTTATACATTTATCTAGCTAAGTAAAACAAATTTTCTTGAGCATTAGAATACCTGGGATAACTAAATATTTGTTCATTTCATTCAAAGAATTTTATATAACAAGCTCTCATAATCTTGAAAGTTCCGATGAGGGCAGTATAATAGAGGCAGTAGAGTATACTGGCCCTTACGGCCCCCCATACAAAAAACATCTATTAATTAATCTATTAAGTGTTTCTACAGTTCCTTATCGAGGCTAAAATAATAAACATAACGATAGATGATAATACCATTTCCTGAGTGCCAAATGCCGATGCCCAATTGAGAAGTGTCTGTCCAACATCATCCATGTAATTCACTTCAAAAGCTATTTCAAGAAAAACACAATATGATATATCATAAATATCTTATACAGTAAATAATAATAATGGATATATAATATCCATTATATATTAATGATAGACTATATATAACTGGTGGTATGTGTGCATTGAACCATGAAGTTTCTTTCTGACCTTTGGTCATTGATTCATCCCCAATCGCTACTCTCTGTGTGTTTCAGCTAGAGAGCTGACATACAAGTCACAATAGCATACCCTCTTTCATTTTCGATGTTTAAGTCAATATAGAGCAGAAAAGAGAAGGAGATTGTCTCCTGGTGTACAACCCATTCACCACCCGGAGGACCCCATTTAAAATAAGTCCTCAGAATTTCATTCGTTACCCTGTTTCCCAACATCACTAACTATATTAAAAATATGATAACAGATTGATTGATTTCTTACCTCCGGTGTCTACAGCATCGATCAAAGCGTCTGTATCCTTGCTTCTTATACATTCAATGAGTTGGCGATGAGATCGTTCACCCGAGCTATCAAGCCTCCTCAAACCAGTCATGCGCGACGACCCACCAATCGTGATACTGGTCTTAGGTAGTGCTTTACGGCCTTCAAATAATAAAACCATCAACAGGTCCACCAGACGCATCGTATCTAGGACACACCTGTAAAAACATTTTTAAAAAACACAAACGTTTAAATTATTATGTCTCAAAGAAATACAATAGGTTACATCGCAAAACATGCACAATCACAGAAAAATTATCACAAACAGGCAAAGACAGGATTCCTAAAAAGTGGACCAAATCACTATCTGGTAGGTCCTCATTGCACTGGAGATAATACTTTACAATAAACACATAATAATAACAATAATAATAATAATAATAACAATAATAATAAAAATAATAATAATTATTATTATTATTATTATTATTATTATTATTATTATTACCACTACCACCACCCTTATATTACTTTAATTTAAAATGATGACAATATTATTTTTAAAAATCATATGTATATAAAAAATATCAATAGAACTTATTTGGAATAATATGTTCTAAGATAGTTTAAAAAAAGATTAATATTTAAAACTTACAAATCCCTAGGCCTAACATCTTCTGGTGGTGCAAACAAATAAAGTTGTGAGTATCACATACTTATCACCACCTCATCACTTTCACCATCATAACCAATGATATTGAATAGACGGCAACAAAACAAGGTTAACAAACTATTAAAATACAAGTTACATACTGACAAAATGAAATATGCAGGTCTATTCATTGTACAATTATATGCTAATCCTCAACATGACAAATGTCGATACATTTAACAAATTCCCTAAAACAATAAATTCCATCATTCAATTCACTCTGTGTCTACACCATCACCAATGATGATATGTTTTACAAATTCCCTAAGATAATTAAATTCAACATCATTTAACAGAAAATCAATTGTAATTTGTTTTTCTGTAAAGACATGCAAATGAAATATACGTATAAATCAATAAATAAAATTGCCAAGACTCAATGTTTTTTCGTTTTTTTTTTTAAAGATTCACATAACACTCTGCGTAAATCTTAACACAATAAACATGGTGCAGTACCCGTACTACTTCACATAATGTCAATCTATTTATTCACCGTCTTTATGCCATTAGTCAATATGGTAGCGGAGAAAAAAATAAGCTAAAGGCATGCCTAGCCACTTATTACTTTGTCTTAAACATAGATATGCTAGAGACCATCGCTCAGTGTCAGCGAGAACATGAACGCAATTATTTAAAACTAAGCCTCGACACTGAAGTGTATCGATCAGTATGAGAACATGCCTAGGTGGCTGTTGACAAGCAGAATTCATGGTGCATACATTACTAGCCAACTCTTGAGTGCATTTCCTTCATTAATCATCTACATATATGTGCAAATAGTATAGCAATAAAGGGTCCTGCCTTTTGAGAGATCAGAGTTCAGTCTTGAATCTGGGGACTTCTTTGTTTCCTTATGCAAGGCACTTTATCCACAATCTCTCAACCCAGAAATAAAAGTGGGTCCCTTGATTTAAATACTATTGAATTAATATTGTATATTGTATTTTTCTCTGGGAGTTAAGGATGTACTTCATCCAGTGACAGTGGCAATTATTATGTAATGTACAGGAAGCATTATGAGATATATAAGATTGAACCACTATTAAGCAATGTATACTGCATACATATTATTATCATTATAAAATATAATTTTTTTTTATTATTCTCCTTGTTTTTCATTGTTTTGTTGTTTTTTTTTTCAGGTTATAGCAGTTTAGAGAATTCACTCTGGTGTCGGGCTCTTAGCCCATTATTCTTTCTCGACATGCTATTAACCTGTCTTTTTGTACTTCCTTATTTTGTCTTTAATAATTTCTGTATATGCCAAATTTATAATAAATAAATACATATATAAAAATATATAATAAAAATTTAACTTTTCGTTTTGTTGTGGAGAAAAGTTTCATACATTTTATTCAATGAACAATTTGTATTACCTATTAATAAGTTACTACTAATAATTATTATTAGTAACTATTATTATTAATTAGTAACTACTGCTAATAGTAATAAACATTTATTGTGATGTGAATGTTATTTGTAACCATTAAAATTAATAATCATAAACGTTACATGTCTATGTTGTGACACTGAGAGTGCATTTAAATCAATTATTATTATTATTATCACTATCATTTTTGAAAGGTCCACTGATCTCAGATAAGATAGTATAATACATATTACAAGTATCAAAATGCACGCCATCGTGTCCAGATTCAATATTTCAACATTAATTATGTCATCATCAGGAATAACTATCATTATTGTTTCTTTGAATCAGTATTTTACTATTTATTATAAATATTATTAGTAATCCATATTAAACTTAATATAAATATTTACTACATTATATTGATAAATATTATACTATTAATAAATATTTTTTAACTAAATAATAAATACTAATAACAGTTAAAAGCAAAAATAATAACAATTAAAAGATAATAACAACAATAAAAACAGAAATAATACATGTATATACTCAATGCCTTTTTGACATTTTAAAATTCCAGCCACTTTTCTAGAACCTGCACAATCAGTGAAAATCAATAAACAGGGTAATATTAAATAATTTAAATAAGTTTACAAAACACAAAAGCTATTTTCATGCACATACAGTATTTGACCAAGGTACCTGGGCATTGATATCCCAGTAAGATTATAGAGAAACAGACTAAGCTAAACCTCTGTGTTTATTATACATTAACGCTAACTGATTTATGTAATCTATCCTATCCTAGACATCTTGCTATAAATTACAGATTTAAATATTAAAAGTTTTTTTTTTTCAATTAAATTCTTCTCCAGAGAGCACATGAAAGAATAACACGTAAATTAATAAAAATACGTCATAGATTGATTTCATAAATTCTTTCATATCCGCCAGAATGTACACTCATCAATTATAGAACTAAACTAAATGATACTCCATAAAATAAGTCTCAGTGTGATGCATATGAATTAAGTTATTTTTAGATGCAGGATGTTTAAACCATCATTTCTGATATAGTGCTATTTCATATACTAGTTCAAAGCACTTTAATTATTAGGCCTACCCCTGGTTATTGGGTCCATAAACAGCAATGCATTACACAACCTCATCCAATCCCTGGTGCTAATTAATGTAGTTGAAAGCAATATTTAGGCCTACCTCTGATTATTAGGTATATAAATATCAATGCATTTTTTAATGCATTATGCAATCTCATCCACCCCCTGGAAAGTATTTCTAATCATGAAACCATTTCTGTCTCTATAGTGAAAAGTGAAATTTAGCATCCACTTAGGACTTACGAATGAACCTACAAATGAACCAGTTTGTTTCCTGGTTTTGAAAGAATCCACCATTATTTGGTGTAGTTCTGAATTGTTTTTGATATAGTTTGCAATAATGTTTGTATTTTGTATAGTGTTGTGTGATGTCATCAGACTGCCATTTACTGTATCTATTTTTGTATTATTTCCAAGCCAACAGCGATAAATCTCCATTTACAGGGTGGACATAAAATATAAAGAACTCTAAAAACACAAAAATACATGTAAATTTCACTCTATAAATAAAATAATAAAATAGAGCTAAATCTAGCACTCAACAAATCATTCTTAAAAAAAAAAACCTTACATTCTTATTGATACTGAGTGGAGAAACACACAATAATAAGACAAACATCCTCAGCACAAGGACAAAAGCAAGTCACAAGATTCTGACTTTCGAAACTGATGACTTCTTCATTGTAACCTAGGAATAGCTAGTAATGTCAATTGTATGGCAAGCCAGTTTATCATTTACTGAGAATTAGAACCTATTGTACTTAAGTAAAATGTAATTTGATTTAAGTAAAATACAATTACACTAAATTAGAACCTATTGTACCTAAGTAAAATGCAATTTTACTTGAGTAAAATACAATTATTTATTTATTTTATTTACTATAAATTCGGCATGTTATACAGTATACAAAAAACACAAACATGAAATATAATCAATTGTTCTGAAGTAAAATGAATTTCACTGAAGCCAAATACAAATACATTTAAGTTAAATCATAAGTTAAAATATCATTAAGTACAATAAAGAGGAAAATAATAAAAGGGTTTGCCATAAACAATGCTGTAGCCAGCTATTGGGACAGTTGGGACAGTCCCACACAATTTTTCTAATGGGTCCACAAATAATGGGTCAACATTTTAAAAAATGGGTCCAATGTATGCAATTTTATGCATAAAATAAGTCCACTTTTTGAAAAATGGGTCCAAATTTCTAATATTTAGCCTAAAATGGGTTGGAAGTTTAGGAAAATGGGTCCAGATTTTTCATATTTTTGCATAAAATGGGTTAACTTTTAAGAAAATGGGTCCACATTATTTGAATTTACACATAAAGTTGGTCCACCCTGATATTGTCCCGAACCGTTTGAAAATCCCAGCTACGGCATTGGCCATAAGGATACTTCCTGCTTAATGATGATGTAATTTATTACCTTTCATCTCCCTGCAGGGCCTTCTCAATTGCATTTGGTAGCTCTGAACGCAACAGATCCTGCATAAACAAAAATGATGAGAATAGATAAATATACCTTATATCAATATTTAATATGAATTTTTATCAAATTCACAAAAGTACTCCATTGTAGCTAAACTATTACTACATAATATTTTGTTACAAGAAATCATCAAATCATCATCATTCAAAAGTAAAACAGAAAGTATCCTCCCATACATTTATGTGGCAAATGCCCACAGTATATATGGGTGTGATATGACATCATATGCATAATGGCAAATCACATACATTCAGAAAGCCTGATAGCATGGACATGGGTGAGGCAAGTACACATGATGGCGCAACTCCACGGAAATTTCCTCTGGGTCAGATCGCAGTGAATCAGCTCAAACCACATCATTACAAAGCTTCTGTGGCCTACAGTACTTATCCAGAAGAGGACTTGGGAAGAATGGAAGAAGGGAAATGAGGAAGGAGCTGGGAAATGGGAGAAGAGAAAAGGGGAATTGGGGAATGCACGCTCTACAGGTTTTGCCACTGCAGGCTTATATTTATTTACATAAAGATACAAAAACCAATATTTCATAACAGCATCTGAACATGAACCATACCATTATTGGATACACGTCTCTATAGTTATATCATATCTAGGCCGATATAATATTGATTCCCCTTGTGTAAGAAATTCTAGATCTGCCCCTGCCCTCTCACAACTACCACTGAAAACTGTAATGTATTTTATTATGTATATATGAATGGTCCTTGTGGAAATTAACGAGATGATTTAGATTAGGCCCCCAGGGACCCATTTTAAATATAGAACTATAAGGCTACATTACCATGTATGAGTATTTTATATATTGAGTATTGAGGTATAAAAAAAACAATAAATCAAGTTTCCAAATACTGTTCTTTTTCATTAAAAAAAGTGCTATATGCTCACAGGATCACCAGCTTAACTTCTCATCAAAAGAATGTGTTATTTAGAGTGAAGTATCTCACACAAGGACACACACGAGAATAGAAATGACAGGTTTAGAACTTGCTCTAGATAACCACTAGACCAATACACATTCAATTACAATCATCCATAGTTCTATAACAATAAAAATTGCAGCAGGAATATTTGAAAAGTAATTAAAAAAGCAATGATAAATATAATTAACATTACTTTACTAATAACTATATTTATTCCTGGAAGGGAGGGACGAAGGGTTTGCTATTTCAAATAGTAAATATATACTGTACAGTAGCAATGAGCGGGATCTTATTGTTACAGTAGCTTGTTGATAATGATGCACTTCATAGAATGTCAACAACAGTCTTAACTGACTCTTCATACCCAATATCTCAAATTCCAATTTAATTCATTCTTTACCTTTGGAATTTAAACCAAATTCAACAATTAATTTGAGTTGTCAGAAATCAATGGAGCAATTCAATGGCTAATATTATGTTCAAACCCAATTTAATTCAAATTCAAATTCAAATTTAAAAAAAGCATCAATTTAGATACATAAAATAATAGACAAAGCAATAAGATACAACCAAGGGATGGGGTGGGATAGACCAGGCTAGCCTATCTATCTACTCTTCCTCCCTTCTCCACCCCTTCCTGTCTAGACATGGGCCTAAGATTGTTTTGTTTTAAGGTGAACAGGAAAATAAGAGATCAGAATACAGATCCAAGCTGTGACTATATAACTTAATTCACTGTACATCATAGAGCAAGTGCAATCTGCTATCAGTCTGTACTACTTAGTGCCGGTGTCGTTGGGATTCTCCACACCCCCCCCCCCCACCCCCAAGTGAATTGAGCCTTCATCCACATGGTATCATTTCATAGTGAATTTATTGCTATAAGGCCAAACTCCCTCATCCCCCATGATCTAAATGTAGGGATTTAAGCCCTGGTGAGAGAACCACATTTCCTGCCGCCAGGGACTCACATTCATTAGGGATTTAGGATCAGGAGGGCTAAATTTGCGGGTTAGGGGAGGGGACTAAAATCCCTACAGTACGACATAGCATCCATAGGTGTTGTTCACAATTTTCAGCTAAAATCAACATTCTTTATGTACACTTCAAAGGAAAGGAGGGGGCACCAAAAAAATGAAAATGTTGATAATTGTGAAAGACTCCATAATGCAAATTTATGTTCAAATATGAAAAGTGATGTTTGCTTTTAACCAGTTTTAAATATTGTCTGGCTCAATAAAAACCTTTAGTAAAGTTTTAAAGATACATACATTACTTTCAAGGACAAAATAACAATGGACTATAAATAATCTACTGTACTAGTTATTTATAAAGTTCAAATGTGGTTTTGAGGTTCACAGGAAGGACAGCATTTCTGTAGAGTAGGTGTGCTATGTCAAAAAAACGCTCAGGACCACAGAAGTTTAAGCCTCGTTTTCTTAAAATCACTACACTGTCGCTACAGTGTTTCAGTGCAATCGCTGAACTGCATAGCAGTCCCTGATGCTATTGAGAAGGTTCCCCGATTTAACCGACCAATCAGCATCACTGAAAGCTGCTAACTATAATGTGTAGATTGTATGGAAACTAGATTTGCAATTAGAATCATTAATGTCTTAATCTATGGATATTTTAAGGAAATGAAGCACAAATTCCTTTTGAATAATTCATCCATAACAGATGATATTTAGCAGTGACAAAAAAAATTACTTAAATGCCAAAAGTCAACATATCTGAAAATCTACTGATTTGACCTTTCCTTACAGTGTTGACCTTCTTTTAATGTAGCCTAACAATATGCATTATTACATTCTGTTTTTTTCAACAAAAAATAAACAAGTACATTAAAAAAAAATTATTATTGACATAAGTCCATAGTTTTAATTTTAAATTTATACCTGACATGGTTATGCCCGCCCTTATTTGACTATGTTAATGTTCAGTTACTCGGTTGTTTATTTCATTATAATTTATATTTTTCATTGTCCAAATATCAATTTGCACTATACAGTAATAGTAATTGTTTAACATTGATTTAGTATACATCTCCCCACCTCCACGATTTCTGCATGGAAATTTTGTAATAATGCAGTGTATGGTGCCCTCTTGCAAAAGTGATTAACTTTTCAACTTTGACCGCTTTGACACTGGGTATACCGAGCGACTTTTACCTTTACGTGTAACAATTAAAGGCGTCGATTTACAATGCGCTCTCTTTAAAACAATAAGAATCAAAAACGTACTTGGTGACAAACTTTGGCGTGATGTGAACACCCTCCATGGCAACAACTAGGGTGCCCTCTATAAAAAGTCTGAAAGTGATTACTTTTCTACCTAATCGACGCTTCTATTATTTGTTACGCTAAATCGCAGAGAGCACTAGCTTGTTTTTATAAGATCTTTGTTATCATTACCCTAGACATTGGATTAAACGCTTATTCATAATGTTGCAGCAGCTACATCAGCGCATTTTGACATTTAACCCTAGCAGGTACCCACTTATAATCCTGGGCTGAGAGAACAAATGCAGATAAAGTGCCTTGCTCAAGGACACAGGTGAAATGCACAGCGAGAGATTGATACCCTGACCTCAAGGTTGGAAAATCAAACCGTTCTCGCTGCCCCAAACCACTTCCATTAATTGAATCAATTATTTGTTAAATTTTCTGTAATTGTTTTGTATTCACTTGTTATTGGCTGAATAAAAAAAAGAATGAATATTAAATGAAATATACTTACATGAGTAACACCAGGGGAACCCCTGCATAATGTAGACAACAGACTTATAACTGTAGATATGTTATGATTACTTTTTGAGTCCGGAGTACTTCCAGCAGGAGTTGAGGGCGTGCTACCTTTGGCAACTAGGGTCTGTGACTTGGGGATACCACAGTTGGACAAACGCTCTAGAAGTTCCTTTGTGAGACCGTGCTTTGCTAAGGGTGCTGGATCAATTCCACGCCGAGTGAACCGGTCAGCTAGAGACGCAAAGCAGCGTAATGCGCCATCTGAAACCTGCAAGTTAATAACAATTATAATATCTAATTATATAGATTAACTTTGATTTAGTGGTTGGCACAGGGTTATGGTTGAGGCTCGCAACATTGAGCCTTTTTGGTGAGTAGTAAAATATGTGAATACAGCAAACTTTGTACAGTAATCTGTTTTTCTGCAGATTTTGCTTAACTTTTCAGTGATTTTGGAATATATTGCAGATTTTCATATACTACAATACGTGTTGAATAAAGTTTTTGTGTATCTCCCTATTCATGTGTATTACCACCTTTGTGAATGTTTATCTGGTGGTAAAAGTGATGCTATAAATAGGAAATCCATTGATAAGTTAATTTTATTCATGTGATTAAAGCCTAACACTTGTACAATTTTTTTTTTTTTTATGATAGGGTGAGCCACAGTTCTATTTCTCTGCAAATACCAAAAAAAAAAAATACTATACTGAGAAATAATAAAAATAAAAGAAAAAGTGACGTAGAATTTAGTGCTACTGATAGTAAGTGTTATCTATCTAAAGTTGTAGTTTATCAATGACTATGAGAAGTAATATCTAAGTTTATTTCATTTTTAAAGGTTATGAGATCAAGATCGTTTCATTGAATTGCCAGATCAACTGTTTTCTGAACTACAACCAAGATAAATCATTGGTCAGAAACAAAAAGACTATGACTCATGAGCACTTAATGTAGTAGTAAGCCAGCATTCTGAAAAAAAAACTTCACAATGGCACTCTTTATTAGTGACAAATGTTTGTTTACTATGTTTACTATATTGTGATATATTATTATTATTTAGTTATAAGAAGGAAGGGAAAATAATAATAATATGGTAACACATGATACTGGATAAATGATAAAGTTTGACTAGAAAAATACATTTCTAGAAACCACTCGATTGCATAATTAAGGGAAACTATGATGATCATTTAAACCTTGTTTTGTTTTGCATTTAAAGTACTGAATTAAACACTGAGCAGTAGATTCTGGTTGCAGCAAATTCAAGATTGGTTGAAGCCACAGGCACTGGGTCCATGTACACTTCAAGAATGGTGCCTTTCCTTGAATAAACACCAAATGAGTGATGTCATCATGATAAGAGATTTTGGACAATACTATTATCATCCACTCAAGCATTAGTAACAGGAAGTTTGATTAGGAAGCAAAAAAAAAAAAAAAAAAAAAAAAAAAATTACAAATATTGTGTTGTGTATTCATTCACTATAAATGAAACCGGGAATTCCCTAATAATAGTAGTTGTAAAGGATATTTACTTAGAAATGCTCATTTTCAAAAGTTGTTGTTTCAGACAAGAAATACCATGTGACACAAGTTCATGAAATACTTAATAGATACAGTAACATTCCCCAATTACCTACCCCTCCGTCTAAACAGATTTCGTAAGTCCGTAATCCAGAGAGTTTGATTTTTATTGGGGTAAGGGTAGGCCTAGGCTACTGTACATACAGCAGTCCATGGCTAGGCAGGCCTACACCTTTTGTCACAAAACATGACTTGGATTTTACTGTTTTCTGCAACACAAAATACTTTGTAGTCCAAGTTAAAATTACCTTTACTCACTCACTGTGAATTATTCATTTTAAGTGATTCCAGAATGAAAACATGACCATTAATAGCAAAGACGAGTGTTATTATTCTCTTCATAATGACTGCAAATCCATTCGAACAGTGCACGCAATGAACAAAATATGAGATTCTCTATTCCTAAAATTACCAGTAGCTGCCTGAACAAGCATGCACAGCTCTAAATGGAATTTCTTGGCAGAAAACGATTGATATTTCTTGCTTTATAAGTGTTGTTGTGGTTAAAAAAGATGGTTCTCAGTTTGTAAAATCGTGAGTTCGTAATTGGAAAGTTCGTAATTGGGAAATGTTACTGTACTACTGTAAAAAATAACTGAACATTATTACAATGACAGCGTTATGTGCATACATAATACTACATTATTTGTGAGTATTATTATGCGTAATAAAAAAAACAAAAAACTAAGTAGTAGTTATTTTAAGTTTGATATTGCATTTTTCTATTCTATGCAGATACTCATCAACGCCTGTTCAGCATCTGATCTGGACGAGGGCAGATGCTGTGAGATGGACCAGTACACCGGGTAACCCCCCACTTGTCTAGAAAGATGTACTGGGTTCTTTAGAGCGCAAATGAGCCAGTTGTGTTCACTGGGCCTACGGTTTATTGTCCTTATCCAAGAAGACTTGCTCCACCTCCTGAGCTATAGGCGAGCGTGTCGTTCTAACTAGTGCAAATATTAGGGCTGTAGGTTGCGGCGCCACCTGCCCTAACCGCTCGGCCATTCAACTCACAAGAAGAAGTAAGTACTATGTGCAATGAATTTTCTCAACATAACTTCACAAAGGCTCTGTACACACTACATATTTATGTCACAAATAAATGCGATACGCCCATATTTGGGTCTAAAGCTCTGTCCACACTATCATATTTTCTTTGACGAAAAACTGTTGTATGCCCATATATAGTTATGATGTGCCTATATATGGTCATGATGTGATGTTATCATGACCATATTTAGGCATGTCGCATGTTTTTGTCAAATAAAATTTGATAGTCTGGACAGGGCTTAATATGATGACGTCATCATATCCATAAACTGATCACACAAATTTGTCAGAGTGTGGACAGGACTTAATACAAAATATATTATTGAAAGTTACTTACATGTCCATCCTCGTGGTTTAGGAGCGTTGAGAGGGACTGAACGCACGTTTCCAAAGAAGTGTCGCTCGGTTCCATCTTTCCACACAGCCGAGATACAACCGACATGGCGGAATGTAGTGTATCCTTGTGGATCTGACTACCATTATCCCGGATAAAAGACAGCACACAGTTCAAACCTCCAGCCTCAAAGACAGAACCAGATTCACGGGTACACATCAGTTCCAAAACCTTTAAAAAAATTTATATATTTAATATAAGAGAATAAATAAACTCATTATAGTAAAACCTCAAATAGAAGCCCTGGGCTTCCTTTCATGTAGGGGGGGGGGGATCTTTGGATGGGCTTCTTTGCGAGATGGGCTTCTTTTCAAGGCTACTTTTGTAAAGTAAAGAAGGGGAGCTTCTTTTTAAAATGAATACTGTAAATTTTTGGGAATTTACTACTACAGTATAAAACAATAAATAGGGTCACTGTAACATCAGTGTGTATGATGAAGAGCATTATAACAGCATTAAATCACCTAAACTACTGTGTCAACCAAGCTTGTGTTTAATTTATTTTGTTTCTTTGAAATTCATGTACTGTACTATCTCAAAAAAAGCATAGGTGGCAAAGACAAGCCAAACCAGTCACTCATCACAAATCGTGTTTCAGAGAAAATGGCCAAAACATGCTGGAATGTCAAATTTTAAAAAATCTATTTTATTGCACTAAACTAACCTTTATATATCTACACATCATTCTATGCTGTCATCTTCCCCATTTTCAATGTAACGCTTTTTAAGGATTTAAAGATAGTTTCTGCATGAGGAATGCCTGAAATCATAATCTATGAAGGCTGATTTCTCATATATTGTTCTTTAAACAGCTGTGTGGTTAAACGCTTGTAACTTCATAAGGAAATGTCCGA